ATTCTTTTATTGTGGACTCTGGAGCATCCCAGCACATTTGCAACAATCGAAGCTTGTTTATTTCTTTCGAAGAGGAAATTGGTAATGTACATTTAGCCAATTCACAAGTCTTGCAGTCGCTTGGCAGGGGTACTGTTAAACTTGACTCTTTAAACATTATGATAGCGAACTGCATTTACTGCCCGTCAGTGGACAATTTATTGTCAGTAAAGTGCTTTGCTCATCGAGGCATAACTGTACGTTTCTTAAAGTCAATGTGTGAGCTTTTCGATGGGACCAAACGTCTATTGTATGCCCGGGACTCTGATGGTTTATACAGACTGTATTTTCGCACCTACTCACAATCACCTATAAATTGCAGAGCAGCACAGTCAAGCCGGGGGTTGAGGAATGTAAGGCCACATCCCGGGTGTGTCCATGAGGCACACCGTCTTCTAGGACACCTGAAGTTTGCTGATGTAATTAAGACAAAGAATATTGTTAATGGCCTCAACTTAAAACCATGTAAATTCTTTATGCAATGTCTATCCTGTTGCAAGAATAAGATTAAGGTTGCACACAAGGGTAGGTGCTCAGATAGGAAAGTAAATGAGCCATTTGGGCGTGTACACTGTGATTTAGTTGGGCCACTCCCATCATCATTAGCAGGTTCTAAGTACTGGCTTACGCTGATAGACCAGTATAGTAGATATTGTTGGACTTATGCAATAGCTGAGAAGTCCCAAGCATTTGAGAAGTACAAAGCTTTTTGCAACTGGGCAAAAACGCATTTTAACAAACCTATTAAGAACCTGTTTTCTGACCGGGGTGGGGAATTTGTTTCTGAGGATTTTGAGAATTTCCTGGAAGCGCAGGGGACTACTTATGAGTTATCCTGCCCCCGAAGTCCCTGGCAAAATGGGCTTGTTGAAGTTGTGCAGCGTGACCTACAGGCAGGGGTTAAAACATATCTGCACGATGCTAATCTGCCCAAAGAATTTTGGGCTGAAGCGCTCAATGCTTTTTGCTATGTTAAAAATTGCAGTTATCATTCTGGTTTAGATGTCACCCCCTATGAGAAGCTGTTTAAAAAAACGCCCTAATCTGAAATACCTACGTATTTGGGGTTCAGATGTAATTATGCATTATCCCGCTAAGCAGAAATTGGGTGAGCGTAGTGTTCAGGGAAAACTAATGGGCTACCAGCAGGGGGCGTACAGCATTTACATACCAGCAACTGGCAAATTTCATATTACCAGAAGCATGATACAAACTGTAAATTGGAATGGAGTTGCTGTTTTCCAAGATACTAATGGTATAAATGATACACCCCTCTCCCCATCCTACATCCAGGCACTTCACTTGTGGGGCAAAGCAGGGCCAGTGAGACATGTGTCCTAGGGGAGAGTTACAAGGCCCAGGCAGAGAGGTGTGGAGCCACATTCATCCCCTAGGACTGAGGTTCCCCAGACCTGTCCTAGAATGATGTAGCATCATTCCAAGTGGCTTTATTTTTGGAACAGGGTGGTGGTGATGTTTCTTAGCAGCTTGGAATAACACTGCATTGCAAGGTGGCATTATTGGAAAATAAAAATGGCAGCCACCAGCTGAAGGAAGGCAGCATGATTGCCAGACACTGAACAAAAATCTGGGAAATGGTTAGGAGAACATTCAAAAACTGGGGATAATGTCCACCTAATTTGGAAAATTACAGCTTTTAGTGGCTTCTCATTAATATTCCTGAGTGTTTCGTGCCAATCTGTATACGAATCTGCAAGGGTGTTTTCTGTTTTCCAAATGTCAGTGATACTGTCGTAAAAACATCCAAAGCAAATCCAAAAAACTGAAACAAAACCCTACATCTACTCCAAAACCCTCTTCCTGAAAGAAGAAAGCAGCCTTATATCTAAGAGTATCTAAAATAATAAAAAGATAAGCTTAGTATATTCTCATTTGACCTTGTCTGGTTTTGACTTCCATTTATTTAGGTTTTGTTTTTGTTTTTTTTTAAAAAAGATCTGCCTTTTTCTACTAGATTAAAGAACCCTCCACTATGCCATTCCCTCTCTTTCTCTATAGGTACTTATGCACTGCAATCAGGCCACCTCTTAACCTCCCTTTTGATAACCAAGCTTTCATGCTGCTGCAGTTCATATTATCTCCAAAATGGAATATGAAGGGCTTGCAAATATAGTTAAATACAAATTTGCTTTCTGAATGTAAACAAATATTTGCCAACAGGGCTTCCCTTTTCCCCCAAAGGCTTTCATGTCGCTCTTGTTACAAGACGTGATGTAGTATTAGAGCACTGAGCTTGAGGGCATGTGTGTTGCTTTGTAGGCAAAGAATAACAACACATCTCCCCACCCTGCCCCTCTAGGAATTTGCTATTTGGATCACACCACAATGCAACAGATGACAGTAATTCCAGGGAAGATACAAAAAGAAAAAGAAAAAGAAAAACCCATCACATACTAGGAATGGAGGAGAAATTCTTTGTTTATTTGCATTTTAATGAGAAACTACTTAATTCATACAGCTCGAACCAATATGCAAACCAGAACACAGCAATGCATACAAAAACAATGTCATTTCAATGGGTGGGGCAATAACCCCCTAGGTGCAATTATTACTGTAAAGTATTCTAATGCCATGGTCTGAGGTCTGACTTTTAAAATATTTCCCTTCTCTTTTTTTTGCAGATAAATTGTGACCTCCCTAAAAGAGGGCACATGTTGCGGTGAGACCTGGAGACTGACCTGGTTGTGGGTGGGTCTATTGGATAGCCACAACAAACACTCGATTGGTAGGTCCCTCGTTGCTGGGTGCAATCTGGTCAATGGGGTGCAGTCTAAACAGATCAAGGGACCTATATAAACCCATGCACGTGTCTCAGAGCTTCCTCTTTCGGCTCGTGCATCGGAACACCCGCCCACCTCTCCCTAATTTTAGGGAATTTTGCGATTAACCTTGCTATGCCGTCGTGTGTCGTCTGTCGTTGGGACAGGGGCACGGCAGGAATTTCCCCCACTTGGCTGATTGGCTGTAGCCATTTGGGTTTTGCCTGCCGCGTAGCAAATCGTCACAACTTGTAAGGTTGCAGATAGGCTCTGGTTCAGGTGATGGGGATGGGAGAATGCTCTCGCCATCCCTATGTGAAGGGTATTCCGTTAAAGGAATCCAGGGACTCAACTTGGTTTGGTCAGCCCCCAAGAGGGGGTTGTGCCCATGCCTGAGTCCAGGGGAGCATCTTGGGAGTGAACAGAGTCTGTTCCTGGGCTTTTCACCTACCTCAGGTGTTCACCCTTGGCTGACCTATGCTGGTGCCCTGGGTCAGCGCTACCTGCAAGGGTGCAGGGAGCTAGTCGAGCCAGAGCCTACAGGTGAAACTCGGAAAATTAGAATATCGTGGAAAAGTTCATTTATTTCAGTAATTCAACTGAAAAGGTGAAACTAATATGAGATAGACTCATGACATGCAAAGCGAGATATGTCATGCCTATATTTGTTAAAATTTTGATGATTATGGCGTACAGCTGATGAAAACTCCAAATTAACAATCTCAGAAAATTAGAATATTAAATGAAATCAGCAAAACAAGCATTGCAAATAGAGCAATATTGGACTTCTGAGAAGTAGAAGCATGCATATGTACTCAGTACTTGGTTTGGGCCACTTTTGCATCAATTACTGCCTCAATGCGGCGTGGCATGGATGCGATCAGCCTGTGGCACTGCTGAGTTGTTATGGAAGACCAGGATGCTTCAATAGCAGCCTTCAGCTCTTCTGCATTGCTCAGTCTCATTGTTAGTTTCTGTTTCCCTCACTGAGCAGCTGCTGGTAGTCACAGAACTATGTCTTCATTCCACAGTCCAGATACTGTTGGATTCCCATGGGAAAGGGAGACGGGATGTGACGTTTACTGGTTTCCTGTTTCCTTTGTACTGTCGGTTCTTTGTTGGAGTTGCTCTCTGCTTCTCATAGAGACAAGATGTATATTTGTATGCTCTCAGCATAGCTTAGTAATAAAGCGTAGCAATGTAGCCATACCTGCCTCATCCTTTCGTTGCGGACTCTGGGTGTTTTATACTCTGCTGGGCTCAAGCCAAGATGAGCCGTATCAGCTCGGAGGACCGGAGCTGACTTTATCTAACATGACTGACTTTATCTAATATGTCAAGCCTATATTTGTTATAATTGTGATGATTATGGCGTACAGCTGATGAAAACCCAAAATTAACAATCTCAGAAAATTAGAATATTAAATGAAATCAGCAAAACAAGGATTGCAAATAGAGCAATACTGGACCTCTGAGAAGTAGAAGCATGCGTATGTACTCAGTACTTGGTTTGGGCCCCTTCTGCATCAATTACTGCCTCAATGCAGCATGGCATGGATGCTATCAGCCTGTGGCACTGCTGAGGTGTTATGGAAGACCAGGATGCTTCAGTAGCAGCCTTCAGCTCTTCTGCATTGCTCGGTCTCATGTCTCTCATCTTTCTCTTGGCAATGCCCCATAGATTCTCTATGGGGTTCAGGTCAGGCGAGTTTGCTGGCCAATCAAGCACAGTAATCCCATGGGCATTGAACCTGGTTTTGGTACTTTTGGCAGTGTGGGCAGGTGCCAAAGTCCTGCTGGAAAATGAAGTCAGCATCCCCATAAAGCTCGTCTGCGGAAGGAAGCATGAAGTGCTCCAAAATCTCCTGGTAGACGGCTGCGTTGACCCTGGACTTAATGAAGCACAGTGGATGAACACCAGCTGATGACATGGCTCCCCAAATCTCTTTTCTGATTAGAGCAGCTTTTGCATCTCATTTGGAAACCAAGGACCCAGAGTCTGGAGGAAGAATGGGGAGTCACACAATGCCAGATGCTTGAAGTCCAGTGTGAAGTTTCCACAGTCTGTGTTGATTTGGGGAACCATGCCATCAGCTGGTATTGGTCCACTGTGCCTGTGGACTTTCCAATCCGAGATCCTTGACATTTTTTCCCAAAAACCTTGTTTTTTCTTTGAAGGTCCTAATTCTTTGTATCCTTCCTTGAAATTTGAAGGAGAGGCCCTCTGGAAACTCGCACCTGAAAAAAGATGTTATTCCTTCTCAGAGCTCCAGCCAAATCTGCGTAATTATTCCTTAAGTTCAGAAAATGTTTTGGAATCTCCTTGAACAAAACAATTGGCTTGTCTTTAATCTTCAGGCTTTTTTTATAATGTAGACCCAAAATATTGTCCCTCTGTTCCTTTGTCTTGAAAACCGCTATACAGTCATGTACAATTTTTGAGTCTTTCTTAGGCCCAAACCTATAGGCCCTCTCAATCCAAGAATTTAGCTCATCTTTTTCCAGATCCCAACACGCTGCAAACTCCTCAATTAGCCAGTCCTTAAGATTATCTTGTTCCAATTGGGGCACGCCTCTCACTCTCAGTTGATTTTCCCGTTCCTTCATCTGTAAGAAAGCAATTGTGTTAAGGGCATCCTGTTGGGTCCTCTCTACATCAGGCACTCTCACTGTTTCCAATTCCGTCAATCTTGTTACGTGACTGGCAACCTCTTCCTTGACCTCTTGAATGCCTTTTTTCAAATCTACAAATTCTTGTTTAAGCTCCTGTACATTCTGCTGGGTTCCTCTGACATCTGTTCTTATTTCTGGTGACATTTGCATCACCGTCTCTTCAAAAGTTGGTGCTTTGGAGCCTCTTCTGTCTTTAGTTTTACTTTTGTCAGGCTTATCTACACCATTAGCCATAACTATTCCAAAGTGTCAAGGTCAACTCACCCAGACACAGTCCACAGGATTTTCAGTGCACAGGCAACAGCAGACAACTCAGCAGCTCCCCCCTTTCAAAGTCTAATTCTTTTTACTCTTCTTATTCTTTTTGGGAACCATCTAAAATTAATTTGGACACTTATATTCAATTCAAGAAGGGTAAGAGAAGCAATGTGTACTATTGTAGCAAGCTCAGACAGCAGCAGTTACCTTGTAATCCCCAAAGAGGAAAACGAAAGTTGAATGTATCCGCTCCCTTCGTGATGCAATAATGGCGTCTAGCCTTCCCCCGCTGGGAGGTCCGCTTCCAAAAAGCAAGAGTCTATTCCACTGTCAAATCTATCTCATGCAGGGTCTCAATTCAGTCAAATTCACCCCACTTCCCCCTGCAGAAAGAGGGGCTTAAAGTGTTTCCTTGGAAGTTTTAACAAATCTTTTAAAGTTACAGCTTCGGTCAGTGATAACTGCTTTCACTTTTACTTCAGCGGAAAGGGATTGACCTCTGTAATTTGAATCCCTTCCAAACCAATTAACAGCCCAAATTAAAATCCTTTTTTACTCACGATTATCCAATCTTTTATATTTGGTCAGAGAAATTGGTCACTAACGATAGCCAGACTTTGGAGCTTTGTGCAATGAAGAAAGCGAGTAGATTCCACAGTACACATGTCTCCAACCCCGCTCGCTCTTGGGGCTCTTATTAGAGCTTACCAGAGAGCAGGGAAGTCGCAAGGGGTACCCGCCAGAACACCAGGTCCTCAGAATGCTCAATCTGAGTTTTTTTGGGGGGTTCTGTGACACTCTCATGGTCACCCCAATCTTCAAAGCGCCGGGGCTCTTTCATCCGAAAGAGCTCCTGTCCACCATTAATCGTGCGGCCAACCGGGGCCTGATCTCTTCTGGCAGAGCGTTCCACCAGGCCGGGGCCACAGCCAAAAAGGCCCTGGCCCTGGTTGAGACCAACCTAATATCCCTGGGGCCTGGAACTTCAGGGTGTTGTTATTTGCAGACCGTAAGGTCCTCTGTGGGACATACCAGGAGAGGCGGTCCCATAGGTACGAGAGTCCTAGGCCGTATAGGGCTTTAAAGGTTAAAACCAGCACCTTATTTTTTTTTATTTTAAAGAATATTTATTCCAATTTTAAGATTACATAGAAAGAAAAAAGCAAAAAAAGAGAAACAAATCACATACACCCTACATAAAAAGAACAACACACGATACAGAAAAAAATACAAAAAACAAAAAATCACAATACAAAAATAACAAAAAATCAAATTAAACCATTAAGATCATTTTCCCATTTACTTATTTCCGAGACTTCCTCTCACTTCTCTGCTTTGTATTCTAATTTAGATCGTATCTCCAGCAAACCCTTCTAACCTTCTTTTCATTTACTTAATTTAACATTCAAAAATATCTAATTCTCCTCTATTTTTTATTTTACACTACATATTTACTTATTCCATTATACTCTGTCTGCCAATCCGGTCTAATATTCTTCTCCAACCTTTTCTAACATTCTTTTATGTTACAGTATTTCTGAAGATATGTTTTAAATTTTTTCCAATCTTCTTCCATCGCCCCTTCTTCTTGGTCTCGTATTCTGCCGGTCATCTCAGCCAGTTCCATATAGTCTATCACTTTTCTCTGCCATTCTTCTCGGGTAGGCAATTCTTGTGTCTTCCAGTATTTCCCAATGAGTATTCTTGCCGCTGCTGTCGCATACATAAAGAAATTCCTGTCTTCCCTTCGCACCAATTGGCCGACCATGCCCAAGAGGAAGGCCTCTGGTTTCTTCAAGAAAGTATATTTCAATACCTTTTTTAGTTCATTATATATCATTTCCCAGAAGGCCTTGATCTTTGGGCACGTCCACCAAAGGTGGAAAAAAGTACCTTCATTTTCTTTACATTTCCAACATTTATTATCAGGCAGATGATAAATTTTTGCTAGCTTGACTGGGGTTAAGTACCACCTGTATATCATTTTCATTATGTTTTCTCTTAAGGCATTACAGGCCGTAAATTTCATACCTGTGGTCCATAACCGTTCCCAGTCAGCAAACATAATATTATGCCCCACATCTTGCGCCCAAAACCAGCACCTTAAACCTGATCCTGTACTCCACTAAGCTAGTCATCATTATTCATTATAATGAATTCACGCTGAGTAGACTGGCACTGGATACTCCACCATTACACTGAACACAGGTACAAGCTGTCTCTGAACATGTACAAGCATTTGTGTGAGAGAGTGTACACTTGTTGATTTGTACTGCTCAGCTATTGTATACACCAACTGCACACTCATTGAATCTTACATGTCAATAACTGTACATGTACACTACTCATCTATCTGCATACACTACTACACTGATTATAGGCTCAATAAATGTAATAGAATCATAGAACTGAAGAGGTGGGGCTCTATTTAGAATAAACACTTCCTCCTCCAAAGTCCATTGGTCCATATGTGCTGCTACACATTGGTAACACACCACACCAAAGGTTTTTTGATAACAACACAGTTGCATCTAGTGGAGGATGGTGTCCATTGGGACTGGTGGGGCAAAAGGCAGGGAGGCCAGCAGTAGGTGGCACCAGACCAGAGCCAAGAACAGGCGGAACCAAGTCATTCAAATTTTGCAACTATCCTCTTCCTCACTGCTAAGTTCTACCAGGGCAACTCTGAAAGTGAGGAGGACGCTGCAGGGTGGCTCATCCCGTTTCACTGCCTGGGGCAAAACGGGAATGTGCCACACTGCTGCACTGCCACTGCCTACCTTACGTGGGTTGTGTAGTGGTGCATGCAAAGCAACGGCAGCATCAGGTTCCAATGAGATCTCTCGATATCTCCCCAAAATCTCATGAGATCTCACCAGACACTACTCCTGCCAATGGTGCTGCTTTTCCACTAGCAGCAGAGGCAGTGGGGCAGACAGGGTATCTGCACGGATACTGCCTCTTGGGCTTCTGACACCTGAAGTGACTGCCTCATGGACAGTCGGGCCCTGGGAAGCTGACAGGCTCTGGGCTGGTTGTAAGGAAGGAAGGTGGACAGGTGAGGGCAGAGTGATGCTGGTAGGACAGTACTTGGTTTGCCTTAATGGGTCAACCTCCATGGTTCCCACAGTGATCACTTTTGAGGGGTATTCTAACTATACACTTGGGTATCGCTTAGTGGTCGGACAGGCACAACAGAACTGAAAGACGCTCCTTGCTCTGTGTCTTCAGAATGGGACGGGCTATGCATTTTTAAACAGGCCAATTGACAAATTTAAAGAATTCACAAATCAGAGCTGTTTCCAACCCCCCTTTTCCATGCTCTGCTTTCCCAGCCCGCAGTAGCTTTGCTTACAAACAAAGCAGTGACTGCAGAGTCCCCAACAGCAGGTTGCCTTTGTGACTTATTACACTGTCATAACTGTAAATATTACAGCCATATGGATTTTCAATAGCCAAACACCACGCTGCTATTAATATCAAATGCAATAAGATATTTTGTGTGTTTGGATGATTGCAGGCAGAAATTGAGGAAGGGGTAGGTGGGCAGAGAAACCTCCTGATGGCATTGTCTCTTTATTTGCTTGCGACTTCCCACCAGGTAGGATATTACAATGGAATTGGGGTGGATGAGGGATGGGATTCATAATAAATAATGGAACTAATGAAGTTACTAGCCCTTCCTCTTCAGAAAATGTTTGGGAACGGCTTGCTAGGAGCCTCACAGTATCTTGAGAAGAGGGATTGCTCACTGCAAATCACTTTGAGGTGATTAAAATATAGGTCATATTGTTGGTGTTGTTTTCTGTTTCCCATCCCATCCCAGAAGTTAATTTGACATATGATCTCTGTCAGTTGACCAGGCAGGATTCTGTTAAATATTTAGCATTTCCCATTGAAAGGATACAACCATCTGAGCAGCTTTTAATGAGTGTTTGTGGTTGGGTGCACAACTGTTCTGATAGGGGGACTGAATAGGGACAGGGCAGGGGTGGAGAATGTAAATCTTACCTTTGCAGGGCAGGCTCATTTCACACCCTTCACACAAACATCCTTCCAGATGTGCCAGAGGCATAATCAGAGTCTAAGGGCACATCTCAGCCAGGCAAAGACACTCCAGGGTGCAAAAGAGGGTCAGTGAGGGAGGTGGTGTGGGTAAGGGGAAGAGTTCCAAGGGACAGATAGACCTTGATGGCTACATTGGCCTCTAGGCCTGAGGTTCCCTTCCCCTGCAGTAGAACATTAACCCTGTTCAGTCAACAGGGCTATCTTAAGCATATGCGGTGCCGGGGTGGAAAGATCTGCCCAGCATGACCCCCCCCCCCCAGGTTGCCCAGTCCCAGACACGAAGGAGGGTGGAGCTGGCCGTCCACCTCAGTGTCTCGCTGGCTCGGTCGCCCCTGAACAGAGCCGCCCACAGAAGAAGAGCCCATCCCGGCACTCCGACCAACGGGCGGGCTCTTCCCCGGACTCAACTGTCAGGCCGCCAGACTCTCGGCCTGGCGCCCCTGAGAGCCCGGTGCCCAGGTGCCCTGCACCCCTAGCACCTATGGGTAAGACAGCCCTGTCAGTCAACCTGGTCCCTCAAATGGTGGAGGGAGGTGGGGATGAGCAGACTAGTTCTGCCTCGAGACTGAGGAATCTGTCCAGTTCAGCTTTGCATTTAGGAAAAGAAGAGAAGTCTTGCCAGGGCATACTGAAGACCATATTTATGGGACATTATTGCGGCCAAACCAACAATCCATGTTTTGTCAGATAGGCCCATGAAGGGGCTGAGGCTCACAAGAGCTTTCCTGTAAATTTGCTAGAGAGAACTCTGTGAGGTCACTTCCTTTGTCTGCCTTGGCAGGAAGTTGTAACACTACATACTTCCTTCCTGCTTGGACAGCCTCCTCTTTCTTCATCATGCTTCTAAGCTGACCACGCATGCTCAAACATGCATGCGTGGTCAGCTTAGAACACCATTTTAGAACTTTAATTTTGTACTTCTGTAACATAGTACTTTTAAACCTGCCTTCATTTTGTTCCTGTAAATTTATGTTTTAAGACCTAGATTATGTAAATAAATACTTTTTTATTTCTTCATAAAACAATGTTTTGTGATTATTGTTTATAAGGGGGAGAAAAGGGTTAATATCAATGGGGGGGGGGGGACCAGTTAGCCTTAAAGCATCCTGGATTATTGTTTCTAGAAGGTTAAATAAACCTTGTCCTAGCTTCGAAGTTTTAGCTGCAAAGGATGGTACTATGCTGATCTCACAAATGTGAGTGTGGAAGGATAATAACTAAACAAGATATTCTCTCTCATTTTCTAGATCCCTGCCAGCATTTCTTGTCCAGAATTCTGTTCTCACAGTGACAGATCATTATGTTCTGTTCATTAATATGTAACCCCGAAATTCTGGATCCCCTCCAAACTGATGCCAAAGTTTTGTGCTTGGTTGTGACATTTTGTATCACAACCCCCGTGCTTTGTGCCACCTGTTGGGATCTCCGCTCGACTGAGCAGATAAAGCTCATCCTCCTCCAGCCAAGCCCTCCGGAGTCGCCTCTGACGTGATTGACGACCTGAGCCCCTGATAAGGCTCCAGGCACATCCCCCATTCAGCAGAGAATCAAAGCAGCACGCAGAAGTGATGAGATTTATGGATACATGACAAAGAGTTTTATTTTCCTAACTACGCAGACAGAAAAGACATCCTCTCTATGTGAGAGCAGAGAGCAACTGAAACAAAGGAACAAAGGAACAGGAAACCAGTACGTCACATCTGTCTCCCGTGAGACTTCGAACAGTATGGAATGTGTGGAATGTAAACAGAGTCATGTGACTCCAAAGCACTGCACAGTCGCACAAACAGAAACCAACATCCTCCCCCTTTCTGTGAACACCACTGGGCAGCGTGTTCGTACAATATCAGTTCAAACCCAATTTCTGTACATAGGTACAGTGTTGATCCCTTGGAACAACCTTGGACAATAAATCAGCAGGAATTTCATTACCTGACATGTAGGACACCGTTACGAGTCCTTTCTGAACACATTCTCTAGCATGTTGCAGCTTCAATTGCAAGTGCTTCGTGTTTTGCTTACAACCTTCAGAAGTCAGCAAAGCCAAACATGCTTTGTTGTCCTGATAAACCTGGATTGGACACTTTACAGGAATTCTCATGTCTTTACACAATTGTAACAACCATTCACAATCCACCCGTGAATAAGACAGTGCATTCAGTTCAGCTTCACAAGAACGTAAGCTTACTGTTGTTTGCTTCTTGCACGACCAATCAAATAGACCCTGATTGTACATATAGCAAACTCCAGACGTGCTTTTCCTGTCTGTAGTGTCACTTCCAAAACTTGCATCAGCAAATATCTCAAGACCTCCAGACATTTGATTGTTAAACCTCAGTCTGTAATGCATAGTGCCTTTCAAATAGCGTGCTATGTGTTTCAGAGCTTTCCAATCCTTAACAGTAGGATTGTTGACTTGTCTGCTTAGCAAATTTGTGCTAACTGCAATGTCAGGTCTTGAACATCTGGCAATGAAGTTTAGTTTGCCTAGCACACTTCTGTACAGTGTAGTGTCAGAAAAAGAGACTGAGGATAAGCAGCAGCAAAGGCCCACACCCACTGATGAAGATTCTGATTCTGAATCTGAAACTGAATCGGGTGATTCAGAGGATTTCAGGAGTGCAAAAGCCTCTATGCAACCCTCTGAAGGCTCGAATCGAGAATTGGAGGAACCATTGTTCACTAAAGGCCACTTTTCTCCTAAGAAAGAAGAGGAGAGCGTTGAATACTTACGTCTCATATGCAGGTCTGAAAGAACCACAAAGGGTAGACCTCCAAAGAGATTTGCTGATGAATTTGCTAAGACAGCAAAAGCTGTAACTGCTGTTAATAGCTCCAAGAAGGTATTTGAACCTTCAAGTTTCCAAGAGATCCAGGCTTTGGATTCGAAGGATGCTGAGCCATGGTTAACTGCCATGAAGGCTGAGCTTGATTCCTTAGAGAGGAACAAAACATGGGAGCTAGTTCCAGTAGTTCCAGGAATGAGGCTGGTTAGCAGCAAATGGGTCTTCAAAGCCAAGACAGATCAAAATGGCAAGATAGTCAGATACAAAGCCAGATTGGTAGCCAGAGGTTTTTCACAGGTACCAGGAGAAGACTATCACGAGACCTACTCACCCACCGTGAGGTATGAGAGCATTAGGCTTATGCTCAAACTTGCTGCAGAAGAGAATCTACACGTTTCTCATCATGATGTGAATACAGCATTTTTGTACGGAACCTTAGGTGAATCACTTTATATGCTTCCACCTGATGGCGTACAGGTAAAACAGGGATTTGTTTGTTCTCTGAAGAAGTCCCTATATGGTCTCAAGCAAAGTGCACGGTGCTGGCACTCTAAACTTACTAAAGCATTATTTTGTCTGGGTTTTCAGCAAGGTAAAGCTGATCCATGTGTATTTGTCAAAGAGGAAGGGCAAAAGAAGCTGTATTGCTTGTTTTATGTTGATGATATTCTTTTCTTTTGGAAGGATGTCACAATGTACTATAGTGCCCTAGCTCAACTGAAGGAGCACTTTGACATGAAAGATCTTGGTGAGGTATCCAACTACCTATCTCTGGAAATAGAGAGAGACCAAGATGGTAATAGTCTAGTACACCAGTCACAGAAAATTGCTGATGTGTTAAGCAAACTAAACCTGATGGATGCTAACCCTGTAGACACACCAATGACAACAGGTTATCTGATAGATGACACTGAAGGAGCATTTTCTGACACTACACTGTACAGAAGTGTGCTAGGCAAACTAAACTTCATTGCCAGATGTTCAAGACCTGACACTGCAGTTAGCTGTAACTTGCTAAGCAGACAAGTCAACAATCCTACTGTTAAGGATTGGAAAGCTATGAAACGCATAGCACGCTATTTGAAAGGCACTATTCATTACAGACTGAGATTTAACAAACAGAAGTCTGGAGGTCTTGAGATATTTGCTGATGCAAGTTTTGTTTTTTTAAAAAAATGATATTTATTAAAAGTTTAAGCATTACAGAAAAAAGAGAAAAAGAAAACAACAAAAAATTTGACAAAACATACATTACAATACATAAAAAGAAAAGCATAAAAAACAGTACAACAATATAGCAAAAAAAACAAAAAACAATAACATTAAAACACACACCCAATGTTCCATATCTTTATCTTTCATTTACTTGTTTCATCGACCTCCTTACAACTCCCTTTTTGTATTCTAATTTAATTAATTGTTTCAGCAAATTCTTTCCATCTTTCTCAATTTTTATTATATAATTTATCTTAACGATCTAACCTTTTAATTAACTCAACAAATCCTTTCCATCTTTCACTATATTCTGTCATTCAATTTACCTTAATTTATTTAACCTTATCTTACCATTAAAAAACACCTTAAAACTTAAAACTTAATACTTATTTGTACATAACTCCTTATATCATTTCTACTAAAGCCAAATAGTTTCATTCCAACATTTTTCCTAATACTCATTAATTTTACACTAATTCTCAAAATAAATTTTTATAAACTTTCTTCCAATCTTCATCCAACGTCTCTTCTTCCTGGTCTCGGGTTTTGTCAGTCCTTCTTGTCCATTCCATCTAGTCCATCAACCTGGTGATCTTATGTCCGAGGGTCTTAAGTCTTTTCCATGTCCCTTCTGCAGATCTTCTTCTTGTTTATACCTGCACTTTACTTTGTCTTTTGTTGATCTTTTTCTTAATTTCTTTCCTTTCTCATTGGGGGGTAGGTCTCGGGAGGACTCCAATCCAAAAATATCTCCATCTCCCCTCAGCAGATCAGCCCATTCCCAAAGTCCCATTCCCCACAGTCAACACTGTAATCCAGGAAGTATTTAAAAGCATGTTTCAAAGTCCTTCTGGAATTAAGAGCCCTCACAACTCCAGACCCCCCCTGGTCCACTCCAGATTCAAACTTCAAGAACAGTGGCTTATGCTCCTCCAAGGCCTCGGATCTCTCCATTTGTGTTACTTGAGGTTCAACAGCAACCTCCTCCGTTATCTTCTGCACTTGCGCTTGCCCTGTCAAAACAAGTTCCTGGGCTGGTTCCTGAATGGTTTCTATATGGGCATTCGCCGTTTGTCCAAAGTTTTTAACTGCAACAGTCATCAAATCCATCTTCTCATGCATCTGCTCCAGCAAAGCGCTTGTCTTGCAAAAAGCAAGCACCAAAACACACAAAAAACACATTTTTATTCAAGGTCAGAGTCTGGTCTCACGATCCTAATCTTACAGCTGTGAAAGCCCCAGATCGACTCCGGCAACAAATTAACAAGCTCCTCTAGAGGAGACAATTTCTATTTGTATCCATCTTTTGAAAGCAGGACCAACAAAAGAAAATTACTTTCATTTTTCAAATATTTTGTTTCTTTTGAATGCAAGAAGCAACATTGGAGTCAATTTGTTTCTCCTTTTTAATATCTGTCAAAAGACGTTCCATTCACAGTCGATGAACTTCCCCATAAATTTCTGTCTCTGACACCCCGTTCCCAGGTTTGAGACGGTGGAAATTTATCTTTGTTTACTCTCTCTCCTGCAGGCTTAAACAGTCAAAAATCCCCCCCCCCTTTTCTCCTGCTTCCAAGAGGGGTTTGGGTGGTAATAACTGAAGGAAATTTAGACCTTTATATACGACTTTCCAGACTTTAGCTTACAAAGTTTTTGCTTCAATTTAGTTACAAAAACGGGAGGCGGACTTCCTGTTTAGAGCCTTCCCGCTTCAGTGCCAAATTAAAATGTTTCTTAATCCAATTTTCCGTTCTACTCACGGGTACTTGTTTAGAGTCCAATTGTCCACAGGAAAAAGTCAGCGCTCTCCGGCAACGGCTGTGCGGCTTCACTCCATAAAAGTAACGGTTGATTCAAAACACCGCGCCACTCACCCCACGTCACTTTGGATCCCCGAAAAAGGGTTTCCCTGCGAGTAGGGGAGGCTCTCCTGGTGTCAGCCGAATCCCACATTCCCAGGCTTCCTTCGCCTGGGATTTTTAGAGGGTCTCCGCCTTTGCCGCGGCGGCAAGACCCGATTTTCACGGAGCGGGTTCCTCTCGGTCAGAGGAACTCCGCCATTGCCGATGGCGCTAACCCGGAGGTCCCTGCTGATGCAAGTTTTGGAAGTGACACTACAGACAGGAAAAGCACGTCTGGAGTTTGCTACATGTACAATCAGGGTCCATTTGATTGGTCGTGCAAGAAGCAAACAACAGTCAGCTTAAGTACTTGTGAAGCTGAACTGAATGCACTGTCTTATTCACTTGTGGATTGTGAATGGTTGTTACAGTTGTGCAAAGACATGAGAATTCCTGTTGAATGTCCAATCCAAGTTTATCAGGACAACAAAGCATGTTTGGCTTTGCTGACTTCTGAAGGTTGTAAGCAAAACACGAAGCACTTGCAACTGAAGCTGCAACATGCTAGAGAATGTGTTCAGAAAGGACTCGTAACGGTGTCCTACATGCCAGGTAATGAAATTCCTGCTGATTTATTGTCCAAGGTTGTTCCAAGGGATCAACACTGTACCTATGTACAGAAATTGGGTTTGTACTAATATTGTACGAACACGCTGCCCAGTGGTGTTCACAGAAAGGGGGAGGATGTTGGTTTCTGTTTCCTCACTGAGCAGCTGCTTGCAGTCACAGCACTGTTTACATTCCACAGAGTCCAGACACTGTTGGATTCTCACGGGAAAGGGAGACGGGATGTGACGTTACTGGTTTCCTGTTTCCTTTGTTCTGTTGTTTCCTTTGTTCAGTTGCTCTCTGCTCTCAGAGAGAGAACATGTATATTTGCTCTCTGCATAGCTTAGTAATAAAGCATAGCAATGTAGCCCATACTTGCCTCATCCTTCCGCTGTGGAGTTGTTTTAATGCTCTGCTGGGCTCAAAGGAAGATGAGCCTTATCAGCTCGGACGACCGGAGCTGAAATTCCAATAGAAAATAGGTACATTTCTCACTCCTCGGACCAATTGACACTCTTCGACCCCCCATTTTTTGGTCCACCTCCACTACGCTACACCAACAGACCACAGCACACACACACACACACTCCACTGTCCTGAGAAAACCCCTTAACCCCAATTTTATTCTCTGGTAGATTTACATCTAGAGAAACCCACACAAATAAATACATTTTAGAAATGGGAAAAATTAGATGCGGACACACAAAGCATTTTTTAAATAAAGACTCCTTGTGCTCCTCTCCCCTCCCCCTTTCTTCCTGCCTAAGATGGCCCTGCCAATTGCCTGCACCTCAGCTGGTACATCACGTGAGGTTGGTCCTTGGTGGAAGTGGGGCAGCAGCAGCCTCTCCTCCTCGCCCTCTCTCCAGCAGCCACTGTGAGGTGGCCAAGGGAGGAGGCTGGCAGCGGTGGCCATGGAGAGGTTGTGGAGAGGCAACAGAATGGCAACAGAATGCTTCCTCACAGCCATGAGCACTGGCTCATCTTCGTCTCCAAGCTCGGCAGTGGTGGCAATGGCAGGAGAAATATGGATGTCCGGAGATCAAATTAAAAACCGGCATGGCTTTCATAATTCGGGAACTGTCCCTGGAAAATATGAACATTTAGAGGGTATGGAGGTTGTAGGACAGCCATCTTCCAATATCTGAAAGGCTTTCACACGGATATGGTGCAGACTTTTTTCTGCTCCTCCAGGGGGTAGGACCCAAACTAATGACTTCAAATTGCAAGAAATGAACTTTTGACTAAACATTAGGAAATAGCGGAATGGCTTGGAGTGAGAGATGAAGATTTGATATTGGATACTGACAAAATTTTCAGGATGAAACCAGATACTAAAAGACCATTTAAGGGTCCAGGGGATTGTCTAGTTTTCCTCAATTTGAGGTTGCTGAAAGATAAGATCTTACAAAAAAGAAGAATGACAATAGATGGACATAATATATTAATATACAAAGAAATTCCTAAACGAATTCTTAAAAAATGAAATAATTACAAGATATTGACAGATGTGCTGAAATCTAAAGGAATTATGTTCAAATGGCTATTGCCTGAGAGATTGTCTTTCACATTTAAAGATAGAAAAAGGAACATAAGATCTATAGATGAAATGGAGAAATTCAGAAGAACATACAAAAAGGAACTGGGAGGTGAGGGGAACCAAGATAGAGAAGAGGAAACAGAAGGAGTGACAGAAGACGGAGGAGATAATTTGGCAAGAGTGACCTAAGAAACAGACAAATAACGCAGCACAACTTAATTCTCAAAGCAGATAAATCTCTATATAAATCTGATTGACTCTCTATACGCTACATATTTTCCTTTTTATTTGTCACCTTCGCTAATAAAATTGATGAATTTGAATGTAATCTCTTGGAAAATTAATGGGTTAAATAATAAGAAAAAGAGTAATAGGACGAAACATATATTAAAGAAGAAAAGTTGGGACGTGATTTGTCAACAAGAAACGCATATCGCAAAAAAACCATGAAAGAGTGTTAATTAATAAAAGACTGGGCACAGAATTTATAGCTTCAGACATAACAAAAAAGGGGAATTGTTATATATACATACCCATAATTAGAAGCCAAATTATTATTTAAAGATGATGGTGGAAGAACATTGGGAATTCAATTGAATAAAGAGAAAGAGAAATTATTATTAATAGGTGTATATGCGCCAAATGGGAATCAAACTGTATACTTAAAAAAAATACAAAGGAAACTATTAGAATATACTAATGAGAATACGATTATAATGGGTGATCTGAATGGGGTTACTTCAACGAAGTGGGATAGCACTGAAAGGGGAATAAAACCCAAAACAGGGAGACTCCCAATAACATTCTTCCAGATGGTAAATGACTTAAACTTAAAGGATGTATGGAGGGAGAAAAATGAGAAGGAAAGACAGTATACATTCTATTCAGATGCAAACAAATCAGCAACCCGGTCAGATGCAATATGGGTTTCTAATAATCTTATACCGATAATAAACAAAACAGAGACATTGCCTAAATCGCTGTCAGATCATAAAGACTCTCCTCCCTGGAAGAGAGGGGAGTGGTTGTGGGCGGGAGCCCGAGCACCGCCCCTAGCAGGGGGCGGTTGCCCCCTGCCTCCACCTCACCTGGCTGGCGCCCACGCCCCCTCTGCAGGCATCCAACCAGGTGATGCTAGAAATAAGGTATAATAAAAAGAAAAACAAAAGCTGGAGAATGAATGAGAGATTGCTAAATGACGAGAAGATAGTAGAAAAAGCCCAACAGTTAATGAAATAATTTTTTGAAATTAATATGGCACAAGACACGGACCTTAGAGTGATATGGGATGCTGGGAAGGCTTATATAAGGGGCTTCTATATAAACCAGAATATAATACAAAGAAGAATTAGAGAAACTAAATTAAATCAAATTCAACAAGAAATAGCGCATTATGAAAAACTATTGGCTAAAACACCTAAAGATGTCTCAATAAATCAACAAATTAAAATATTACAATCTCAACACTATTAAGCAATGAATTGGAAAATAATATAAAGTGGAGGAAACAAAAATCATTTGAATTAGGCAATAGGCCAGGTAAACTTCTTGCTTGGCAGATAAAGAAAAAGCAGAGAGAGAGACAAACAAAGTAATTAATGAAGGGAAGACATTAGATACAGAAGAAAAAATAAATAAATGTTTTGTAAATTACTTTGCTAATCTATATAGTAGAGGATCAGTAACAGAACAAGAAATAATAAAATATCTACAGGGCAAACAAATTCCAAAAGTAAGTGAAAATAAAATGGAACAATTAAATGCACCAATCACGATAATGGAAATACATCAAGCAATATTTTTAAAAATTCATTTTTATTACGTTTCCCATTTTAACAATCCAATCAAATCACATTGAATGTTCCAAATTATACAAATACATATCAAATAGTCCAAATATTCTGCCTAAATTATATATATATTTTTTGTTGGGACTTCCCATGCTTCAAGTTCGGGGGGCTCTGATCATCTCATAGCTCTGCTGCCTTGAATAGTCTTTCCAATAGTTACTTTAAATCTTCCTATTGAAGGGGACGTCCAGAGCAGCGTGCCAGAGAGACGGATGGAGATCCATGCTCCTGCAATCTCGAGGCGGACCTGGTGCCAGAGAGAGAGAGAGATGAGGGACTAGGCGCAAGTCACCTCGACCTCAGGGGGGGAACCTGAGGGCGGAAGCCTAAGGCAGCAAATCAATCCAAAAGTCATTTCGCTGCTGGCAGGTGCCATCTTCTCTCAATTCTGATGAAATCAAATCTAGGCGTTTGCTCATTAATTTTCCCAGACCGGTTGCATCCAACATTAGCCTTTCCAGAGGAGATTTACCAAATCGGACTTGAAATACAGATATAATACTTCTGGAGGTGGCGCCAGCGGTTAATGGCGGATTTCCTCGATCGGAGGAAATCTCGCCACGAAAAATAGGGTCGGATCCCGCTTCGGCGTAGCGGGGGACCCCTGAGAACCACAGGCGGGGGAAGCCTGTGTACCTGGGACCCAGCGGGCATATTTGGCGCCCCCCCAACCCGGTAAAAAGCCCGGCAACGGGCTCGGAATCGGAGCGGGGGAAGGAGCGCTGTGCTGTGGGCTGTCTGCTTCTTTCGTGGAGTGAAGCCGCAAGTTGTTAACCGGAGAGCGCTGCCTTTTTTCCTTGGAATTTGGACTTGAAAATCAACGATCCGTGAGTAGGATATAACGTAATTGGGACTGCATAAATTTTGAATCTGGCCGAAAACGGAAAGAGGTATAAAAAGGAAGTCTACCTCTTTCTATTTGTAGATAAAATAAAGCTTTGAACTTGAAAGCGGAAGCGCAGGAAAAGAGGTTTTAGCGGACTTTAATCCAATCATCTAACCTGGATTCCCCCCCCCCCCTTAAACCAAGGGAAAAGGGGGGAGAATTGTGGATTTGATTTCTGTATAAAGAAGTAGAAATAAAAGGGACTAAACCATCGCTCAATCCCTTGGGAACGGATTTCCAGAGGCAACTCAAAAACGGATGAGAGGTACTGTCTGGAAATATATTTTGACAGCTAGTCCTGCGCAGGAAATATGAATTTGGATATATTATGTGGACATATATCTCCAGGTCTCAAGTAATTATATTAGATAGACTGTTATCTTTCTGAATAAACTGGGGGGACTTAAAAAAGAAAGTAAAGTACTTCCGGTCAGCGCCAGCAGCAATGGCGGACCTCCTTTGAGTCTCGGAGGGGATAGCTCAGTGGGAGATCGGGTCCTGTGCGCTCCGGCGAAGCGGGGACCCTTAGAAATCGCAGGCGCGGACGCCTGCGAACGTGGAGGCTCGGCGGGCACCTTGGAGCGCCCCCCCAACCCGAAAGGAAGCCTTTTTTTGAGGCTTCAGAAGGGAGCGGGGGAGAAGCGCGGTGCTGCGAGCAGATCGCTGCTTTCACTGAGCGAAGCCGTATTGCCGTTGCTGGAGAGCGCTGACTTATTCCTGGGACATTTGGACTTAAATCTAAACCGTGAGTAGAGGAATTGGATTAAAAAGAGCACTAATTGGACTAATTGGATTATCTGCGTAAAAGTGGAAAAGTTTTAAGTTGAAAAACGTCTGAATTGGCTACCGCGGTGGAAGCGCAAACAGGAAGTCCGCTTCCCTGCACTGTATGTTGAATAAAGCATAAAGATTGGGAGCTAAACGTGAGAAAATTGAACTGAAACAAAAGTTTTCTTTCTGACCTGAGAACTTTGGTGGGATCTACCCTTTGGAGGGATAAGGGAAAGGTATTTGATTTTACCGGACTGCTTAAATTTAAGGATTCAAAGAGCGATTTGTTAAGTGGACGTCTCAGCTGTCAAAGCTGTCAGAGCTGCTTGCCGGCTGCAAAGAAGATACATTGTGGCCAATTTTGTTGAGGAAAAGATTGGAAAGAACTGGAAAGTTGCTTTGTCTGCTTTATATTTTGTTTTTTCTACTTAGTTTCCCTCTTTTGCTATTCTAAAAGGACAGTAACTAGCTAGGTGGTAACAGTGTCCACCTAGTGGGACTCCTTGTAACTACAGGAAAGGAACTTTCCATTTGTAAACAGGAATACCAGACGTGGGAAAGGAATTTGACCTTCACTTTGTTATGGCTGATGGTCATCAAAAAGACCAGTCAGTCTTGTGATCAGGGAAACCCTGGGTACACAGAAGGCAGTCATCTGCTGGTTTGCCTGCATCGGCAATACAATCTAAGTCTGGTGGAATGTCTGAGGAATTTTTGGCCAGTGCTCTGGCTAAGATTAATGAATCGATACAGCAACTAAGTACAAGGGTGGGGGAGACGAACAGGAAAGTGGAGGAAACGAACCAGAAAGTGGACATTGCAAACAGGAAAATTGACTTAAATACAGAAACATTAGACAATTTGGAGAAAAAAGTAAACAGTAACACGGAATCTATTCAGAGATTATTGCAAGACTCAAAGTCTATACAGGAAAAGACTGCTGCTGTAGAATTTAAATTGGGACAATTGGAAACTGAGAAGGTACCAGACCTGCAGAAAGAGATTGCAGAACATAAGTTAACGTTGTCTATGATTGACCTTAAAGACAAACAAACAAATCTTAGAATTAGAGCTGTTCCTGAGTTGGAGAAAGGTACCCTGATAGATTTTCTGACACAAGAATTTTTGGATTTTTGGAAATCGGAATTGAAACAAGAGGATTTTAGGATTGTGAGGGCCTTTCGACTGGGGAAAGGAGGAAGAAAGATTAAAATAAGGGATTGTCTGATCACCCTCCGATCCAAAGAAGAAAGGGACAAAATTTTGGGCTTGCATTACGAAAAACCTTTGACAATCATACAATCAAAAGTGGAAATCTTCAAAGATATACCAAAACATCTTCTGGATCTAAGAAAAGATTTTGGAGATTTGGTGGACTTGCTGAGAAAAAATAAAATCCTTTTCAGGTGGGAATTTCCCCAAGGTCTATCCTTTAGCTTTAAAGGAAGAAAGACCAAGATTAGATCAGTGGAGGAAAAGAATAAGTTTTTGAGTGCATACGAAGAAGATCTACAGAAAGGACTGGGAAAAGACACTGCGATACCGGATAAGAGTCTGCAAAAAAAAGTGAAATCAACGCCACCAACAGATATTGACAATCTTCTTGGGGCTGTTGGAGGAGAAGGAGAGTAACTACAAAATGACACTACAAGTTTTAAGTTGGAATATTAATGGTCTAAATTGGTCGGCAAAAGGGGGAGAGTATTTCATACATTGAAAAAAGAACATTTGGACTTGATTTGCTTACAAGAAACTCATGTGACAAGGCTACATCGAAAAATTTTGATAAATAAAAGATTGGGACAAGAATTTATTTCATCGGACAATGTAAAAAAAAGAGGGGTAGTACTTTATGCGAAGGAAAGCCTGTCACCAAAATTTATATTTAAAGATGATCAAGGAAGATATATTGCAATTGAAATCCAGTTTCAAGGACAGAAATTTTTGATAATAGGTGTATATGCACCAAATGAGGGAAAATCAGAATTCTTTAAGAAATTGCATGAAACTCTCCTGGATTATCTGGATTATAACATTATTTTGATGGGAGATATGAATGGAGTAGTGTCTACAAATATGGACAAAGCCCAAAGACAAACAGTGACAAAAGATGGAAGATTACCAAAGACATTTTTGAAATGACTGACAATATGGATCTTGTGGATATTTGGCGAATAAAGAACCCCTTGGAAAGAGAGGGAACCTTCTTCTCTGAAGCAAATATGACATGGACAAGAATAGACCAAATCTGGATAACTAGAGGACTGGCCCCTAAGATTAAAAAAGCGGTGATTTGCCCGAAAATTTGCTCTGATCATAACCCAGTAAAGATTGAAATGACACCAATGCCAATTGGAGCTTTCAGATGGAGGATGAATGACACCTTATTTAGGAATGAGGAAATTATTAAAAAGGCTCAGAAGAATTTGAAAGACTATTTTGAGATAAATTTGAATACTACGACAGAAAAAAGAGTGATTTGGGATGCCAGCAAAGCGGTGATGAGAGGATTTTTGATACAACAAAACGCAATTAGGAAAAGATATCAAAATGAGAAGAGAGAAAAATCTTGGAGAAAATTAAGGATGGAGAAAAAGACTGAGGGCGAAACCGAACTCACAGGAGATTCTAAAAGAGATAAAGTTATACCAAGTACAATATATGAAACTGATGAACCAGGAGATAGAATGGAAGATCAAACAGATGAAACAAAAGACTTTCGAATCGGCTAATAAATGTGGGAAATTACTGGCCTGGCAAATGAAAAAAAGACAAAAGCTGAATACGATTACGAACTTGGTAGTAGAAGGGAAGAACATACAGAATCCTGGAGAGATTCGGAAGTGCTTTCAGAACTATTTTAAACAGTTATATACGCAGGAGACTCAGAAAGAATTAGATATTGACCGATTTTTGAAAAATAATGGATTACAAAAAGTATCTCAAGAGAGTAAATCAATATTAAACTCTACAATATCTGATCAAGAGGTGGAAGGAGCCATTCAGAATATGAAATTGGGCAAATCTCCAGGGCCGGATGGACTAACTGCAAAGTACTACAAAACTCTGAAAGAATGGTTATTGCAACCGTTGAAAGAACTTTGCAATGAAATACTACGGGGAGGAAAAGCACCCGAGTCGTGGAAAGAAGCATACATTACACTTATACCAAAAACTGAAGTGGAGAAGACACAGTTGAAGAACTACCGTCCCATATCCCTACTAAATGTGGATTACAAAATTTTTGCGGAAATTATGGCTAAAAGATTAAAAAATGTATTGGTAAAAGAGATCCATAAAGACCAGGCGGGCTTTCTCCCTGGGAGACATTTGTCAGATAATACTAGGAATATTATTAATATTCTGGAAAAATTGCAAGTTAATATCAATACTAAAGCTGTTTTAATATTTGTAGACGCAGAGAAAGCGTTTGACAATATTTCTTGGAGTTTTATGAAGAAAAATTTGCAGGGGATGGGGGTAGGTCAAAGTTTTGAAAATGGTATAGGTGCAATTTATTCAGAACAAAAAGCCAAGCTTATTGTGAATAATGTAGTTACAGAAGAATTTAAGATAGAGAAAGGAACAAGACAGGGTTGCCCAATCTCCCCATTGCTTTTTATATCGGTCCTGGAGGTTTTGCTCAATAAGATCAGAAAAGACCAATTGGTTAAAGGTATACAACTCGGAGCTAAACAGTACAAATTGAAAGCTTTTGCTGATGACTTAGTTTTGACACTACAGGAGCCAGAAGCTAGCACAAAAAGAGTATTACAATTAATCCAAGAATTTGGTCAAGTAGCAGGTTTCAAATTAAACAAGATGAAAACTAAGGTATTAGAGAAAAACCTTACAGAGATTGAGAAGGAGAGGTTTCAGAAAGAGACAGGATTAACAATTGTTAATAAAGTGAAATATCTAGGGGTGAATATGACTGCCAAAAATGTGAATCTGTTTAAAGATAATTATGAAAAATGTTGGTCAGAAGTGAAGAAGGATTTAGAAATATGGTCAAAATTGAAGTTATCATTGTTAGGCCGAATTGCAGCGATAAAGATGAATGTATTGCCTAGAATGTTGTTTTTGTTTCAAACATTACAAATTGTGGACAAAATGGACTGTTTCAAGAGGTGGCAAAGAGATATTTCTAAATTTATCTGGCAGGGCAAAAAACCTAGAATAAAATTTAAGATATTAACAGATGCGAAGGAAAGAGGGGGATTTGCCCTGCCAGATCTTAAACTTTACTATGAATCAGCCGCCTTTTGTTGGCTGAAAGATTGGCTACTTCTTGAAAATGTGGACATTTTAGATCTAGAAGGTTTTGATAATGTGTTTGGATGGCATGCATATTTATGGTATGACAAAGTTAAAGCGCATAAGGCCTTTAAGAATCATATTGTCAGGAAAGCATTGTTTAATGTCTGGGTGAGATATAAGGATCTGTTGGAAAGTAAAACACCAAGGTGGCTGTCACCAATGGAGGCAAAGGCATTGAAAAAACAAATATGGAGACAAACTGGCCAAAATATTGTGAAATTTTAGAACAAGTTGGAGATAAATTAAAATTGCAGAGCTTTGATAAATTAAAAACTAAAGTTTGAGATTGGCTTCACTACTATCAAATAAGGGAGGTTTTTAACCTAGATAAAAAGATTGGTTTCCAGGAGGAAAAATCTAAACTGGAAATGGAATTGTTAGAACCTAAAACTAAAAATTTGTCGAGAATGTATAATCTGCTGTTGAAATGGAATACACAGGATGAAATGGTTAAATCTGCGATGATTAAATGGGCACAAGATGTGGGGCATAATATCATGTTTGCTGACTGGGAACGGTTATGGACCACAGGTATGAAATTTAAGGCTTGTAACGCCTTAAGAGAAAATATAATGAAAATGATATATAGGTGGTACTTGACCCCAGTCAAGCTAGCAAAAATCTATCATTTGCCTGATAATAAATGTTGGAAATGTAAAGAAAATGAAGGTACTTTTTTTCACCTTTGGTGGACGTGCCCAAAGATCAAGGCCTTCTGGGAAATGATATATAATGAATTAAAAAGGTATTGAAATACACTTTTGTGAAGAAACCAGAGGCTGTCCTCTTGGGCAGGGTCGGTCAATTGGTGAGAAGGGAAGACAGGAAATTTTTTATGTATGCGACAGCAGCGGCAAGAATACTCATTGGGAAATACTGGAAGACACAAGAATTGCCTACCCGAGAAGAATGGCAGAGGAAAGTGATGGACTATATGGAACTGGCTGAGATGACCGGCAGAATTCGAGATCAGGAAGAAGGGTTGATGGAAGAAGACTGGAAAAAATTTAAAATATATCTTCAGAAACATTGCAATATAAAAGAATGTTAGAAAAAGGTTGGAGAAGAATATTAGACCGTATTGGCAGACAGGGTATAATGGAATAAGTAAATATGAAGTGTAAAATGAGGATAGAGGAGAATTAAATACTTTCGAATGTTAAAATAAGTAAAAGAAAAGAAGGTTAGAAGGATTTGCTGGAGATACGATTTAAACTAGAATACAAAGCAGGGAGGTGAGAGGAAGTCATGGAAATAAGTAAATGGGAAAATGGTTTGTAATGGTCAAATATGTTTTTTGTTATTTTTTTTTTTACTGTGATTTTCTGTTTTTCTTATTCCTTTTTTATTGTTTATTTTTTATAAGATGTATGTGGTTTGTGTTTCTCTTTTTTATACTTTTTTTTTTTGTAACTATAAAATTGGAATAAATATTCTTTAAAAAAAAAAAAAAAAGGAGTCGTGAGAGCTTCTGGAAGTTCCTCACAGGAAGGGCGGAGTGTGAAAAGCAAATAAAACTTAGTTGCCGTTAGGGATCTTTCTTTTCTGCTTTTGCTTTGTACTTGTTTTCCTATGGGGGCATGGAGTTTGCATGAGCTTTCCAGACACTTATATTTAGCCACGTTTAACAGCCTCTGTAGAAAAAAACTAGGGGCATAAAATGTGAAACAAATCTTTCTGTTTTAGAAATATGGCCCTTTTGTATTTTGTTTAATAAATATTTCTTCATTTTTACTTTTTGCATTGCTCTGCTGCTTTGTTGCTTGCTGCCCTGCACTCCTTTGGGACAGAATACAAATTTATTAAAAAAATAAGTATTAAAAAAAAATAATAATAAAAAAAAAGAAAGTAAAGTATCCAAGAACTTTTATGACTGTTACAGTGTCCCCCTAGTGGAACTTGGAATTGTTACAATCTGTTATAATTGAAACTGTAGCTGGCTTGAGGAATTTTCACACAGCTCTGCTGGGAATTTCCACTGTTTGAATTTAACTGCGTGTCTGACCTTGAGCTTTATCTAAAGGAATGGCAGATGGTAAAGAGAGAACAGAAGCTTCACAGGCTACAAGGTCGGGCAGGGTTTTTCGAACAGAAGAAGGATTACAAAGGAGATTTTCGGCTTCAGGTGCCTCTGGAACCCCAACAACAGCCTCATCGGCACAATCAAAAGTAAAAGGTATGACAAGTGATGATGCCTTTGCTCAAGTTTTGGCCAAGGTTAATGAATCGTTAAATAGAATAAGTCAACAAGTAGCAGAGGCATGTGACAAGATTGATCAAAATACAACAAGTATTAATCAGAATACAGCAAGCTTAAACAATTTGGGCCAGAAAGTAAACACTAATACAGAGACTATTCAGAAATTATTAGAGGAATCGGCCTCAATACGTCAGATTGCCGAGGAGGCCAAAGAAATTGCTACAACTTCTGCTACAGAGGTTAAAGAGGTTCAAGAGACAATACCATCAATGCACAAACAATTGGAAGATCATAAATTGACCCTGTCTATGATAGAATTGAAGGAAAAACAAGTGAATTTACGGGTCAGATCGGTACCTGAAGTGGAAAAGGACAATCTAGCTGAATTTCTCATGCAGGAATTTTTGGACTTTTGGGATCCAGAATTGGTAAAAGATAGCTTCAAAATAGTAAATGCTTTCAGACTTGGGAAAAGAGGAGAGAAGAAGGTGAGAGACTGTTTGATTACCTTTCGAACAAAAGAAGAGAGGGATAAGATTTTGGGTTTTCATTTCAAGAAGACACTGGAAATCCAGCGGACAAGGGTTGAAATATTTAAAGACATTCCGAAATACCTTCTGGATCTCAGATCAAACTACAAAGACTTGGTCACCCTGCTGAGAAGGAACAGTATTAACTTTAGGTGGGAACTTCCCCAAGGCCTATCTTTTAGTTACAAAGGAAAGAAGAGGAAAATAAGATCGGAAGACGACAAAGACAAATTTTGGAGAGACCACGGAGAAGACCTACAAAAAGAACTATCTCCGGAACCAAAAGACCGCTCGAAAAAAGTGATACCACCGACGGACGAGGAACAGGCACTAGGTGCAGTAGGAGGAGAATTAAAACAATAACATCATGGCCCTGCAACTTTTAACATGGAACTGTCGGGGTTTGAATTCCCCTCAGAAAAGGAAGTCAGTATTTCATATATTAAAAAAAGGAACAATTGGACCTAATTTGTTTACAAGAAACACATATAACAAGATTACACAGGAAATTGTTGATAAATAAAAGACTTGGTCAGGAGTTTATTTCGTCGGACAAAGTAAAAAAAAGAGGGGTTGTGATTTATGCAAAAGACAATTTATCACTGAAATTTGTTTTTAAAGATGACCAAGGAAGATTTGTGGCAATTGAAATTCAAACACAAGGAGAAAAATTTCTGATTGTAGGAATTTATGCACCAAATGATGGGAAATCTGAATTTTTTAAGAAGTTGCACGAGACCCTGATGGACCATATGGATTATAACATGATTTTGATGGGAGATATGAATGGAGTGGTATCTACATATATGGACAAGGCACAAAGACAGGTAGTCACCAAGGATGGTAGACTACCGAAAACTTTTTTTGACATGACAGACAACTTGGATTTAGTGGACATTTGGAGAATAAGAAATCCCATGGCTAAAGAGGGAACTTTCTTTTCTGAAGCCAAAATGACATGGACAAGAATTGACCAAATTTGGATAACTAGAGGAATGGCACCAAAGACAAGAAAGGTGGAAATCTGCCCGAAAATTTGCTCCGACCATAATGCTGTTAAGATGGAAATGAGACTGACACCAACTGGCTCCTTCAGATGGAAGATGAATGACACCTTATTTAGAGATGAGGAACTCCTTAAGAAGGCCCAAAAAACTCTGAGAGATTACTTTGAGATAAACCTTAGTACCAATGTGGAGAAAAGAGTAATCTGGGACGCTAGTAAAGCAGTTATGAGAGGGTTCTTAATACAACAGAATGCAATAAAGAAAAGAACTCAAAATGAGAAGAAGGATAAGATAATGGACAAAATAAAGGAATGTGAAAAAAGACTGAGAGTAAATCCCAAATCTCAAGAGATTCTGCGAGAGTTAAAGCTATATCAAGTACAATATATGAAAATGATGAATCAGGAAATAGAATGGAAAATTAAACAAATGAGACAAAAGACTTTTGAGTCGGCCAATAAATGTGGTAAATTGTTAGCATGGCAAATGAAAAAGAGAGAAAAATTAAATACGATTACGAACTTAGAGGTGGAAGGAAGAAACATACAGAACCCTGCAGAGATTAGAAGTTGTTTCCAGAGGTACTTTAAACGATTATATACTCAAGGGCCATTGAAAGAAACAGACTTAGACCAATTTTTGAAAACAAATGGATTACAAAAATATCTCAAGAAAATAAATTAATTTTGAATCATAGAATAACTGAACAAGAAATAGAAGGTGCCATTCAAAACATGCAATTGGGTAAATCTCCAGGACCAGACGGCTTGACCTCTAGATACTACAGATCTTTAAAAGAATGGTTAATCCAACCTTTGAAAGAGGTTTGCAATGAAATAATGGAGGGGAAAAGAGCACCAGAGTCGTGGAAAGAAGCATATATTACACTTGTACCAAAGACAGAGACTGAAAAGACACAGCTTAAGAACTACCGCCCTATATCATTATTGAATGTGGATGACAAAATTTTTGCAGATATTTTGGCTAAGAGATTCAAGAAAGTGCTGATGGAAGAGATCCATAAAGACCAAGCGGGCTTTCTCCCAGGAAGACATTTGTCTGACAATTTGAGGAATATAATTGAAATTTTGGAAAAATTAGAAGTGAATATAAACACCAAAGCAGTTTTGATATTTGTAGATGCGGAGAAAGCCTTTGACAATATTTCTTGGAATTTTATGAAGAAGAATCTCCAGGGTATGGGGGTAGGCCAAGGTTTTGAGAATGGTATAGGTGCAATTTATTCAGAACAAAAAGCTAAACTAATTGTAAATAATGTTGTGACGGAAGAACTAAAAATTGAAAAAGGGACACGACAAGGTTGCCCTAGTTCCCAACTTCTTTTTATTTCGGTCCTGGAGGTTTTGCTGAATATGATTAGAAGGGACCAGTCGGTTAAAGGTATACAGGTCGGAACTAAACAGTACAAATTGAGAGCGTTTGCAGATGACTTAGTATTGACGTTACAGGAGCCAGAATCTAGTACTAAAAGAGTTTTAGAACTGATTCAGGAATTTGGTCAAGTGGCAGGATTTAAATTGAACAAGTCAAAAACCAAGGTTTTAGAGAAAAATTTAACACCGTTTGAAAGAGAGAGGTTTCAGAATGAGACAGGTTTAACAGTGGTTAAGAAAGTTAAATACCTGGGGATTAACATGACAGCAAAAATGGGAACTTATTTAAAGATAACTATGAAAAATGTTGGTCTGAAGTGAAAAAGATTGAGAAATTTGGTCAAATTTGAAGCTTTCACTGCTAGGCCGTATTGCTGCGATAAAAATGAATGTATTGCCTAGAATGTTGTTTTTCTTTCAAACTTTGCAGATCGTTGACAAAATGGATTGTTTCAAGAGGTGGCAGAAAGATATTTCTAAATTTGTCTGGCAGGGCAAGAAGCCCAGAATAAAATTTAAAATTTTAACGGATGCAAAGGAAAGAGGCGGATTTGCCCTGCCAGACCTCACACTTACCTATGCATCAGCACCATTTGGCTGGTTGAAAGAATGGCTACTTCTTGAAAACACTGACATTTTGGATTTGGAAGGTTTTAACAATGTATTTGGATGGCATGCATATTTGTGGTATGATAAGGTCAAAGCACATAAAGCATTTAGAAACCACACTGTCAGGAAAGCGCTATTTAATGTTTGGTCAAGATATAAGGATTTGCTAGAAAACAAAACCCCAAGGTGGCTGTCACCAATGGAAGCAAAAGCCTTGAAAAAGGTCAATATGGAGGTCAAATGGCCGAAATATTGGGAAATTTTGGAACAAGACGGAGATAGACTGAAACTGCAGAGTTTTGAAAAACTAAAAAACAAAGTGCGAGACTGGCTCCATTATTATCAGATATTGGAGGCATTTAAATTGGACAGGAAAATTGGCTTCCAGGTGGAAAGATCAAAATTAGAAACAGAACTGTTAGAACCCAAAACTAAGAATTTGTCAAGAATGTATAACTTGCTGCTGAAATGGAATACTCAGGATGAAACGGTAAAATCGGCTATGATTAAATGGGCACAGGATGTTGGACATAACATTATGTTTGCTGACTGGGAACAGTTGTGGACCACAGGTATGAAATTTACGGCATGTAATGCCTTAAGAGAGAATATTATGAAAATGATATACAGGTGGTACATAACCCCAGTCAAGCTTGCAAAAATTTATCACTTGCCCGATAACAAATGTTGGAAATGTAAAGAAACTGAAGGTACATTTTTTCACCTTTGGTGGACGTGCCCAAAGATTAAGGTTTTCTGGGAAATGATATATAATGAATTAAAAAGGTATTTAAGTATACCTTCCCTAAGAAACCAGAGGCCTTTCTCCTGGGCATAGTCGGCCAAATGGTGTTAAAAAGGATAGAACTTTCTTTATGTATGCAACAACAGCAGCAAGAATACTCATCGCAAAATATTGGAAGACACAAGAACTTCCCACGCTGGAGGAATGGCAGATGAAACTTATGGACTATATGGAACTGGCGGAAATGACTGGCAGAATCCGTGACCAGGGAGAAGAGTCGGTGGAGGAAGATTGGAAGAAATTCAAAGACTATCGTCAGAAACATTGTAAAATTAAAGAATGCTAGAGTGATGTTGGACTGAAAATAAGCGGTTTCCAGCTGTACAGGTTAAAGTTAATGATAGACTAAAATTAAGATTAGGATTAAAGATGTTTAAAGAAATGGAAATCTGACAATTAAGAGGGAAAATTTTAACGTTATATTATACTAAGATTAAAGATCAGGTTTAAAGAAATTGAAGATATATATTACAATATTATATTAAAGTTAAAGATTGGGATTAAAAAAGTTGAAAAGAAATTGCTGGACAAACAATTTGGATTGGAATACAAAAGAGGGAGGTATGAGGAAGTCCAGAAAATAAGTAAACTAAAAAACGGAAATGGAAAAGAGATATTGTTTTTAATTGTTATGTTTTTTGTTTTTTATTGTTGAATTGTGTTCTTTTTTGTGTGTTCTTGTTATCTTTTTTTCTTCTTTAGAGATATGTATTGTGTATGTTTTTCTTTTCTTTCTTTGTTGTTCAAAACTTAAATAAAAATTATTTTAAAAAAAAATGAAATACAGATATAATGACATATTAAGAGCTCACCTCCCCCTATGACTATTTATAACTCTGCAGCTCGGTCTTATTCCATAATGGCGGATTCCTAATTACTAAGAACCCGTCCAAAGTTTTTTGAAGTCTCTCCAGCGGCTAACGAGATCCTGCTTCTTTCTAAAATCAGTATTTGGAGTGTCTTTTATCTTCTTCCAGGCAATTCAAAAAACAGGAGCTTTAATTATATAATATTGTTATTTCCACACAGTTTATATTTTGCAATCCCACTTGCTATAAAGCCATTTCCGAATTCCTGAGGAGAGGGGGTTGCGGGCTGCCACCCTCCCACACACGCGGGGGCGGACTTTGCCCCCGCGAGACTCAGGGAATCTCAGGGAATCCCCGGGCGTGCCTGCGATCCGACCCGCCAATCGGCGGGCCGGGGAGGCGTGGCCTTACCTATTTAAGGCCAGGTGCGCCCGGGGACCGCCCTCTTTCCCCTCGCCAGCTGGTAGAAGGTTTTTCTGAAGATTTTTTCCTCTCTTCGTTCGCGTTCCCTCGCCTCGTGTCCCTTTCCGCTTCGCGCAGCACCGAGGATCGCCACGCAGTGAGGTTTTTGTACCTGCATATCGGAGGGGTAAAGCAGCAAGACAGAGGAGCCAGAGTTGATTCGTGGTCCGGTTGCTGCGGCCCCTTGGGTGCCACGTTCGGCAGGGCGATCGCGACGCTGCTTTGTTTCAAGCTGCATGCAAACGGTTCTTCTGGGGGGGGGGGTTTGCCAAGTATTATAATAAATCAGAGTATAATAGTAAAAAAGGCTTTACCCCCCCTCCTTTTCCGTTCCGTTCCAACATATCAACTTAGATGTTATCCTTCTTCCACTCCGTCTCTTTTGGCACCTCAGTGGCTGGCTTAATTGGCAGATTAATTTCCCCCTCCTCACTCGAAGCATGTCCAAAACTTAAACCCAATTTTTCATCTTAAGTAATGGAATTTGGTGCGCTCACGGGGACAGCGTCCAGGAGATCCGAACTCCCTCGGGGGCTTTCCATCCAGTGCCCCCACCCCCTCCTTCTTTACAAACTTGGGGGTGGTTTATTGGGCATCCATGGATGAGACTGCATCTTCCCTTACCCCAGGAAGAATTTGGGAGGCTGATTACTCCCATCTCAGCCTCTAATTACCCCGTGGGCGCTGGAGCGATGGCATTGTCAGCGATGGTATTGTCAGCCAATTAATAATTACAGACCCATATCATTGCTTAATAATGATTATAAGCTGTTTGCGAGTATTCTAGCAAACAGACTGAAATCAGTTATAAAGGACAATATAAACCAAGATCAAGCAGGATTCCTTCCAAACAGACATATAAAGACAAATATGAGAATAGTGATTGATTTATTGGAATATTTAGAATTAAGAACAAATACTGTAAAAGAATGGCGTTTATGCTAATAGACGCTGAGAAGGCTTTTGATAATTTAGCAAGGGTATTTCTACAGAAAGTATTGGAACTAGTATCATTGGGCGAAAATTATTGCAGAAGTATAAATGCGATTTACGAGAAGCAGCAGGCTAGTCTAATAATTAATAGTGTCAAGACAGAATGCTTTCCAGTGGAGAAGGGCACCAGACAAGGATGTCCTCTCTCACCTTTACTTTTTATATTGACATTAGAAATATTGTTGTTGGAAACAAGGAAAGACAAAGAGATCATAGGAATAACACTGGGAAAAGAGGTTTATAAGATCAGGGCTTTTGCGGATGATATTTTGTTAACAACAGAAGAACCAGAAGCAAGTATCACTAAAGCAATAAAGATAATACAGGATTTTGGCAAAGTGTCTGGCTTTAAAATGAATATGGAAAAGACAAAACTTATGGTAAAAAATATGCAAGAAGAAGAGCAAAAAGAACTTCAGGAAAAGGTTGGCTTACAGATTGTTAAGAAAGCAAAATATTTGAGTATAGATCTAACTATGAAGAATATCAACCTGTACAAAAATAATTATGAGAAAGTTTGGAAAGGAATAAGGAAAGATTTTGAAACCTGGAGTAGATTAAAGTTATCATTATGGGGAAGAGTCTCCATAATTAAAATGAATGTCCTGCCAAAAATGCTATATTTGTTCCAAACAATACCAATTATAAATAAAGAGAATTGCTTTGAAGAATGGAGGAAAGGTATAATGAGTTTTGTATGGCAAGGGAAAAAACCGTGGATAAAATATAAATTATTGACAGAAAGAAAGGAAAGGGGAGGATTAGCATTGCCAAATTTAAAATTATATTATGAAGCGGAATGTTTTATTTGGGTAAGAGATTGGATTAGATTGGAAAAAAATAATATATTAGATCTTGAAAATTTTAATAATAGATACGGATGGCATGCGTATCTTAATTACGAGAAAGTAAAAGTCAATATATTAAGAGGTGCATTATATAAAGTTTGGAACAAATATAGATTACATCTGGAACCACAGACACCTTGGTGGATATCATCGCTGGAGGCATATGCTATCAAAAAATTGAATATGAGGACAAATTGGCCAACATATAGACAATTATTGGAAGAGGAACAGGGGAAACTCAGATTAAAATCCTATGAAGATATATGGCAATATGAAGTTGACAGATGGCAGTATATACAACTTAGAAGTATATTCAACTCGGATCAAAAGAAAGGATTTGCAAAAGAGGATTCGTAATTTAACGTCACAGTGATACAGAATAACAACAAATTGTTATCCAAAACATATAATCTTTTATTGGACTGGGAATTGATGGAGGAAGAAGTGAAAGAAACGATGATTAAATGGTCTCAGGATTTCAGACATACTATCTATCTATCTAGAGCAATGGGAGAAACTCTGGCGAGAGGATATAGAATTTACTGCCTCATATACAATTAAAGAAAATTTTGTAAAGATGTTCTATAGGTGGTACTTAACGCCAGTGAAGTTGGCAAAGATATACAAACTGAAATCCAACCTCTGTTGGAGACGTGGTGGAGAAATAGGAACAACAATACATATGTGGTGGAGGTGTGAGGAAATTAAGAAATTTGGGATAGTAGTACACAAAGAACTAAAGAAGACGTTGAAAATATCAATAACAAAGAAACCAGAGACATACCGTATTTTTCGCTCTATAGGACGCACTTTTTCCCCTCCAAAAATGAAGGCGCACCGACCCCTCTCGCTCTCCAGGCTTCAGGCAGCTATCCGCAAGCCTTGGGAGCTCCGCGGGAGTTCCCGTTGGGCTCCCAAGGCTTGTGGATAGCAGCCTCCAAACCTGACCCCCACCGCCAGCCCCACCAGCTCGGGGGACAGCGGGGAGGCGGAGCGCGCCTTCCCACTGTTCCCCGACCTGGTTTGGAGGCTGGCAGTGGGGAAAGCAGCGCTTCTCCCCACCGCCAGCCCCACAAGCTCAGGGGACAGCGGGGAGGCGGAGCGCACCTTCCCACTGTTCCCCAACCTGGTTTGGAGGCTGGCGGTGGGAGCTGCTTGCATCCCGAAGCCTGGGGCGCGCTGAGCCACGCGCCCCAGGCTTCGGGAAGATATCTGCAAGCCTGGGGAGACCGGCACGCCTTCCCGCCGGGCTGCCTAGGCTTGCGGATAGCAGCCTGTTCTGGGGGCTGGGGTCGGGGGTTTCTTTATTTCCCCCCCAAAAAAACTAGGTGCGCCCTATGGGGTGAAAAATACGGTATCTCCTTGGATTGATAGATGATGAGATTGTTGGGATTTCAGTTCCCACAAGCTGCGGGAAAACAGCTGAATTGTTTACATCATGTGATGTGTCTGATGTTTCTGAGCGTGAGACAGGATGTCTGAGCCAGGTCTCAGAGTTTCTCAGTGTAACCGGGGTGGAATTACAGGGAGCGTCTTCCGCTTCTGGATTGAAGCAGAGTCGAGTCGCAGACTCTCATGCTGGACTGCTCGGGTGAGCAGCCATGTTTTGTACAGTCTTAATAAAGTAGTTGTTAGACTACGGACTGCCTCATTCTTCTGTGATGGATTGCCAGAGGTTTGTTAATGTGTTTCTCTCAGAAGGGAGGGATCGCTTATTTACGGCCTCTCTGGACTGAAGGTGGATTCCTGGGTTCCAGCCAGAGAGTGGCCTCCGGAGAATGCCCCAGACTGCCTGGGAAGCTGGCAACCGTCCCAGGCAGGCGTTTTTCCAACATGTGGTAGCAGAGGATGGTTCTGTGATAGCCAGACCTCTGATGTTTTGCCAGCGGATGGCTGGAGGTTGCCTCTTTGCAGATGGGTGCCGATGCGGATCGATGGTCAAAAGGCTTGACTGAATGGTGCCGATCGGATCTCTGAAGTTCTGCAAAAGAAGCTGCTGCTTTGGAACAAAGCACTGCCCAGTTCCTCATTCCGGGGCAGCGACAAGCAGCCTGTTACAGCTGTTTGTTTTCCTGCCAGTAGAAAGACGGAAACCGGGACTGCTTGCAGCTAAAAGGGGAACTGTGAGTAAATCAGCTTTTGATTTATGAGGCTGCTAAACCTCAAAGGGAGAAGCAAGTCAGAATTGAGCAATTAAAGAGGCTCATAGACTGCTTTAAGATTTACAGCTTGTTGCTCAGAAGAAGCTGATAGCTGTTTTAAAGTTGGAGCCAAGATGGATTCTTGGCAAGGGGAGGGCAAGATGATTTCCCCCCCCCCCCGACCAATGCTAATTATTCGAGCTGGTGTCTGAAAATGAAAGCAATGTTACAGCGCCAAAGAATATGGGATGTTGTTGAGAACGCAGTTCCTGCAGCCCTGGGAAGGCTATGGAACGATCACGACACCCAAGCAAAGGCTGCAATAATTCTCTGTCTGTCTGATGACCAGTTAATTCATGGGTTGTGCGCACGCAAGGCTAATGTGGCAGGCATTACGCCGAGTGCACATGCGTGAAGCAGCCAGGACAGCTTTGCTGCACTTTCAGCAGCTCACCAATATGAGGTTGAAAGTGGGAGGAGATCTCCGGGAACACCTCACCAGGATGCAATATTTGCATCACCAGCTGGCGGAGAGGAATTTTCCATTAGATGAGGCTGTGTTTTGCTTCATGTTGATAAACAGCCTAGACCAGAGGTTTGGGACTGTTGCCAGTCAGCTGGGCACCCTGCCAGCTGTGGATCTTAACGTCTCAAGGATCTGTGCAGCTCTGATGAATGGGAATGATCGATTGGCTGCACTTGCCGTTTCTGAGGGGGAGAGTGGAGCTACATCAGCGTCCCCCACAGTCGCTCAGGAGGAGCAGGCAGTTGCCTTAAACGCCATTCATTGCCACAAGTGTGGACTTCTCGGCCATGTGCAGAGGAACTGCAAAAGCCGTGTTTCCAAAGGAGCTAAGGGGAGCTCTGGAAAGGCAGAGGCCGGTAGCAAAAGTCGTGCTAAGCCTCAGACAAAGCCTGCTAAAGCTTTGTTTTTGCCAAAGTCTTTACCGTCGACCTGGAATTCGTTTGTCGCAGACACGGGTGCAACAAACCATTTATCCGGAAGAAGAGGGATATTTTCCACTTTTGAGAGTCGACGTTTCACCGTGAAGCAAGCTAATCGTCAGGAGCTGGAAGCTACTGGATTTGGGACTGTTTTTCTTCAAAGTCTCAATCTGACTATTAACAGTGTGTACTTTGTGCCAGGTTTGGAATTTAACCTGCTCAGCGTGTCACAGCTGACAAAGCAAGGACTGGTGGTGTCCTTCAATGAGAGAAGATGTACAATCTTCAAGGATAAGAAGCCATTTCTTTCTGCCAAAGAAGAAGATGGACTGTATTTGTTGCGTTTTGATAGTACTGATTGTAAAGATTGTAAAACTAACGTGTCTTGTTTTACAGGTTCTTCTACAGAAGGTGCCAAAGGCCACAGGTCTACGAAGGTTACCAAGGTTTTTCAGCGAGTGTATGCTGATGTAATTGGTCCTCTACCGCTCACTAGAGGCAATGCAAAGTACTATCTTGTAATGGTTGATTGTTTTTCTCAATATGTCTGGATTTACGTATTGCAGAAGCAGCAACAGACCTTAGCAAAATTAAAGAGTTTTGTGAAAAGGTGGAATTTGTTCATGATGCTAATATTGAAAGTCTTTTCACAGATGAAAAGCCAGTTTTTGTTTCACGGGATTTCAAAGATTTCCTAGAGAAATGCGAGATAGAGCACAAGGTTGCTGTCTCAGAGGCTTCATGGAACAAGAGTGTATGTGTCAAGGTGAACACAGAGTTGCAGAAAGGCATGAAAGCACAACTGCAAAGTGCAGATTTGTCCCAAGAGTTCTGGGCTGAGTCGCTGAACACATATTATTACACGTGGGTAAGAAAGGTATCAGCAGGTATGGAAAGTTCTCCATTTGAGAAACTGTTCCAGAGAAAACCTTCAGTGAAACACTTTAGGGTTTTCGGATCCCAGGTGCATGTGGAGACACCACAGAGAGTCAAAGGTGCTAAGGGCATTTTTGTGGGTTACGAAAAGGGTTACTACAGAGTAGTTCTTCCCGAGTCTGATTGAGTGATTCTGACAAAACATGTAGAATGCACTGGTAGACAGGAGAAAGAGTTTCTCCACTGTTTTCTCACTGAAGTCAATACAGATGTGTATTCTGATATTGAGAGTGACAGTGAAAGCACCACTGAAAGTTCTGATGACACAGTCATTGAGGTGGGTTCACACACAATGTCCAGGCCTACACAGGTTCAGGCTGAACTGGAATTGACAGAACCATTGTTTACTGTTGGGCGTGTTTCTTCCAAAGGTCCCAAGGAAGAATCAGCCAGCAAGGAGGATCTGCACCTCATTTGCAGATCTGAGAGAGTCACAAAGGGCGTGCCACCCAAAAGGTACTCTCAGGAGTTTGCTAACTCAGCTATGGCATGTATAGCTGTTGTTAACAGCTCAAGCCAGGTTCAAGGTTTGTCCAGGGCAGAGACAAAGCCATTCCTGGAGGTTGCAAGGCGCAACACAATTCTCCCTAGCCAAGGTAGAGCCGAAGCTCTAGTTCCTTGGAAAGGAAATCACCAGAGGTTTCAACTGGTAGATCCAGTTGCAGGTAGTTCCAAAGGTGGAGCTGGAACAACAGGGGTTTGTTATGTGTATAACAACTGTTTGTCTTCCTTGCTTGATGCTGCTTTTGTTTTCGCAGCTAGTGTGACTCAAATGGGGGAGGATGTTGGGATTTCAGTTCCCACAAGCTGCGGGGAAACAGCTGAATTGTTTACATCATGTGATGTGTCTGATGTTTCTGAACGTGAGACAGGATGTCTGAGCCAGGTCTCAGAGTTTCTCAGTGTAACCGGGGCGGAATTACAGGGAGCGTCTTCCACTTCTGGATTGAAGCAGAGTCGAGTCGCAGACTCTCATGATGGACTGCTTGGGTGAGCAGCCATGTTTTGTACAGTCTTAATAAAGTAGTTGTTAGACTACGGACTGCCTCATTCTTCTGTGATGGATTGCCAGAGGTTTGTTAGTGTGTTCCTCTCAGAAGGGAGGGATCGCTTATTTACGGCCTCTCTGGACTGAAGGTGGATTCCTGGGTTCCAGCCAGAGAGTGGCCTCCGGAGAATGCCCCCAGACTGCCTGGGAAGCTGGCAACTCTCCCGGGCAGGCGTTTTTCTAACAGAGATACCACGGGGGGGGGGGGATTTTTCTATATGCAAGTACAGCTGCTAGAATAGTGATTGCTGCTAGGTGGAAGTGACAAATTATACCCACAAAGGAGGAATGGATTTGTAAACTAAATTAATATTTAATTTTGGCAAAATTAACTGCTATAATTGTCAGTGTTTGTAAAAAAAAAAAAAAGGAAAAGGGTTCTGACCTCCCTTTGTCTCCTCAGCCTGGTCCTCAGACCCTTGTCGGCATAAAAGAGTCCACAAGAATATCCTTGCAGAGTGCTTTCTGCTTTTATTCTTAAAAGTCTTTGTGCAAAAGCGACTGACATACAACAACACTACCAGCTTTCACTAATCAACCAACCAATCCCACAACAAACTAACATTTCTCATTCTATATATACAACCTGGTGCAGGTCGCTGACTCATGCTGACCCAGCTTTATTCGCATTAAAGAAACAGCGGCCATTTTAGCCGTGACACCCCTTCTGTTTCTTAAATGCGAAAAACCTCAACAGAAACAATACATACATACATTATATACATAAACCCAGTTTTGTCATCAATTCATTATGGCATGTTGCTGGCAAAGGCTTAGTAAACAAATCAGCAATATTATCTTGTGATTGACAATACTCCAGTTTGATTATCCCATTCTGTACAAAATCTCTAACATTTGCATGACGGATAGCAATATGTTTTGATGCGGATTTCATTATTTCCGAGCCCACTAATGCAATGCACGATTGGCTATCTTCATACACTTGGATAGGCAAATCTGTTGGGATACTGCCAGGGAGATAAAGTCCATCATGGCCCCCAAGCCGTCTGCCGGACGATCCATCGACCTCCCGTAGGCACGCAGCGACATGAGTTTCTAGAAAATATCTTGCCACATTCCAGAGCTCATGCACGCTCTATCAGCAGATAATGCACAGCCAAAAGTTGCAATCAGGAGAGCATTATTTACAAGTTTATTCAGCGTTGATCAGAACACAGAAAAACATGACTGCCTGCTTTAGTGTCTCACGACACAGAGAGAAACGAAAGCAACAGAAAACATAAACATCCTGTGAACAGAAAATACGCAGACTCTGACTCACAAAGCCTGCTCCCTTTTAAGGTGGAACGGAAATATCCTAACATCCTCCCCTTTCCGTGTAACCTGTAGTACCTGTGGTTCAACCCAATTGCAACCTTTGTACATAAACCTTAAGTTGTTCTCTGTTAACAACCTTAGACAACAGATCAGCAGGAATTTCATTTCCTGGCATGTAGGACACCTGAATGAGTCCTTTCTGAATACACTCTCTTGCACGATGTAGCTTAATCTGCAAGTACTTGGTCCTTTGCTTGCAACTCTCTGAGTTCAGCAAAGCCAAACACGATCTATTGTCTTGATACACTTGTACAGGACATTTCACAGAAACTCTGATGTCCTTAAACAGTTGCATCAACCATTCACAATCCATGAGTGAAAATGACAGAGCATTGAGTTCTGCTTCACAGGAACTTAGGCTCACTGTTGTCTGCTTTTTGCACAACCAGTCAAACAGGCAGCGGTTGTACATGTAGCATACTCCAGAAGTGCTTGTACCATCCGTGGTGTCACTTCCAAAACTTGCATCTGCAAAGATTTCAAGACCTCCAGTCTTCTGACTGGTGAACCTCAGCCTGTAGTGCATAGTCCCTTTCAGATAGCGGGCTATGCGCTTCAGAGCTTTCCAATCCTGAACAGTAGGATTGTTGGCATGTCTGCTAAGCAGGTTAGTGCTTACAGCTATGTCAGGTCTTGAGCATCTAGCAATGAAATTCAACTTGCCTAGAATGCATCTGTACAGCGTAGTGTCAGAAAACGCTTCAGCAGTACTGTCTACCTGGTAACCTGTCACCATCGGTGTGTCTGCTGGGTTTGCATCAACCAAATTCAACCTGGTTAATACATCAGCAATTTTCTGTGTTTGGTGTACCAGAAAATTACCTGCTTGGTCCCTCTCCACCTGCAGAGAGAGATAGTTGGATACCTCACCAAGATCCTTCATGTCAAAGTGCTCCTTCAGCTGAGCTAGGGTGCTTTGGTACAAAGCCTGATTCTTCCAAAACATCAGAAGATCATCAACAAAACATAAACAATACAGTTTGTTTTGCCCCTCCTCCTTGACAAACACACATGGATCAGCTTTGCCCTGGTGAAAACCTAGAGAAAGCAACGTCTCAGTGAGCTTTGTGTTCCAACACCTGGCACTCTGCTTGAGACCATATAAGGATTTCCGCAGTTTACAGACCATTCCCTTCTGTATCTGCATCCCATCAGGTGGAAGCATAAACAGCTCCTCCCTCAGAATCCCGTACAAAAAGCTGTATTAATGTCATGATGGGAAACATGCAGTTTCTCCTCTGCAGCTATATTGAGCATCAGCCGAATGCTCTCATATTTGACGGTGGGTGAGTAGGTCTCGTGGTAATCCTGTCCTGGTACCTGTGAAAAACCTCTGGCAACCAATCTGGCTTTGTGTCTGACAACCTTGCCATTCTGGTCTGTCTTGGCCTTGAAGACCCATTTGCTGCCAACCAGTCTCATCCCTGGGACTACCGGTACCAGCTCCCAAGTTTGGTTCCTATTCAAGGAATCAACTTCAGCCTTCATGGCATTAAGCCAAGGCTCAGCATCTTTAGAGGTTAACTCCTGAACCTCTTTGAAGCTTGAAGGTTCCCACACCTTCTCTGAGCTACTAAGAACAGCAGTTGCTGTCTTAGCAAACTCATCAGCAAATCTCTTTGGAGGTCTGCCCTTGGTGGCTCTTTCAGATCTGCGTACTAGACGCAAGTCTTCTGGACTCATCTCCTCTTTCTTAGGAGAAAAGTGACCAATGGTGATCAGTGGTTCTTCCAGTTCATTGTCAGACGCATCAGATGGTCTGACTGAGGCCTTTGCGCTCTTGTAGTCTGCTGTGTTATCACTTTCACTGACACCAGCAGCAGCGCAGCCCACTGAACTGGAATCCGAACTCTGATCATCATCGTCATCATCATCCTCAGCAGCTTCCTCAACATTATCTGCTTTCTTCACATCACCTTCATCCTCCTCTGGGTAACTCTGGAAAATTCCCACATTTTCCCCCCACTTAGGATTGTACTCAACACTCTTTGTGAACTTAATGGACTTAGAGTTGGTCATCCATACCCTGTATGAACCTTTTTTGTACCCCATGAACAAACCATGTGCCCCACGCTTCGCAATCTTGTTGCTCTGTGGGGTGTGTACCCACATGTCAGAACCAAAGATTCTCATGTGTTTGATGTTGGGTTTCTTACCAAACATCTTCTCATAGGGGGTACAACCAATAGGTGATGACAATCTGCGATTAAAAGTGTAAACAAACGAGTTCAAAGACTCCCCCCAAAACTTCTCAGGGAGATTGGCATCATGCAACAAGGTTTTCAGTCCTTGCAGCAACGTTTGATTTGCTCGCTCCGCAAGTCCATTCATCCATGGCGATCTAGGCGTTGACAAGTCATGCTGAATTCCCTTCTCAGTCAAGAAAGCTTCAAACTGCTGAGAAGTGAACTCCCCGCCTCGATCAGTAAACAGACAGTCAATGCGTTTACCGTGAACATTCTCCAACCAAGCACAGAATGCCTTGAACTTAGGAAACGCTTGCGATTTCTGCTTGAGCATAAACACATGAATGTACCTGGAAAAAGAATCAATTAGAACCATGAACTACCTTGCTCCACGCAAAGAGGGCGCAAGTGGACCAACCAGGTCTGCGTGCACTAGCTGGTAGGGTTTGGAAGCCTGCCTGCTAGACTCCTTGCCTTTTGGAGCAACCTTCACCTTGTTCTCTGCACAAGATACACATTTCATGTGAAACTTACAGGGTTTGATGTTCAAACCCTCAACCATCTCTGGTATCTTGGCCAGTGCCTTCCAAGAGAGGTGACAAAACCTTCTGTGTGCATCGTGAATGCATCCTGCATGAAGAACTTTGTTAGCTTGTGCAACACAACAAGAATCAACATTAGACACAACAGCACCATTGTCATCATAAGTTATACAGAACAAACCATCTATAAACTTTGCATGCATAATGTCCTCTTTGCCTTTTCTAATGACACAAACGCTCCTCTTGAAGGAAATCTCAAAACCACACCCAGGAAGCTGTGGGACACTGAGCAAATTGTCTGTAGCACCTGGAACATATAGTACATCTTTGATGGTAGTGTGCAGACTTGCCAGTCTCATAGTCCCTTCTCCTGCGATTCGCAATGTCTTTCCGTCAGCCAGGTGGATCTCACCTTCTTGAGGTTTGAAGGAGATAAAGAGATGGCGGTCTTTTGAGACATGGCGGGTACTCCCTGAATCAACAACAAACCTGGCTTTGGCCCTTGGAGCAGCCTTTGCAGCAAGCAAAACCTTGTTTTCCACTGGCGTGGGCTTTTGCAGCTTGCCCCCCTGCTCCTGGCCATCAGACTTGCCTTTAGCCTTTGGTGAAGCTGTGCCAGCAAACAAAGCCTTGTTTTCCACTGGCATGGGCTCTTCACCCTCCTTCTGCTTCTGGCCATCTGCAGGCATCCGCCTCTGTTTACTTCTGGCCTTCCGGCCTCTGCAAAGGCGATGACCTTGGTTCTCACGAGAAACAGAGTTCTCAGCTGCCGACTCCTTGGCTCCCCCTGGAGGCTGGAATGCTGCCTGGGATGACGTGACAGTCAGCTCCCCCTGCAGCTTGCAACCGGTGCCCTCGGCATCCCTGCATTCACTCGCATTCTGGGAAAAAGCCAGGACCTCCGATGCAGTCAAACTCTGGGCTTGGATGACTGGCAGATGAGCTTCTTTCAAAGCATTCCACATCTTACGTGCAGTCACGTTGCCAGCTAACGTTTTAATTTCCTCCAGAGAGACGGACTAGACTATTACGTCAATGGCCCTCGAATTCTGGGCTTTCCATCTATCTGTCAGAGGAACTGGAGGGGCTTCAGACACAGTATGCCACACTCCAAACTGACGCAGCAAACTCTCACACCACACAGCCCAGGTTTTATAATTGTGCCAATTTAGCTTTGGGCACTCAGCAGCCTCAGAAGCTTGGAAAAACTCCATTCCAGCTTTTTACTTGAGCCGTGAGTCTTATTCACTTCAGAGACTTCTTATCTCGGCTCCCATTAATCTTGAGGCCTGTTTGGCTCGACTCCCAGACCAATTAGGCCTGCCGGACATCAAAAGCTCTTGCCGCGGCAAACAGAAAAGCCTTACTTTCGCTTTTCCTCCACATACCTTTCAGCAGTCTGTCGCAGTCTTACTCTCCTGTAAGTGCTGTGAATCTGGGCCCGAAACCTGTTGTTGGGATACTGCCAGGGAGATAAAGTCCATCATGGCCCCCAAGCTGGCTGCCGGACGATCCATCGATCTCCCGTAGTCACGCAGTATCAACAATTAGTGACATGAGTTTCTAGAAATAGCTTGCCACATTCCAGAGCTCATGCACACTCTATCAGCAGATAATGCACAGCCAAAGTCGCACTCAGGAGAGCATTATTTACAAGTTTATTCAGCGCTGATCAAAACACAGAAAAACATGACTGCCTGCTTTAGTGTCTACGACACAGAGAGAGAAAAAACGAAAGCAACAGAAAACATAAACATCCTGTGAACAGGAAATACGCAGACTCTGTGACTCACAGCCTGCTCCCTTTTAAGGTGGAACGGAAATATCCTAACACTCCTTACAGCGAACTTTTTGATTAACAGAACCTGGTCTAGCTCTATAAAAGATATTCCTTATCGAGTGTTGTTTGGGAAAGAACCAGAGTGGACAATGATCCATAACTGGGGTTCTTGGGCACATGTAAATATCCCCAAAGCTCAGCGCCAGAAAGGGGGCGCTAGAGTGCAGAGACTGTGGTTTGTGGGATACCAGTCCTATGGCAAAGGGTGGCGTTTCAATTTATGCCCAGGACACGTGGTTCTGTCACGAAGCGCAGACTTCGCTGACCAGGACAGATGGACTGCGATCCATGCCAACTCAGATTGCCTACTGCCCCTGCAAGTAAGAGAAGAGGCTTCTTCTCAGCCATTGGCAACACAGGAGCAGGATGCACAGGAGGAAGCACAGATTTCCCCAAAAGATGTGGCAATAGATAATACTTCTTCTCTAGAGGAAGAGGAAGAAGAGCCAGAGATAAGGGGGGAAGAAGAAGTAGTTGTGCCTAGGCGCTCCAAACGTTCAAACAAGGGTGTACCTCCTCAGCATTTGACCCTAGGAGGAGTGAGAGCATGCAATGTGAATTGTGTGGAACCACAAAGTTATAATGAAGTCTTAGACTTACCCCCTGGGGAATGTGCTTTGTGGGAACAAGCTTTGAAAGAAGAAATGGACTCTTTTAAACGTAACAAAGTGTTTGAGGTCATAATGCCGCCACCTGGTGGCAGAGTGGTGTCATGCAAGTGGGTTTATAAAAGGAAAACCCTTGCATCTGGGGAACCACGTTTTCGAGCCAGATTAGTAGCCAGAGGGTTCACTCAGATTAAAGGGGAGAGTTATGATGAAGCGTTTTCTCCCACTGTAAAGAGTGAAACTTTTCATTTAATGCTTTCCATTGCTGCTGTAAGACAATTAGCAGTGCACCATTTTGATGTTGAAGCAGCATATCTGCATGCAAATTTAGACCATGAAGTGTTAATGAGACAACCCCCTGGGTTTGAAGAGGGGAATGGTGCAGTCTGGTGTTTGAAAAAGGCTGTCTATGGTCTCAAACAAAGTGGAAGGTGTTGGAACCAGTGTTTAAATGAAGCCTTTGTAAAACTTGGTTTTAAAAGGAGTGTGGCTGATCCATGCCTGTACACCAAGGGGACAGGCAACAAATATCTAATGCTCTTAGTCTTTGTTGATGATTTGCTTGTGGCAGGGAGTTCCACAGATGAGATCCAGAAGCTCCCAAGTCAACTGGAAAAGAGGTTTAAGCTTAAATCCTTAGGGCCTGTAAGCAATTACTTGGGAGTAGAAGTAAGGCAGGAAGCTGATGGAAGCTTTCTATTAAGCCAGAAAGAGAAAATTCTTCATTTGATAGAGCAGTTTGGCATGGAAAACTGCAAGCCAGTTCAGACTCCCGTGACACCAGATTTCCCAAAGACAGTGTGTGATGATGAATTTGATCAGCCTGAGTTGTATCACTCAAAAATAGGATCACTGTTGTATTTAAGCCAGTGGTCAAGGCCAGACATTGCATGTGCTACAAATGTTCTGAGCCAACGTGTATCTAAACCCAGGACTGCTGATTGGTGTGCTTTGAAAAGGCTTATCAAATATCTAAAGGGGACATTAAATGTATGTTTGAAGATATCTAGTACACAAGACGAAAAACTAGAAGTATTTGTTGATGCGGACTGGGGAAGCTGTGTAGCTACTAGAAAATCTACAAGTGGAATGGTTATGATGTTTGCCAATTCCATAATTGGGTGGAAGTCAAAGAAACAAGGATTTGTTGCGACCTCATCCTGTGAGGCAGAATATGGGAGCCTGTCGCTAGCATGCAATGAAATCATGTGGTTTATACAGATACTAAAAGATCTAGATTGTAAAGTAGATTTGCCTATCCAAGTGTATGAAGATAGTCAATCGTGCATTGATTTAGCGGGTTAGGATATTTCCGTTCCACCTTAAAAGGGAGCAGGCTTTGTGAGTCAGAGTCTGCGTATTTCCTGTTCACAGGATGTTTATGTTTTCTGTTGCTTTCGTTTTCTCTCTGTGTCGTAGACACTAAAGCAGGCAGTCATGTTTTTCTGTGTTCTGATCAACGCTGAATAAACTTGTAAATAATGCTCTCCTGATTGCAACTTTTGGCTGTGCATTATCTGCTGATAGAGCATGCATGAGCTCTGGAATGTGGCAAGATATTTTCTAGAAACTCATGTCGCTGCGTGCCTACGGGAGGTCGATGGATCGTCCGGCAGACAGCTTGGGGGCCATGATGGACTTTGTCTCCCTGGCAGTATCCCAACAACAGGTTTCGGGCCCAGATTCACAGCACTTACAGGAGAGTAAGACTGCGACAGACTGCTGAAAGGTACGTGGAGGAAAAGCGAAAGTGAGGCTTTTCTGTTTGCCGAGGCAAGGGCCTTTGAACTCCGGCAGACTAATGGATCTGGAAGCCGCGCCAAAGGCCTCAAGATTTATGGCTGCCGAGATAAGACGTTTTTGAAGGCATAAAGGCTCACGGCTCAAGTAGAAACCTGGAATGGAGTTTTTCCAAGCTTCTGAGGCTGCTGAGTGTCCAAAGCTAAATCGGCACAATTATGGGACCTGGGCTGTGTGGTGTGAGAGCTTGCTGCGTCAGTTTGGAGTGTGGCATACTGTGTGTGAGGCCCCTCCAGTTCCTCTGACAGAGAGATGGAAGGCCGAAAATTCGAAGGCGATAGACATAATAGTCTTGTCCGTCTCTCTGGAGGAAATAAAAACGCTTGCTGGCAACACCACTGCACGTAAGATGTGGCATGCTTTGAAGATAGCCCATTTGCCAGTCATCCCAGCCCAGAGTTTGACTGCATTGGAGGTCCTGGCTGTTTCCCAGAATGCGAGTGAATGCAGGGATGCTGAGGGCACCGGTTGCAAGCTGCAGGGGAGCTGACTGTCACGTCATCCCAGGCAGCATTCCAGCCTCCAGGGGAGCCAAGGAGTCGGCAGCTGAGAGCTCTGTTTCTCATGGGAGCCAAGGTCATCGCCTTTGCAGAGGCCGGAAGGGCAAAGGTAAACAGAGGCAGACGCCTGCAGATGGCCAGAAGCAGAGGGAGGGTGAAGAGCCCACGCCAGAGAAAAACAAGGCATTGTTTGCTGGCACAACTTCACCAAAGGCTAAAGGCAAGTCTGATGGCCAGGAGCAGGGGGGCAAGCTGCAAAAGCCCACGCCAGTGGAAAACAAGGTTTTGTTTGCTGGCACAGCTTCACCAAAGGCTAAAGGCAAGTCTGATGGCCAGGAGCAGGGGGCAAGCTGCAAAGCCCACGCCAGTGGAAAACAAGGTTTTGTTTGCTGGCACAGCTTCACCAAAGGCTAAAGGCAAGTCTGATGGCCAAGAGCAGGGGGGCAAGCTGCAAAAGCCCACGCCGGTGGAAAACAAGGTTTTGCTTGCTGCAAAGGCTGCTCCAAAGGCCAAAGCCAGGTTTGTTGTTGATTCAGGGTGTACCCGCCATGTGTCGAAAGACCGCCATCTCTTTATCTCCTTCAAGCCTCAAGAAGGTGAGATCCACCTGGCTGATGGAAAGACGTTGCGAATTGCAGGAGAAGGGACTGTTAAACTGGCAAGTCTGCACACTACCATCAAAGATGTACTATATGTTCCAGGTGCTGCAGACAATTTGCTCAGTGTCCCACAGCTGACTGGGCGTGGTTTTGAGATTTCCTTCAAAAGGAGCGTCTGTGTCATCAGAAAAGGCAAAGAGGACATTTTGCATGCAAAGTTTATGGATGGCTTGTTCTGTATAACTTATGACGACAATGGTGCTGTTGTGTCTAATGCTGATTCTTGTTGTGTTGCACAAACTAACAAAGTTCTTCATGCAGGATGCATTCACGATGCACACAGGAGGTTTTGTCACCTCTCTTGGCAGGCGCTGGCCAAGATGCCAGAGATGGTTGAGGGTTTGAACATCAAACCCTGTAAGTTTCACATGAAATGTGTATCTTGTGCAGAGAACAAGGTGAAGGTTGCTCCAAAAGGCAAGGAGTCTAGCAGGCAGGCTTCCAAACCCTACCAGCTAGTGCACGCAGACCTGGTTGGTCCACTTGCGCCCTCTTTGGGTGAAGCAAGGTACTTCATGGTTATAATTGATTCTTTTTCCAAGTACATTCATGTGTTTATGCTCGAGCAGAAATCGCAAGCGTTTCCTAAGTTCAAGGCATTCTGTGCTTGGTTGGAGAATGTTCACGGTAAACGCATTGGCTGTCTGTTTACTGATCGAGGCGGGGAGTTCACTTCTCAGCAGTTTGAAGCTTTCTTGACTGAGAAGGGAATTCAGCATGACTTGTCAACGCCTAGATCGCCATGGATGAATGGACTTGCGGAGCGAGCAAATCAAACGTTGCTGCAAGGACTGAAAACCTTGTTGCATGATGCCAATCTCCTGAGAAGTTTTGGGGGAGTCTTTGAACTCGTTTGTTTACACTTTTAATCGCAGATTGTCATCACCTATTGGTTGTACCCCCTATGAGAAGATGTTTGGTAAGAAACCCAACATCAAACACATGAGAATCTTTGGTTCTGACATGTGGGTACACACCCCACAGAGCAACAAGATTGCGAAGCGTGGGGCACATGGTTTGTTCATGGGGTACAAAAAAGGTTCATACAGGGTATGGATGACCAACTCTAAGTCCATTAAGTTCACAAAGAGTGTTGAGTACAATCCTAAGTGGGGGGAAAATGTGGGAATTTTCCAGAGTTACCCAGAGGAGGATGAAGGTGATGTGAAGAAAGCAGATAATGTTGAGGAAGCTGCTGAGGATGATGATGACGATGATGATCAGAGTTCGGATTCCAGTTCAGTGGGCGGCGCTGCTGCTGGTGTCAGTGAAAGTGATAACACAGCAGACTACAAGAGCGCAAAGGCCTCAGTCAGACCATCTGATGCGTCTGACAATGAACTGGAAGAACCACTGATCACCATTGGTCACTTTTCTCCTAAGAAAGAGGAGATGAGTCCAGAAGACTTGCGTCTAGTACGCAGATCTGAAAGAGCCACCAAGGGCAGACCTCCAAAGAGATTTGCTGATGAGTTTGCTAAGACAGCAACTGCTGTTCTTAGTAGCTCAGAGAAGGTGTGGGAACCTTCAAGCTTCAAAGAGGTTCAGGAGTTAACCTCTAAAGATGCTGAGCCTTGGCTTAATGCCATGAAGGCTGAAGTTGATTCCTTGAATAGGAACCAAACTTGGGAGCTGGTACCGGTAGTCCCAGGGATGAGACTGGTTGGCAGCAAATGGGTCTTCAAGGCCAAGACAGACCAGAATGGCAAGGTTGTCAGACACAAAGCCAGATTGGTTGCCAGAGGTTTTTCACAGGTACCAGGACAGGATTACCACGAGACCTACTCACCCACCGTCAAATATGAGAGCATTCGGCTGATGCTCAATATAGCTGCAGAGGAGAAACTGCATGTTTCCCATCATGACATTAATACAGCTTTTTGTACGGGATTCTGGGGGAGGAGCTGTTTATGCTTCCACCTGATGGGATGCAGATACAGAAGGGAATGGTCTGTAAACTGCGGAAATCCTTATATGGTCTCAAGCAGAGTGCCAGGTGTTGGAACACAAAGCTCACTGAGACGTTGCTTCTCTAGGTTTTCACCAGGGCAAAGCTGATCCATGTGTGTTTGTCAAGGAGGAGGGGCAAAACAAACTGTATTGTTTATGTTTTGTTGATGATCTTCTGATGTTTTGGAAGAATCAGGCTTTGTACCAAAGCACCCTAGCTCAGCTGAAGGAGCACTTTGACATGAAGGATCTTGGTGAGGTATCCAACTATCTCTCTCTGCAGGTGGAGAGGGACCAAGCAGGTAATTTTCTGGTACACCAAACACAGAAAATTGCTGATGTATTAACCAGGTTGAATTTGGTTGATGCAAACCCAGCAGACACACCGATGGTGACAGGTTACCAGGTAGACAGTACTGCTGAAGCGTTTTCTGACACTACGCTGTACAGATGCATTCTAGGCAAGTTGAATTTCATTGCTAGATGCTCAAGACCTGACATAGCTGTAAGCACTAACCTGCTTAGCAGACATGCCAACAATCCTACTGTTCAGGATTGGAAAGCTCTGAAGCGCATAGCCCGCTATCTGAAAGGGACTATGCACTACAGGCTGAGGTTCACCAGTCAGAAGACTGGAGGTCTTGAAATCTTTGCAGATGCAAGTTTTGGAAGTGACACCACGGATGGTACAAGCACTTCTGGAGTATGCTACATGTACAACCGCTGCCTGTTTGACTGGTTGTGCAAAAAGCAGACAACAGTGAGCCTAAGTTCCTGTGAAGCAGAACTCAATGCTCTGTCATTTTCACTCATGGATTGTGAATGGTTGATGCAACTGTTTAAGGACATCAGAGTTTCTGTGAAATGTCCTGTACAAGTGTATCAAGACAATAGATCGTGTTTGGCTTTGCTGAACTCAGAGAGTTGCAAGCAAAGGACCAAGTACTTGCAGATTAAGCTACATCGTGCAAGAGAGTGTATTCAGAAAGGACTCATTCAGGTGTCCTACATGCCAGGAAATGAAATTCCTGCTGATCTGTTGTCTAAGGTTGTTAACAGAGAACAACTTAAGGTTTATGTACAAAGGTTGCAATTGGGTTGAACCACAGGTACTACAGGTTACACGGAAAGGGGAGGATGTTAGGATATTTCCGTTCCACCTTAAAAGGAGCAGGCTTTGTGAGTCAGAGTCTGCGTATTTTCTGTTCACAGGATGTTTATGTTTTCTGTTGCTTTCGTTTTCTCTCTGTGTCGTAGACACTAAAGCAGGCAGTCATGTTTTTCTGTGTTCTGATCAACGCTGAATAAACTTGTAAATAATGCTCTCCTGATTGCAACTTTTGGCTGTGCATTATCTGCTGATAGAGCGTGCATGAGCTCTGGAATGTGGCAAGATATTTTCTAGAAACTCATGTCGCTGCGTGCCTACGGGAGGTCGATGGATCGTCCGGCAGACGGCCTGGGGGCCATGATGGACTTTATCTCCCTGGCAGTATTCCAACAACAGGTTTCGGGCCCAGATTCACAGCACTTACAGGAGAGTAAGACTGCGACAGACTGCTGAAAGGTATGTGGAAGAAAAGCGAAAGTGAGGCTTTTCTGTTTGCCACGGCAAGGGCCTTTGAACTCCGGCAAATTAATGGATCTGGGAGCCGCGCCAAAGGCCTCAAGATTTATGGCTGCCGAGATAAGACGTTTTTGAAGGCATAAAGGCTCACGGCTCAAGTAGAAACCTGGAATGGAGTTTTTCCAAGCTTCTGAGGCTGCTGAGTGTCCAAAGCTAAATCGGCACAATTATGGGACCTGGGCTGTGTGGTGTGAGAGCTTGCTGTGTCAGTTTGGAGTGTGGCATACTGTGTGTGAGGCCCCTCCAGTTCCTCTGACAGAGAGATGGAAGGCCGAAAATTCGAAGGCGATAGACATAATAGTCTTGTCCGTCTCTCTGGAGGAAATAAAACGCTTGCTGGCAACACCACTGCACGTAAGATGTGGCATGCTTTGAAGATAGCCCATTTGCCAGTCATCCCAGCCCAGAGTTTGACTGCATTGGAGGTCCTGGCTGTTTCCCAGAATGCGAGTGAATGCAGGGATGCCGAGGGCACCGGTTGCAAGCTGCAGGGGAGCTGACTGTCACGTCATCCCAGGCAGCATTCCAGCCTCCAGGGGAGCCAAGGAGTCGGCAGCTGAGAGCTCTGTTTCTCATGGGAGCCAAGGTCATCGCCTTTGCAGAGGCCGGAAGGGCAAAGGTAAACAGAGGCAGACGCCTGCAGATGGCCAGAAGCAGAGGGAGGGTGAAGAGCCCACGCCAGAGAAAAACAAGGCATTGTTTGCTGGCACAACTTCACCAAAGGCTAAAGGCAAGTCTGATGGCCAGGAGCAGGGGGGCAAGCTGCAAAAGCCCACGCCAGTGGAAAACAAGGTTTTGTTTGCTGGCACAGCTTCACCAAAGGCTAAAGGCAAGTCTGATGGCCAGGAGCAGGGGGGCAAGCTGCAAAAGCCCACGCCAGTGGAAAACAAGGTTTTGTTTGCTGGCACAGCTTCACCAAAGGCTAAAGGCAAGTCTGATGGCCAAGAGCAGGGGGGCAAGCTGCAAAAGCCCACGCCGGTGGAAAACAAGGTTTTGCTTGCTGCAAAGGCTGCTCCAAAGGCCAAAGCCAGGTTTGTTGTTGATTCAGGGTGTACCCGCCATGTGTCGAAAGACCGCCATCTCTTTATCTCCTTCAAGCCTCAAGAAGGTGAGATCCACCTGGCTGATGGAAAGACGTTGCGAATTGCAGGAGAAGGGACTGTTAAACTGGCAAGTCTGCACACTACCATCAAAGATGTACTATATGTTCCAGGTGCTGCAGACAATTTGCTCAGTGTCCCACAGCTGACTGGGCGTGGTTTTGAGAGTTCCTTCAAAAGGAGCGTCTGTGTCATCAGAAAAGGCAAAGAGGACATTTTGCATGCAAAGTTTATGGATGGCTTGTTCTGTATAACTTATGACGACAATGGTGCTGTTGTGTCTAATGCTGATTCTTGTTGTGTTGCACAAACTAACAAAGTTCTTCATGCAGGATGCATTCACGATGCACACAGGAGGTTTTGTCACCTCTCTTGGCAGGCGCTGGCCAAGATGCCAGAGATGGTTGAGGGTTTGAACATCAAACCCTGTAAGTTTCACATGAAATGTGTATCTTGTGCAGAGAACAAGGTGAAGGTTGCTCCAAAAGGCAAGGAGTCTAGCAGGCAGGCTTCCAAACCCTACCAGCTAGTGCACGCAGACCTGGTTGGTCCACTTGCGCCCTCATTGGGTGAAGCAAGGTACTTCATGGTTATAATTGATTCTTTTTCCAGGTACATTCATGTGTTTATGCTCGAGCAGAAATCGCAAGCGTTTCCTAAGTTCAAGGCATTCTGTGCTTGGTTGGAGAATGTTCACGGTAAACGCATTGGCTGTCTGTTTACTGATCGAGGCGGGGAGTTCACTTCTCAGCAGTTTGAAGCTTTCCTGACTGAGAAGGGAATCCAGCATGACTTGTCAACACCTAGATCGCCATGGATGAATGGGCTTGCGGAGCGAGCAAATCAAACGTTGCTGCAAGGAATGAAAACATTGTTGCATGATGCCAATCTCCCTGAGAAGTTTTGGGGGGGAGGCTCTGTCAAATTTTGTTTACACTTTTAATCGCAGATTGTCATCACCTATTGGTTGTACCCCCTATGAGAAGATGTTTGGTAAGAAACCCAACATCAAGCACATGAGAATCTTTGGTTCTGACATGTGGGTACACACCCCACAAAGCAACAAGCTTGGGAAGCTTGGGCCACATGGTTTGTTCATGGGGTACGAAAAAGGTGCATACAGGGTATGGATGACTGACTCTAAGTCCATTAAGTTCACAAAGAGTGTTGAGTACAATCCTAAGGGGGGGGGGAAATGTGAGAATTTTCCAGAGTTACCCAGAGGAGGATGAAGGTGATGTCAAAGAAGCAGCTAAAGTTGAGGAAGCTGAGGATGATGATGATGTTGATGATGATGATCAGAGTTCGGATTCCAGTTCAGTGGGTGGCGCTGCTGCTGGTGTCAGTGACAGTGATGACACAGCAGACTACAAGAGCGCAAAGGCCTCAGTCAGACCATCTGATGCGTCTGACAATGAACTGGAAGAACCACTGATCACCATTGGTCACTTTTCTCCTAAGAAAGAGGAGATGAGTCCAGAAGACTTGCGTCTAATACGCAGATCTGAAAGAGCCACCAAGGGCAGACCTCCAAAGAGATTTGCTGATGAGTTTGCTAAGACAGCAACTGCTGTTCTTAGTAGCTCAGAGAAGGTGTGGGAACCTTCAAGCTTCAAAGAGGTTCAGGAGTTAACCTCTAAAGATGCTGAGCCTTGGCTTAATGCCATGAAGGCTGAAGTTGATTCCTTGAATAGGAACCAAACTTGGGAGCTGGTACCGGTAGTCCCAGGGATGAGACTGGTTGGCAGCAAATGGGTCTTCAAGGCCAAGACAGACCAGAATGGCAAGGTTGTCAGACACAAAGCCAGATTGGTTGCCAGAGGTTTTTCACAGGTACCAGGACAGGATTACCACGAGACCTACTCACCCACCGTCAAATATGAGAGCATTCGGCTGATGCTCAATATAGCTGCAGAGGAGAAACTGCATGTTTCCCATCATGACATTAATACAGCTTTTTTGTACGGGATTCTGGGGGAGGAGCTGTTTATGCTTCCACCTGATGGGATGCAGATACAGAAGGGAATGGTCTGTAAACTGCGGAAATCCTTATATGGTCTCAAGCAGAGTGCCAGGTGTTGGAACACAAAGCTCACTGAGACGTTGCTTCTCTAGGTTTTCACCAGGGCAAAGCTGATCCATGTGTGTTTGTCAAGGAGGAGGGGCAAAACAAACTGTATTGTTTATGTTTTGTTGATGATCTTCTGATGTTTTGGAAGAATCAGGCTTTGTACCAAAGCACCCTAGCTCAGCTGAAGGAGCACTTTGACATGAAGGATCTTGGTGAGGTATCCAACTATCTCTCTCTGCAGGTGGAGAGGGACCAAGCAGGTAATTTTCTGGTACACCAAACACAGAAAATTGCTGATGTATTAACCAGGTTGAATTTGGTTGATGCAAACCCAGCAGACACACCGATGGTGACAGGTTACCAGGTAGACAGTACTGCTGAAGCGTTTTCTGACACTACGCTGTACAGATGCATTCTAGGCAAGTTGAATTTCATTGCTAGATGCTCAAGACCTGACATAGCTGTAAGCACTAACCTGCTTAGCAGACATGCCAACAATCCTACTGTTCAGGATTGGAAAGCTCTGAAGCGCATAGCCCGCTATCTGAAAGGGACTATGCACTACAGGCTGAGGTTCACCAGTCAGAAGACTGGAGGTCTTGAAATCTTTGCAGATGCAAGTTTTGGAAGTGACACCACGGATGGTACAAGCACTTCTGGAGTATGCTACATGTACAACCGCTGCCTGTTTGACTGGTTGTGCAAAAAGCAGACAACAGTGAGCCTAAGTTCCTGTGAAGCAGAACTCAATGCTCTGTCATTTTCACTCATGGATTGTGAATGGTTGATGCAACTGTTTAAGGACATCAGAGTTTCTGTGAAATGTCCTGTACAAGTGTATCAAGACAATAGATCGTGTTTGGCTTTGCTGAACTCAGAGAGTTGCAAGCAAAGGACCAAGTACTTGCAGATTAAGCTACATCGTGCAAGAGAGTGTATTCAGAAAGGACTCATTCAGGTGTCCTACATGCCAGGAAATGAAATTCCTGCTGATCTGTTGTCTAAGGTTGTTAACAGAGAACAACTTAAGGTTTATGTACAAAGGTTGCAATTGGGTTGAACCACAGGTACTACAGGTTACACGGAAAGGGGGAGGATGTTAGGATATTTCCGTTCCACCTTAAAAGGGAGCAGGCTTTGTGAGTCAGAGTCTGCGTATTTTCTGTTCACAGGATGTTTATGTTTTCTGTTGCTTTCGTTTTCTCTCTGTGTCGTAGACACTAAAGCAGGCAGTCATGTTTTTCTGTGTTCTGATCAACGCTGAATAAATTTGTAAAGAATGCTCTCCTGAGTGCGACTTTGGCTGTGCATTATCTGCTGATAGAGTGTGCATGAGCTCTGGAATGTGGCAAGCTATTTCTAGAAACTCATGTCACTAATTGTTGATACTGCGTGACTACGGGAGATCGATGGATCGTCCGGCAGCCGGCTTGGAGGCCATGATGGACTTTATCTCCCTGGCAGTATCCCAACAAGGAGAGCCTCGCCCCACAGCCTATGGTTGTGGCCCAATCCTGCATCCAGTAGCAGGCAGTCCTTTACTGACTGTATTACAGCCCCACGTCTTTCACACAGACCATTTTCAGCAGGGCTATAAGGGTTAGTCAAACGATGAGTGATCCCCTTACGTCGCAACCATGCCCCAAATTGTTTGTTCAGAAATTCTCCGCCCCTATCTGTTTGCAACTGCACAACAGGGCGAGCGAAGAGCTTTTCAGCTTGGGCAACCTATTCTCTGAATGTGGGGAAATACTCAGATTTCTGCTTTAACAAAAACAACAAACTAAAATGTGATTTGCGTGGCAAGTCCCCTCCCCCCTTGTGAAATGAAGACTCTGGTCACATTATTTAAGGTTAATGGGCGTAAAAGGCCACAACTTTATTGATTACAGGAATTGAAAGGTATTGGCCTTAGGCATTGGCTCCTATCGACTACCTTGCATGGAGCCCGGGAAGGGTTAACCACCAGCCGGGGGAGTCCTGCTGAAGTACGCCAACTAGGACTTCCCGGGTGTCACCACTCGGGGCCATGCCTTAGGCCCTCACCTCCCTAGTTTTCGGACAGGGCAACGCCCCCCGGAGTCCTCTACCGGACTACCCTTTTCATTGGGGGAAGGTGATGGTGCTTCCTTCCCCCTTCATTTACATAACAATAACCCCTGCCAATGCTTAACCGCCACTCGAGCGAAGCTCGCCGCCAATACCTTCAAACCTGTAACCAATCCCTAATCCCTGCTATGATGTCCCCCAACCAAATGTCGTTTCCAGCATCTGACAGATGCATGCCATCAAGCCTGTAGAGGGCCTCCTTGCTGTACTGGATGCCGGGGTGGCTTATGACACACCCTCCCAGAGCCGCCACTCTACCTGCCACAGCCCGCTCCAAAACTTTTCTTGCTCTATTGATTGAAACCGGGCACAAGCTATCCCTCCATATCCGCCTTTCAAGCAGTGAGGACCACAAGATGGTAATGTTGGGATAAACAGCCATTAAATCGGCAAAGTCATCAAAAATGTTCCATCTTAAGTCTATAGCTTTTCGGTATGCTAGATCATTCTCCCCCAACTGGATAACCAGGGCATCAGGTGGGCCCTCCGAGGCGGCTCTAGCCATCACAGCAGGCTTGAATTCAGCCCAGCGCATCCCTCTTCGCGCAATCCAAGCCACATCAACATTTGGAGGTAAATTCAAGCTTTGCCCCAATCCAGTGCTCATGGCTCGATTCTTTGCCCAATGCACAATGCTGTGGCCCACCAACCAAATGCGAACCGTCTTGCGTCCTGGAAAGGAAATGGAAAGACAAACCGAGGTCAGGAAACAAATAGCTAGTCACAGATTCTTTCTAACATAGGCTTTGTAAGCATCGGACTTCCACCGACCCATGTCCTTTATCCTCTTGGTCGAGAGCCCGAGGTGTACTGCAGTGGTAGCAGCCCCGATCCGGAAGGAGTGAGCCGCAAATTCTGCTGCAGGCAGCCCGCATGCTGCAAGTGCCAGGCGCATAACACGGGTAAACTGGTGACTGGCTAAGAGTGAGCCATCCGCATGTATTAAGAAAGGGCCGGGGTTGTTAGGTCTCAGATAAAAGAAACGCCGAGTATCCCTAACCGGGCAAGGTCCGCTCCCTGAAGCCACTGGTAAGCGAAGGAGGGCCCCCCTACCATGCTGGTCTGTCTTAGAGCTCCGCACTTGCATGATTAGGTCAGTGCTGGAAAGGGTCAAGTCGCTTATGAGGATGCCCCTCTGGCGGGGGGCCGCCCCCCTCACATACTACCTCGCCTATGCGGAGAGCACCGAAGAAGGCAATGGAATAGGCGGCTGAGAATAGGCGGGCTTCATATTTTGGCCAGCATTTAGTTCTTAACCTTTTGTGTATCTGGGTCAGAATTTCATAAGTTATGGGCCTCCTCTTGTCAGCACTGGGGGGCTGGAGTCTGCGCCAGCCCTCTAAAGCCTTACGCACCGCGAAATCAGCACACGGGTCGGTAGAGAACAGGGCTTTACAAAAGAAATAAATCCCTGCGGACTGGATGTTAAGGGTCTTTGGTGCCCTGCCCAATTCCTTCAGGTGAACTAAGTAGCGGAGGACCTCCCTCGTTGAAGGAGGGGAATCCTGCCTCGTGCTGGGTATACTGTTGCGAAACCTTAAGAAGTCGGCCCAAGCTTTTTTATAAGATCTCATTGTGGAAGGGGTGACTGCACCCAATACTCCCTTCATCACTTCTCACTCCCAAGGCTCCAGAGATGCTCCGGGAAAGGCAGTGGCGACTGTTGAGCATCCGGCGCTAATGAGCAGAAGCGATCCATCTGAAAACGAAACAGAGCATCCGCGATGTCATTATTAACGCCGGGAATGAATTTGGCAGGAAAATAGATATTCTGCTCAAGGCACAAGAGGACGAAGGACCGTAAAAGGTTTCCCACCCTGGTGGAACGTGCGGACTGTCTAGAAAGAACCGATACTACTGCCTGGTTATCTGTATTGAAACAAACCCTATGATTGCGAAACTGTCCCGCCCATAAGTGTACTGCCACTACAATAGGGAAAAATTCCAAAAATGTAAGGTCCCGAGTAATGGGCTTGCCCTGCCAGTCTGCGGGCCATCTTTGAGTGCACCACTGTCCCCTGAAATAAACACCAAACCCCAGGGAACCTGCCGCTTCGGATTGGACTTGCAAGTCTGCATTGAGCGCCATGGTGTCTTACCATAAGGATATACTGTTATACCTGTCCAGGAATTCTAGCCAGACTCCCAGGTCAGACTACCTCCTTGGAGAGGCGCACCCTATGCTGAGGTGCCCGAAGGCCTGCTGACAATCTGGCCAGGCAGCTGCAAAAGGGCCGGCCCGGCGCCACCACCCTACAAGCAAAATTTAAGTGACCTAACAGAGATTGAATTTGCCTAAGGGTAACCTTCTTTAGGGGCAGGAGCTGTTGAATCAATGCCTTAAGGGTGACCAGTTTCCCCTCAGGTAGCCTTGAAGTTTGGGCTACAGTGTCTAACTCAATGCCCAGATAGACCAGCGATGTGGCTGGGCCTGCGTTTTGTCCGAAGCCAGTGGTACACCTAGTTCCTCCGCCAGGGTTGTGAATGCTTCCAGAAGGGCAGAGCATCACTGTCTATTATCTGCGACCAGAATAAAGTCATCCAGGTAATACGACGCTCCGACCGACCCTGTCCTGAAACGCAGGGCCCAATCCAGAAACGTACTGAAAGACTCGAATGCAGAGCATGTGATGGAGCATCCCATGGGCATTGCTTTGTCAATGAAATACGCCCCTTCAAAACAAAAACCCAACCAACGGAAATCTTTTGGATGCACGGGCAGGAGGCGGAATGCGGACTCTATGTCGCATTTTGCAAGAAGTGCTCCTTTTCCAAATCTGCGAATCATTTTTACTGCCTGGTCAAAGGAGGCGTATTTCACAGTACAAAGTTCCTGAGGTATCACATCATTGACAGAGCCACCTCTTGGGTAAGAGAGGTTGAGAATCATGCGAAACTCACCCGGTGCCTTTTTTGGGACGATGCCCAGAGGGGATATGTGCAGACCCTCTGGGGGGGGCTCGGTAAAGGGACCTGCAACCCTACCAGCCTCGATTTCTTTCTTTATCTTCTTTCTAGCTATCTCAGGCATTTCTCTTACGGATTTCTGGTTTTTGGGATTCCCAGTGTTAGGGGGAAATGCTACTGGAATTCTAAAACCAATGGAGAACCCGTCCCAAGGGTATTTAGCGGCTTTTCTATCAGGGTATAGGTCTAGTAGGGTTTTAAGGGGATGGAGTCGGATAGGGGAGAAGGCCAGTCCAAGAGACAAGTTACTGGCGGTTACTGGGTCCCGGGTGAGAGGATCCGGGGACACATCTAGCATTGTTGTTGAAGTACCCCTGCCACCCTGAAAGGGCTGCTGCCTACCCTTAAGGCATGCTGTGGCCGGGTGGTTCCCAAGGCAGCGTTCACATTCATGGAGATACTTACAGGAAGGTCGCAAACATGTACCCCTGTTGTATTCCCAGCACTGGCGGCGGCGTTTTGCTTCTGTCTTACCCGACTTGCCCGGTTCCTGGTGCTTCTTTTCTATGTAAGGGCCAATGTCCTCGCCCCGGTAATTTGGATGCCTTAGGTCCCAGCGGGTGGAGGGTAGGAGAGAAGCATTTCTACGAAAATTCTCGTCATAAGTTAAAGCCAGGTTCAAATTGGCAACTGATGGGGCTATCTGAGATACCGGTTGCTCTGCTTCGGAGCAGGAACCCGAGCCGCCCTCTGTTGAACTGTGTTGAGGCGGCTGCTCCTGAAAAATTCTAGGGATGTCTGCAACCTGAGAAATGGATTTGCTATTGGCCGCCTTTGCAGACGCCTTACCCTTGTTGGCACTCTTTGCGGGTGCCTTACCTTTACCGGCTCCCGAGGTGAGTTTCCCAGAATTAGATGACTGGGAGCGTGTGTTGGGGCGTCCGGCTGTGGTGCTCTCAAGTTGAGCCCCACCCGACATAGACGCCGATGTGCCCGGTTCCTCCTGGCTGCCCGGAATAATAATAATAATAATAATAAATTTTATTTATATCCCGCCCTCCCCAGCCGAAGCTGGGCTCAGGGCGGCTAACAACAATCAAAATAATCCAACATTCTAAAAACATTCATTATAAAATTAATTAAAATCAAATTAAAATCAAATTGATGGCAACCATTAAGCAAAATTCTGTGCAGATTGCCAGAGGAGGGGGTCAGGCTGCGCCCTGACCAAAGGCCTGGTGGAACAACTCTGTCTTGCAGGCCCTGCGGAAAGATGTCAGGTCCCGCAGGGCCCTAGTCTCTTGTGACAGAGCGTTCCACCAGATTGGAGCCGCGGCCGAGAAAGCCCTGGCTCTAGTTGAGGCCAGCCTAACCTCTCTGTGGCCTGGGATCTTCAGGATGTTTTTATTTGCAGACCGTAAATTTCTCTGTGGGACATACCAGGAGAGGCGGTCCCGTAGGTACGAGGGTCCTAGGCCGTAAAGGCTTTAAAGGTTAAAACCAGCACCTTAAACCTGATCCTGTACTCCACCGGGAGCCAGTGCAGCTGGTATAGTACTGGATGAATATGATCTCGCAGCGAAGACCCCCTAAGGAGTCTCGCCGCGGCATTCTGCACTCGCTGGAGTTTCTGGGTCAGTCTCAAGGGCAGCCCCACGTAGAGCGAGATACAATAGTCAAGCCTGGAGGTGACCGTCGCATGGATCACAGTGGCTAGGTCAGGGCGAGAGAGATAAGGAGCCAGCTGCTTAGCTTGGCGGAGATGAAAAAATGCAGCCTTTGTTATAGCTGTAATCTGCGCCTCCATAGAGAGGGAGGTATCGAAGATTACACCCAAACTCTTAACGGACGATGCTGGCACTAATTGCACCCCGCAAGAGATGGGAGTTGCCCCTCAATCCCATATCGCCCCATCCCAGCCAGAGGACCTCTGTCTTTGAGGGATTTAACTTCAACCGGCTCCCACGTAACCATCCAGCCACAGCTTCCAGACATCTGGTCAGTGTGTCTGGGGCCGAGTCAGGATGGCCATCCATCAACAGATAGAGTTGGGTGTCATCGGCATACTGATGGCAACCCAGCCCAAAACTCTGGACAAGCTGGGTGAGGGGGCGCATAAAGATGTTAAAAAGCATCGGGGAGAGAATCGCACCCTGAGGCACTCCACACACCAAGGAGTGGCGCGATGACAATTCCCCCCCAAGCGCCACCCTCTGTCCCCGACCAGAGAGAAACGAGTGCAGCCATTGAAGGACTGTGCCCTGGATCCCCACGTCGGCAAGGCGGTGGTCCAGGAGTTCGTGATCGACCATGTCGAAGGCTGCTGACAGGTCTAGAAGAATCAGCAGCCCCGACCCGCCTCGATCCAGCTGCCTGCGGAGATCATCTGTTAGGGCGACCAGAGCCGTCTCGGTCCCATGACCAGCGCAGAAGCCGGACTGGAATGGATCCGGAGCCGATGTTTCATCCAGAAACCTACCAAGCTGTTCAGCAACCGCTCTCTCAATCACCTTACCCAGGAATGGAAGATTCGAAACCGGGCGGAAGTGCCCTCCTGTGAAGCTTCTGGCGCTGGAAGTGCAAGAACCCTCGGCCTACATTGTCTATAGAAGGTTTCAAAAGCAGCGAAAAATCGAGCAAACGCTTGGGGATCACAAGGCATGGCGGGCAGCTGTGCCCCGCCATTGCCCGGGGCAGAGGACTGTTGATTTCCTCCAGACGCCATCCTATTATTTGAGAGACGGATTAATTCAACCTTTTAAAGTACACAACCCTACAGCTAGTTCGGTATTGCCCACACTGGCTACCCCCCCCCCAAGGACCCCTACTGTGAAGACAAGAAGAAAAAACATAAAAGCGTACCAGCTACTTCAGTATCGGTATCAACCACACTGGGTACAGGGGACAAAGAAGCTAGTACAGTATTATCTAAACTGACTTTAGCGAAGAACCACGGAGCTAGTTCAGTACTACCTACACTAGATGCAAGCCACTAAAGACCCGGTTACTTTTCGGTATGAGGCTGGACCCTTATCGCTGGGAACCTCTTAGAAAGAGGGAGATTTAATTAAAGGTGAACCAGTGAATTGTGCACAAGTGTAGAATTAGTGCAGAATTGCGTGTGATTTATCATCTATTACCAGAAAAGCATATCTGACGCCCCCTTCAGTCTTCTGTGGAAAAGGACCTATCACGTCACAATGGACAAGTTCTAAAACCTCTTTAGATACTCTGTCACTTTTAGAAGCCACAGGCTTCCTCTTAGATTTGGCCATTTTACATACATTGCAATCTAAGAAACAGTTACATCTATTTACTTTTAGGTTCTTGCACACCTTTTGCATCTCTGAAAGCACACAAAAACTTTTGTGACCCAGTTCCCTGTGCAGTTCATGTACACACCCCTTATGAACTGGCAAATTATCCTGAACCACCTGAGCTGCTTAACAGGCTTGTCCTGCATTACATACAACCCATTTTCCATCTTTGCATGGCCACATACCTGAGTTTCATTCTTTATCAGACAACCATCCTGTGTGAACTTAACACTATACCCTGCATTAATCAAACAGCTTACAGACAGTAAACAATAGTCCAAACTGCTGACAAACAGAGTCTCTGGTAGAGTAGTGTTCAAGCACTGCAGGAAACATGTTCCCTGGCCATCAATCTTGCTTCTACGACCACCAGCAAGATAGATTGAGTCTTTTCCATCGGCTGGCTTCCCCAGGGTCTTAAAGTCCTCCTGACTGTTGCAGATAATCCTGCTGCTCCCAGAGTCCAGCAACCATGTTCCTCGAGGCATCTTCCTCTCCTCTCAAGAAAATGCAGACACAAACTGAGCAGAACATGTGTTCTTCTTCCCTGAAGAGAACCCCTTCTGCTTACGTTTCTGCGTCGATTGCTGTCTCTGCTTCACGTCGTCTCCTGGGAGTCTTGCCCTGCATTGACTTTGGAGATGCCCGGGTTGGTTGCATCTATAGCACCTCCTCACCGCCATGGCCAAGTCCAAACCTTGGCATTGCTCCATTGGCAGATTCTGCTGCTGGCCCCCTCGACTGTAACTCCTCTGCTCTTGGAGTTCAGCCTGTCTATCTGACCTTCTTTCTGCTTCTTCGGTTAATCTTCCAACCACCACATACTCAAGGGTCAGATCTTGGGGACGCATACTCTCCATGCTGTTAATCACAGGCAACCAGCTTTCAGGCAAACTTGAAAGGATAATTTAGGTTTGGTCAGCTTCATCATAACGCTTACCTCTCTGCTGTAGTTGAAGAAACAGAGATTTCAGCGTTTGAAGATGAGCTGCCAAACTCTCGCCTTCTTTCATAACAGTCCTGAACAGCCTTCTGGTCAGAGAAATTATAGTTCCAGCAGTTTATCTGACATGCATTGCCCTTAATAAATTCCAGCACTCAAACGCTGTACTGGCATTTGCTACATGCAATAACTGAGAGTTGCTCAAACACAGCATAATTTGGGCATGAGCCCTTTCACCCAGCCGTCTTTTCTCAGCAGAGTCCCGTCTCAAAACCTCAGTTTCAATACAGTCCCACAGTCCATCTCTCCTTAACAACTGCTGCATTTTAATTGACCAACTCAGCCAGTTGCTCTCTGAGAGAAGTTCAAAAGGGATGCCTCCCCCAATATTTACAACTTGGGAAGACTGGAAATCTGCCATCTTTGCTGGTGCTTGCTGAGCCCCTTCTGTGGGGCCTCTGGCAATCTCTCCTGACTCTCTCTTTAGAGTCTGACAGGACAGTCCTGGCTGGCACTCACTGGCTTCTAGCTGCTGCCTCTGTTGACCCTCAGGTCCCACCTGGCTCTGCAACTGGTGTAGCCGCTCTGTGAGTCGCCTACTGTGGTCCTCTAGCAGTTCAAACTGTTCCAGTAGCCGACGCTGAGTGCTTTCCTGATCCTCAGATCCTGGCCGCTCCAGCGATACTGCAGACAGTTACAGCTTGCCACCAACTGCTCCAACGCACAGCCACTGGCTCCGTACAGCACCAGGACTTACCAGCTCCCTGCTGAGATGCTGTTAGTCGTTTTGCACTCTGCACATGCTCAGAAACACTGGGCCCATAACCTGTCAGTGTTTGTAAAAAAAAAAAAGGAAAAGGGTTCTGACCTCCCTTTGTCTCCTCAGCCTGGTCCTCAGACCCTTGTCTGCATAAAAGAGTCCACAAGAATATCCTTGCAGAGTGCTTTCTGCTTTTATTCTTAAAAGTCTTTGTGCAAAAGTGACTGACATACAACAACACTACCAGCTTTCACTAATCAACCAACCAACCCCACAACAAACTAACATTTCTCATTCTATATATACAACCTGGTGCAGGTCACTGACTCATGCTGACCCAGCTTTATTCGCATTAAAGAAACAGCGGCCATTTTAGCCGTGACAATAATAAGAAATCAGTCAAATCAAAAATTAAAAAAGGAGTGGGAATGTTTTGATGAATATATGGCAAAATATTGCTCAAAAAAGATATGCTAATATGCCTAGATTAAAATGTGAAGTACTGGATAGAAGAAAAATTAGTAAGGAAAGATAATAATAATATATAGATAATTTGAGACGGTTATAGAATGCAAAGATTATTGTAAATTGTATAATGTGGAGGAAATCGAGTGGGGGCTGGGGGAAGTGGGAGGAAGGAGAAAAGAATAATATGATGGATTGAGGAAATAGAAATGTAAATGTATGGTGGGATGGGGAGGAAATGGTGTTGGCTTTGGTACATTTGTATTGTAATGTAATATGTGAAAACCAATTTAAAAAAAGAAGAAAAAAGGAATAACTTTCTGGAGGTAAAAGCTGCTTGAGAGTGGAACAGATAACATCAGAAGGTGGTGGACTCTTCTTCATTACGGGTTTTTAAGAAGAGGTTGGATGGTCATCTGTCAGGGATTCTTTAGCTGTGACTCCTGCATTGCAGGGGGTTGGACTAGATGATCCTAAGGGTACCTTCCAACTCTATGGTTTTATGATACTGTGTAGATGGAAACTCCTTAACACAACATATTAAACTGAAAGTTTTGATATGTTTTCTTTCTTGAATTGTCCTATTCATTGGGACACCTTTCTAGATGATTTAGGGTGGGATTTTTTTAAAAAATGAATGATCCGATTATAAGAGTTAAGGTTGGAAACTTAAAACTGATCACTTGGAAGTAGGTTCCACTGCATTCTGTGGGGCTAACATTTGAGCAATGATATCACACGGTAAAGGGATGCGGGTGGCACTGTGGTCTAAACCACAGAGCTTAGGGCTTGCTGATAAGAAGGTCGGCAGTTCGAATCCCCGCGACGGGCTGAGCTCCCGTTGCTCTGTCCCAGCTCCTGCCCACCTAGAAGTTCGAAAGCACATCAAAGTGCAAGTAGATAAATAGGTACCGCTCTGATGGGAAGGTAAACGGTGTTTCCGTGCGCTGCTCTGGTTTTGCCAGAAGCGGCTTAGTCATGCTGGCCACATGACCCGGAAGCTGTCTGTGGATAAATGCCGGCTCACTCAGCCTATAGAGCGTGCAACCCCAGAGTCGGCTGCGACTGGACCTAAGGGTCAGGGGTACCTTTACCTTTACCCATCACACGGTAAACCTTGCAGCCCTCCTGACTGTGCCCACAGAGACCTGAATAGAACATCTCCAGTGTTTATCACTCACGTCCTCCTGCGCTCTGCAGGCAGAGCTGCTGGGGCTTATCAACCTGCAAGAGTTTCCCCAGAACGCATGTGGGTCTTTTCTTGGAGTGGGGAGGGAAGGAAGAAGAGAAAGCGAGTTGAAACAGGATTGGTTCCTCCTCTGGGGCGCGGTGGCCTTTTCCAGAGGACAGTTTAAACTTTTTAGAAACAGATGAATATAAGACCCAATAATCCTGTAATGCCAACGGTGGATGAGAAGAGAGGGAGAGAATTTCAATAAGGAAGGAATACAGGAGAGGAGCTCCAGCTGCTGAAGTTTCTTCTGCATGTCTCCAGAATTTCATGCTGACAGATTTAGGCCTATGTTCCTTAAACTTTATTTCTCAGTGAATGCCCATAGTGGGCAACACCTGAAAATTCTCAATACGAGGACTTTTGACACCCGCAGTGGGTGGGGGGATTGTTCCCATAAGCTCTGCCTGCATGTTCAAAAGTTGCCAGCACATCCTGGAAGAAGACTCAAGCATACCTAATATAATAATAATAATAATAATAATAATAATAATAATGTCAAACATTCAAGACAGGGGGCGGGATGGAGTGTTTGGCAGAATCAGCATCTCCTGTTAATGGGGAGGTGGGGGGGATCTTTTTGATTCCACAGGCTAGATTCTTATTATATCCTGGCTGCACAGGCCAAATTTGATAGTTGGGCAGGGCTAGTTACCTGTCAATGTGACCTCCCCATGTGGTTTGGGTGCTTTGAAGTCACACAGTCGGGACTTCAAAGCACCACATAGCTCTTGCAGAGAGTCATGCATGGTGCTTTAAAGTTCCTGAGACTGATAGGTGGTAGAGCTGAAGCCTGCTTTTGGCAGGTGTCACCTGAACCATTGCGTTATCACTGGAACCAATCTGTCACACTTCAACTCTACTACCCAACAGCTGTTAGGTGACACAGCTGAAATATTCCCTTTGCACTGGCAGATGTGTCTCTACCTGTCCCACACATGACATCACAGGTGTCATGGTTTCGGGAAATGGGGAACTTGCTAGTGCAGCTGATTCAGAGGGTATTGGCTGTGAAAAGAGTCTCCATATGGGGGGTCGCTAGGGGCGCCTTGGAAGATGACCGACAATACCATCTCTCCGGCTCACACGAGGTAATTAAGGGGCTGATGATGGGAGTAAATCAGCCTCCCGGGGTCTCCCCAGGGGATGGGGAGACACAGCCTCGTCCACGGTTGCCAATAAATCACCCCCAAGTTCGAAAGAAGGAGGGGGTGGGGGCACTGGACGGAAAGCCCTCGAGTGACCTTTGGATCTCCCTGACGCTGCTTCTGAGAGTGAGCTAGTTGCATTGCTTAAGATAAAATAATTTGATGTAAAAAGTAAATGCACATGTTTCGAGCGAAGGAGAGGGGGTTTTATCTGCTAATCAAATCTACCGCTGAGAAGTTAAGAGTGATGGGATGGATTGAACAGAAGACCACAGCAAAGAATCACAGCTATGTCAGTATGTTGAAACAAAATGGAAGGGGGGGGGGACTTCTTTCTTTTTCAATATGTTTTACCTAACAACCCCTCCCCTAGAAGAACCGTCACAATGATTTATAGCAAGTGAGACTGGAAAATAAACTGTGTGGAAACAAAGATTAATTAAAGGCTTTCTTGGTGACGCAGTCAGGGATCCGCCATTACGAGACAGACAATACGAGATTTACAGTCAAAGGGGGAGGTGAGCCATTGTTCTGCTATCTTGTTTGGATTAGATCTATTCGGCAATATCCCCCCTGGAAAGACTGATTTATGGAGCAACTGGTCTGGGGAAATTAATGAGCAGACGCTTAGACTGTGTTTCATCGGAACTGTCGAAATGGCGCTGTAATGAGTATGGTTTGCTCGTGCGTAAGTTGCCGCCTCTCCTGGCTTTGTTGCCTTGTTAAACCTTTCAGTCTGGACAGCCCTTCACTTCGTGGCTGCCTCAGTTGCTAGCAGAATCCGTCAGTGGGCGTTTCTTAAACCTTTTCCAACATAAAAGTTGTTTGACACCCAGTCTCCTCCTACTCTCTCTGCGCGGAAGTCTTCTGCGCAGGGAGGGCGTGGGTAGCGGAGGACCCGTGCTCTCCCCGCTGGTGTCCAGTGAAGAGTCTGGGAGCCCTCTCGCCGATTCCCCCATCTGCCCCTCTCTATTCCTGGTGTTGCGCTGAATTGCTTCCCCATCTGCTGAGCTGCCTCTCTCCCTGCTGGGCCCTTCTCCAGCATCATTTGAGAGCCTTCCCTCCGCCTCTAGCTCCGATGTCAGTTCCCTGACATCCACCTCCCCCCCAGGACCCCCACCACCCCAAGCCCAACCAGTTGGTCCAACTCGTCCCTTTCTTCGGCCGACGATGCGGGAACCCCGGAAGGAGCTGTCGTCATCCTCTGAGGATTCAAAACCCACTTCCCACCCGTTCTGATCCCTTCCCTCGGGGTGGGCCTCCCAGTCTGATTCTTCTTCCTCCGAAGCCTCTTCTCCCTCCCCTTTGGAGGCAGAAAAACCCACAAAATCCTCTTCATCGTCTGTGGTTCCAAATTGCTCCTCCCAGAATCTCGCTAGTGGTTTGGGTTTGTCTGGGAACAGGAGGTGAAATTCCTCCACCAGATACCCGTCAGTGATTGCCTCCGCGGGAACCCACGTGTTTTCCGACCCGGGTTCTCCCTCCCAAGTCACCAAGTACTCCACCTGGCGCCCTCGCCACCTTGAATCAATTATTTCCGTGGCCAAATTGCGGTGCTCCCTCTCTTCTACCTGCAGGTGTGTGGTGACTTCCCCCTCTCGCCCCGAGAACCCCCGTCCTTCTCTGTACGGTGAGAGTAGGGACCTATGGAACACCGGGTGTATCTTCATGCTGTCAGGCAATTTGAGCTTGAATGCCACTGGGTTCACCTGCTGTGTTACCTCAAACGGTCCCAGCCGCCTGGGCTGCAACTTCTTGCACCCCCCCTTAAAAGGTAACCCTTGGGTTGACAACCACACCTGATCTCCCACCCTTATGGTCTCCCCTTCCCTACGGCGCTTGTCTGCCTGCCTCTTGTAAATTTCCTTGGCCCGCTCCAAGTTCATCTTAAGTTGCTGGTGCAGGGCTTCCATTTCTTCCACAAACTGCTCTGCCGCCGGTACGCTCCAACCTTCCTCCCCACTCCCCGGGAAGGCCCTGGGGTGACACCCATAATTGGCCAGGAACGGGCTCATTCCCGTTGACACATGGTCAGCGTTATTGTACGCAAATTCAGCCAGCGCTAGTTTCTCTACCCAATCGTTCTGCCTCTCGTTGACATAGCAGCGTAGGTATTGCTGGAGTATACTGTTCGCTCTTTCTGCTTGCCCGTTGGTTTCCGGGTGTCTCGCCGTTGAGAAGCCCACTTCGACCTGCAGCAAGCTCATGAGCTTCCTCCAGAAACGGGAAGTAAATTGTTTCCCGTGGTCGGAGATAACCCTCGAAGGAGCCCCATGCAACCTGAAGATGTGGTCTACAAACAACCTGGCTGTTTCCTCTGCCGTGACCGCATGTGAGCAAGCTATAAAATGGCACGTTTTTGTTAGTAGATCAACCACTACCATGACCGCTGTCTTCCCCCGGGATTTGGGCAAATCGGTCATAAAATCAATGGACACCACCTCCCACGGTTTCCCCGGCGTGGGCAAGGGTTCCAATAATCCTGCGAGGGCAGCCCGCTCCCCCTTTGCCCTTTGGCAGCGGTTGCACCCCCGTACATATTCCCGTACATCCTCCCTCACCCTGGGCCACCAGAACTGCCTGGTGACGAGCATCATGGTTTTGTGCTGTCCAAAGTGCCCAGCTGTGGGGTTGTCGTGGAGTTGTTTGAGTACCTTCCCCCGTAGGGCCTCCCCCGGTACATACAGCGCCCCCTTATAGTACAGCACCCCTTCCTTCTCCTCAAACCCTCCTTGGGTTTCTCTACCGTCTCGGAGTTCCCGGATTTTAGTTTGTGCGAACACGTCGTTTCTAGTAAGTGCAACCAGTTCTCGTTGCCCCACCAAGGTTCCCCCACACACCCATAGGTCCTTGGGGATCACGTGTCATATTTCCGGTGGCCCCTCTCCTTCCAAGTACTCCGGCTTCCGGGAGAGAGCATCTGCTCTCACGTTTTCCTCTCCTGGCACGTGTCGGATTTCGAAGGAAAACTTGGAGAACTCCTGTGCCCATCGAATCTGTCTCTGGTTGAGCACTCGTGCGGTCCTCCAGTATTCCAAGTTCTTGTGATCTGTACAAACCTGGATCTTGTGCTGCGCCCCTATTAGTAGATGTCGCCATCGACGAAACGCCGCATAGATCGCAAGCAGTTCGCCGTCATACACAGTATAATTTTGCTCCTACTTGTTCAGCTTTCTCGAGAAAAAGGCACACGGTTTCCATTCCTGCTTGCTCCTCCCTGGCTGCAAAAGATTCGCCCCAATGGCTCTGTCGGACGCGTCGGTCTCTAGCCTCATGGGTTTCTCCAGATCCACGTGCAGGAGCTGCTCTTCCGATGCGAACGCCCTTTTCAGTTTTTCAAAGGACTGCTGGGCCTCCTCTGTCCAGACGAACTTCCTTTTGCTACTGAGACAATCTGTGATGGGTGCTGTCAAGTGGGCGAAGTTCTTGATGAACTTCCTGTAGAAGTTGCTGAACCCTAGGAACCTCTGCACGTCCTTCCGGGTTTTGGGCGTCTTACACTCCAGCACTGCCTGCACCTTGCTTGGGTCCATCGCTAAGCCTTTGTCTGACAACTTGTACCCCAGAAACTCGACTTCTCTGGCGTGAAACTGACATTTTTCCAGCTTGACCCACAACTGGTGCTTCTGCAGTCGTTTTAGCACTTCCCTGACGTCTCTGACATGTTGCTCCTCATTGTCCGAATAGATTAAGACGTCGTCCAAGAAGGCTACGCAGTTCTTGTACAGCAGGGACCCCAACACGTGGTGCATGAAAGCTTGAAAACAGGCGGAGCCCGACTGTAATCCAAAAGGCATAACTAGGTACTCAAAGGCCCCCAGGGGTGTGAACATTGTGGTCTTCCATTCGTCCCCCTCCCTCATCCTAATCAAGTTGTATGCCCCCCTGAGATCAAGCTTGGTAAAAAATTTCCCCTGCCTCACCCGTGTTAAAATGTCGTCAATCCTGGGCATCGGGAAGGTCACGGGTTCCGATACCAAATTGACCCCCCTATAGTCCACAATGAGCCTGGGTTGATTAGTGTCCTTTTTGTCCACAAAGAACACTGGACTGCCCCCTACCGCTTTTGATTCTCTTATGAAGCCTCTTTTCAGGTTCTTGTCAATAAATTCCCGCAGCTCCTTCATCTCCCTGTCCGACATGGCATACAGTTTACCCACCGGTAGCTGCGCCCCAGGGAGCAAGTTGATTTGGCAGTCAAAGGGCCTATGTGGGGGTAGTCTATCTGCCTCCTTCTCGCTGAAGACCTCCTGCAGGTCAGCATATAGTGGTGGCACCTCCCCTTTCGGCTCCACAGCTATCCCAGCCACGGTCATTCTTGGGGTTTCCCTCCCTAGACAGTGTTCCAAGCAGTAAGCGGACCCAAAGGTGACCGTTCTCTGATGCCATGCCACCACTGGATCATGTTGTGCTAGCCAGCTCATCCCTAATATTATTGGGGGCCCTGCCAGTGAGGCTACTTGAAAGGCGATGGTCTCCGTGTTCCTGGAAACCCTCATTCTCATTGGTGGGGTCTGGTGTGTCACTTCCCCTCCCAGAAGCTCCCTGCCATCAATGGTGGTTACTTGCAAGGGGAAATCCAGGGGCAGAAGGTGGAGCTGGTGCTCTAGTGCAAAGTCCTTGCTGAAGAAATTGCAGGAACTGCCTGAATCCAGCAGCCCTTTCACCTTGACTGGGTGCCCATTTGGGAGTTCTAGCACCACTTCTATGGCTATAGCCGCCCTGGGGGGGTCTGGTTGGGGCACTTCTATTGGTTGCTGGCCTGGCTGCTGTGCCCGCTGAGTGGCAGCCAAGCTTTGGCGTTTCCCTGCTCCTTTACCATCTCCTCCTCACCCCCTGCAGCTCCCACCATCCCTTGCAAGGCCTTTCTTTGCGGGCAGACCCTGGCAAAATGTCCTGGTCTCTGGCAGAGAAAACACTTCTGGGTGGTTTTCCCATCCTTTCCCTCCCTCTTGCGACCTTCACTGGAGTTTGAAATCTCCCGCGCACACGCCCCATCTATTTCCATTGGCTCCGCCGGCGGGGAAGGCTGCCTTGGTATTTCAGGAATGCGGTAGTCATGGTAACGTTGCTCTCTCTCTTCCCGCTTCTCCTGGGCCCGCACTTCCTGCCTTACACCAATCGCAAGCACAGCCTTGGTCAGCTGATCCATCGACTGCGGGCGGGGTGCGCGGGAAAGCTCGTCCTTCACCGTTGGGGACAACCCCTCCTCGAACAGCATTTGAATGGGTTCAGAGTCCAAATCCCACCCGAGCCGGTGGACTAACATGGCAAAGCGTGACCAGTAGTCTCTAACTGACTGGTTCCCCTGTTTGCACCCCATCAGTTCCTGCCGAGTCACACTTTGCTGTACATCACTGGAATACATCGCATCCATTGCCTGGAAGATTTTCCTCAGGTCTTTCAAGGCGGCATTCTGCGTTGCCATTAGGGGCCTGATCCATTCTCTGGCCCCATCCTGCAGATGTCCGACAATATAGGCAACCCTCTCCCCATCGTCTGCAAAATCATTCTGTTGCAGTTCCAACGCGTACTCTATTTCCGTTCGGAACGCACTGTAGTCCTGGGGTTTCCCTCCAAACTTGTGTACCAGTCCCGGTACCTTCCTTGCTACGGGGGTGGGTCTGACCTGAGCATCCTGAGACCGCCTTTCGTCCAGCCGCGCCATCAGCAGAGCCACATGCTGCTCCAAATCTCGGTTCCTCTCCACCAGATTTTGCACTCCAGCTGCTCCCTCCGTGGCGCCAGCTTCTCCAGTTTTGCTCATGATGCTGCCTGCCTGTCACTGTGCACAAGCGACGTCAGGGACTGACGGATTGCTGTAATGAGTATGGGTTGCTCGTGCGTAAGTTGCCGCCTCTCCTGGCTTTGTTGCCTTGTTAAACCTTTCATTCTGGACAGCCCTTCACTTCGTGGCTGCCTCAGTCGCTAGCAGAATCCGTCAGTGGGCGTTTCTTAAACCTTTTCCAAGATAAAAGTTGTTTGACACCCAGTCTCCTCCTACTCTCTCTGCGCGGAAGTCTTCTGCGCAGGGAGGGCGTGGGTAGCGGAGGACCCGTGCTCTCCCCGCTGGTGTCCGGTGAAGAGTCTGGGAGCCCTCTCGCCGATTCCCCCATCTGCCTCTCTTTATTCCTGGTGTTGCGCTGAATTGCTTCCCCATCTGCTGAGCTGCCTCTCTCCCTGCTGGGCCCTTTTCCAGCATCATTTGAGAGCCTTCCCTCCGCCTCTCGCTCCGATGTCAGTTCCCTGACAGGCGCCTGCCGCGTGAATAAGACTTTTGGATCAACGTGTAAGCCCACACAGAAACATAATATTGCTTGCTTCATCTCACTTGTGGAAACAACTCAGAGGTTATTAAGAAGAAAAATGATAACAACAAGAAGAGTGGAAGATGGGACTTGTGAAATATCAAAGCAGTAGAAATATTAGATGATTGGACCCTTTCTGAACTCGAAGCATTGGTACCCCCAACAAAAATTTAAAATTCGGCAAAATATTTGGATTTTTATGATATGTATTGATATAATTCGGAGTAATTAATGTGATATGATTGGATTGTTAAATGGAAAATTAATTAAAATTATTTTTAAAAAGAAAGAAAAGAGTCTCCATATGGGGACTTCACTTGCTCACCCAGTTCATCAGATTGCAGCTTTACCATCCATAGAACCAAAGTTTGTTTTCCCTTGAAGGGTCTTCTCAGTGCATATAACATCAGGTGTTGGTTAGATGGATGTGTTTTGGGTGAAAACAACCTGTTGGTCCAAATCTGAACCCATGGTGTGTCAATTTTGACTCACAGGCTGGAGATTTCCCATGCCAGTCCTTTAAGAACATGGGTTACTGGTGACTCAATGGACTCTATGGGTAAGAACTGACCAATGAACTACAAGTCATGTGCTACCTTGTAAAGAAATCATTGGACACCATTTTGAATCACATGTCGCTGGTGGGCAAAGCCAAAGGAGAAAGTTGGTGGAGCAATGAATGTAAATTTTACCATGGTGCCGTAGGCTAGTTTCTACACACATCTACACACTCCTCTCTGTCCTCCATCAAGGAAAGGAAGATGCTTTACTGGAGTTCAAGGACACAGCCCAGCCAGGCAAAAGCCATTGGGATGTGAAGCAGGACTAGCAAGAAGTGTGGCCTAAGAAGGGGGTTTCTGGCCTGGGGACAGTCCTAAGGGCCAGTTAGACAGGTCTAGAGGGTCACATTTGGTCCCCAAGTCTGAGTTCCCCTCCTCTGGATGGAAAGCGACAAAATGAATGGATCACTCTGGCAGAGAAAGTTCAGTCACTGCAAAGTACTGCTTAGATGTGTTATGACCTACAACCCCCACATTGGAGCTGGCTGATTTTATTCCAGTAGAGAAATATCAAGTCTGGCTCTTTTCCATCATCCCTACGATTAAGTCCAGCAATCATTTCAAGTGTTCTTAAATGTGATGTGTGTGTGTGTGTGTGTGTGTGTGTGTGTGTGTGAACTGTGGCTGATTAACAAAATGCTCTTTGCCCTCAGGTTAATAACAGATTTCTCAGTCCTTCAATGGAGTAATTATTAGTTAAGGAGTTCTCAGCATGAGTTTTTGATACGCTCAAGCCAGCTGGCATCACTATGAATTAACACTAAGATGTAGCTGCTGTGTGTGTATGCAAGCGCACGTGTGCATCATTTTCAAATCTAACTCTGTCTGTTCAACATTCAAAGCACAGATTCCATGACCTGATACAAATTCAGAATTTGAGAAGAAGAAATTATCTACTTGCACCCAAATCCACTTTACTTCTGGTGATAGGGATATTTGGCAGCAGTTTAGAGTTGGAGAACCTACAAACCCCTGAATCTACAAAGTTCTATTTTGAACAGCCTCACAACTGCTGCCAGAGGTATGTTACAAGTGTTTGCATTTCATAGATGGATAACAGAGAAACAATTGCTGCACTTTAGTGCCCATGGCGTGGCCCAGAGGCTGTACAGGGATAGCTCAGTTGGTAGAACATGAGACTCTTAATCTCAGTCGAGAGTTGGGCAGAAGATTCCTGCTTCACAGGAGGTTGGTCTAGATCAGTGTTCCCCAACCTTGGGCCTCCAGCTGTTTTTGGACTACAATTCCCATCATCCTTGACCACTGGTCTTGCTAGCGAGGGATGATGGGAGTTGTAGTCCGAAAACAGCTGGAGGCCCAAGGTTGGGGAACACTGGTCTAGATGACCATTGTGGTCCCTTCCAACTCTATGATTCTATGATTCTATAACTCAGTGGTTGAGCATCTGTTTTGCATGCATAAGGCAGGTGGCAGGGGCCCAGTCTCCAACATCTCCTGGTAGGGCTGGGAAGGAGCTTAGTCCAAGACCCTGGAGAGCTGCTGTCCATTGTTGTGGACGATTCTGAGCTAGATGGACTAGTGACTCAGTATGATGTAGCATACTATAGGGTTAACCTTCTGTATGTCCTACATCTGGGGAGGAGCTTCCTACGCAAACGGAAGCTGAAGTTTCTTTGTCTGTGTGAGACACTTTCACTTTTGACCGGGAAGCGAGAGAGGCAAATGCCATGTGTCCGAACTCCGATGGAGTTGTTTGTTGTTTTACCTACTGATGTAAATAAAGAGCTGTTAGCCTAGAAAGAAACAGTGTATGGACTTTTCCTTTCTCTCACACGTCAAGCACTCGCTGCCTGCTCTGCTGCTGCCTGGAAGATTTATGCGGCAGCGGAAACGTGCCGGACCCAGGCAGTAATTCCACATAGCATCCTATGTTCCCAAGGCAGCTACATGACTTATTATAACTGCATTTACTTTGTGTTATAACTGTAGGCTTTATTCAGTTAGGGAAGGACTATGGCATCTAGGAGCGGGGCTGTAGGTCCATAGCTGTCAACGTTTCCCTTTTTTAAAGGGAAATTCCCTTATTCCAAATAGGATTCCTCGCAAGAAAAGGGAAAAGCTGACAGCTATGTTTAGGTTAGTGGCAGAGCAACAGCCTTGCATGCAGAAGCTCCCAAGTTCAACCTCTGGGTAGGGCTTGACACTTGAGAGCCACTGCCAGTAAGCATAAACAAGCTAGATAGACCAGTTATAAGGTGGCTTCCTGTGTCCCTGTGGTCCTACCCCCCTCCCTCCTTCCCTCCCTCCCTGGGGCAGCCCATCCTGTTTGGCCATCCAAGGCGGAATGGGAAGATGGAGTCCCCACACCACCTTGCTGTCGGAGAAGTGAGGAGAACTTGCAGCTTCAGGTGAGATCTCAGGGAACTCTTGTGAGCTCTTGCAGAGCACTGTGAGATCATGCCAGAAGCTACTGCTGTCACTTCTCCTCACTTCTCCAGTGGTGGCGGAAAGGCTGGGTGGGGCACCGATGGAGGTGCCACCCCATGGGATTCTGCTGCCTGAGACAGCTGCCTCAGTCTTGTGGGTGGGCCGGCCCTGATCCCACCTTCAGATTTTTTATTTAAAAAGTGTTCATTAATCTGAAAAAGGAACTGAGAAACTGAGAAACAAGCAACAAGAATGACATAACGAGATAGAGGCAGACTGACTTGCTCAAGGCCAGTCATCAAGTCCCCCCTACCACACTCCCATTCAATATTTTAGTTAATTTTTCCTTTTTATGCCTCCAAGTGAAGATATTTCTATTCCACCCAGGTTTTTAATTGCCCCTCTGCAAATTGTTTTTAACTGCTGGAGTCTTGGAGCACTCGTAAAGGGTCTTGTGTCCCTTGGCATGGCTTTTATTGTTGCTCTTTTTAGCTTTGTTTAATGTACTGCTGCTTTATTGACTTATTTTTTATGTTGCTTTGAATGTACTATTGTGTTTTGCAAATTGTGTGTGTGTGCACGTGCGTGCGTGCATGTTTGTGTGTTTTATCACAGAAAAAGCAACATGAACATGAAGAACAAGGAAAGCCCAGTTAGTCCAAAATGCTGTTTACTTCCTTTTCTTATATTGAATTTGTATACCGGTCTCCCTCTTGAAGGAGCCAGATTCTCACCAGTTTGCACAGTGGCCAACCAGACGATCCAATAAGAAGCCCAAAGGCAGGACCTGAGCACAACAGCACTCTCCCCACTTGTGATTCTCAGCAACTGATACTCAGCAACTGGTATTGCTCCATCAATGGAGGTAGAATATAGTCAGTGTGGTTTTTGTTGTGGTTCTGGACTGTCAGGAGTTAACACTCCAGGAGCGTTCTTATCAACTGGGTGCACTGACCACATGATCCGTGCTTTTTTCCTTTGATCTGTGCTCTGTGGGGGCTGAGCTCTCTCTGTGGGGGCTGAGCTCTCTCTGGAGAGCAGTCTGTCTGAAAACGTTAGCAAGGTCGTTTCATTTTTGTTAAGAGGCAGAAAGCTGTGAACATGCAGCTAGATTCTGTAGGTTTTCTTTTCTGTTTTGAATGCTACTAAATAGTGTTAGATATGCGTGTGAACTCTGCTATTATCTGGCAACTGAGGAGAGTGGCAGCGCGCGGAGTGGAAGCGTGTGGGTGCCGTTGGAAGTTTGTCGGAGTGGCAATAAATCAAATTTATTGCAGGGCCGTTGCAGCAGACTCAGTGGGTCAAAAGATATACGACCCAACAAACTTTAACAGGTTATGGTCGGCAGTAACGCGCTAATGGCTGAATGTCCTGAGGTGATTGATGGCCAGGACTGGAGGTCTGTGTCTCTGCTGCAGCCGGCAGCTAGAAAGTCCAGCTGGAGGCCTGTTTTCGTACCATGCTTGAAGGCACAGAACAGTAGAAACTCGCTGGTGAAGCAAGCCATTTTTCCGGAGCTGGGAGCTGAGAGCTGAGAGCTGAGAGCTGAGAGCTGGGAGCTGGAGAGAGCGGCAGCTGTGTGAGTAACACAAGCCCCAGTGGGGGGAAATGGCAGAGGTGCAGGAAAATTTTGTGGCGGCTTTCCCAAAGCTGATGGGGAAGAACTGGGCAGACTGGTCCAAGAAAATGCAGGTTTTGTTAACTGCTAAAGGCCTTTGGACTTGCACGCAGAACCCACCTATGCAGGCCCAGGATGGGGCCGCAGCTGGAGTTGTAGCTCCTGCAGCCGAAGAACTGAGGAGAGAGCAGAGAGCCGTTGCTCACTTGGTCATGGCCATAGACGATGCCCAGATGGTTCACATTGACCACGCCACCTACGCTCACAAGGTCTGGGGTGCCCTGCAACGCATGCATCAGCAGGACATGGCTGGGGCCCGGATTCATGTCACCAGACAGATATTTGATTTACATTTGCAACCCGGAGGCTGCGTCAAAGAGACATTTCACAGATGCTGGCGTTGTTCAACCGTTCGAGGCAACTACAGATTCCCGTTGTTGTTTAGTCGTTTAGTCGTGTCTGACTCTTCGTGACCCCATGGACCAGAGCATGCCAGGCACTCCTGTCTTCCACTGCCTCCCGCAGTTTGGTCAAACTCATGCTGGTAGCTTCGAGAACACTATCCAACCACCTCATCCTCTGTCGTCCCCTTCTCCTTGTGCCCTCCATCTTTCCCAACATCAGGGTCTTTTCCAGGGAGTCTTCTCTTCTCATGAGGTGGCCAAAGTATTGGAGCCTCAGCTTCATGATCCGTCCTTCCAGTGAGCAGTCAGGACTGATTTCCCTAAGAATGGAGAGGTTTGATCTTCTTGCAGTCCATGGGACACTCAAGAGTCTCCTCCAGCACCGTAATTCAAAATCATCAATTCTTCGGTGATCAGCCTTCTTTATGGTCCAGCTCTCACTTCCATACATCACTACTGGGAAAACCATAGCTTTTACTATACGGACCTTTGTTGGCAAGGTGATGTCTCTACTTTTTAAGATGCTGTCTAGGTTTGTCCAGATTCCCTTTACTGAGCAGCAAAAAGTCTATATATTGCTGAGCTCTTTAGAATCTGGCTATCAGACTCTTTCTCTCACGATGGAAGCTATTCCAGCTCAGGAGCTTGACCTGGAATACGTGTCAGGTTGGCTGCAAGATGAGCAGGATAAAAAGCTGAGAGAGAAAGGAGGGGGGCTGCGAAGGGGGGTTGCTTTGTGCCCAGGAGTGGGAGTGCAGAAGATGCTGGGAGCTCTGTGCAAGTTTTAGAAGCGAGGAGGTGCTACGTTTGCAACTCAGACCAACATCTGCAGAGAAATTGCCCCAGGATCCTCTCCAATAGCAACCGAGAGATCAAACGCAGACCACGTCATGGGAGGAGAGGCCCAGCGAGAGGGAGCAGAGGAGGAGAGCCAGCAACACATCAGAAGGCTGCTACGTATGCTTTTGTTGGACAGGCTGCAGCCAACGGCAAACAGCGTTGGATCATTGACAGTGGGGCCAGTAGGCATCTAGCTCCACCTGGTGGCCAGTTGCGAGACTGCTGGCAAATTCCAGATGGGACAACAATCACATTGGCTGATACAACCAAGAGAGCTATTTCAAAAGCTGGTGTTGTTTTTATGCCCTGTTTGAAAGCTGATATTGATGTGTATGTACTTGATGGTATGAACTGTGGGTTACGTTCTGTTTATGCTCTTGACAATGCTGGTTTTCAGGTGCAGTTTGGGAACCAGGTATGCACCATTTCCAAAGATGGGGAGCAGTTAGTACAAGTACGAGGCCACGATGGGCTGTACATACTAGAAACAGGTGATGACACTTCTGAGGAAGCACAGGCAAAGTGTGCCAACGTCCCCACTCATGACCAGTGTATGCACTTATGGCATAGAAGATTTACGCACGTGAACTGGCGATATGTGCACAAACAGGTAGAGTGTGCTGATGGCTGTAAAATGAAGGAGTGCTCTAAGTTTCTTGAATGTAGAGCTTGTAAAAAAGCCAAAGTGCACACCACCAATTACCTGAGGTGACCAAGAAAGCCTTTGAGCTTGTGCATGCGGATCTTTGTGGTCCGATGTCAGTGGCTAGCTTGTGTAATTCCAGATACATTCTGTGTCTCACCGATGATTTCTCGAGGGTGGGATGGATTATCACACTCCGAGATAAAGGGCAAGCAGCCAAGGAGATCAAAGAGTGGGTGGTGGCAGTAGAATTGGAGTTTGACACCCGTGTCAAAGCGTTTCAGACAGACAGAGGGTCTGAGTTTATAGCCTCTAGTCTGCAAAACTTCTTCCATGTGAAGGGTATTAAGCACAGGAAGACAGCGCCTTATTCCCCGCAACAAAATGGAGTTGCGGAGCGCAGGAATCGAACCCTGCAAGAGGCCATGGAGGCTTTTCTGTTTGATTCAGGGCTGCCCAAATGCTATTGGGCCGAGGCTGTGAAGGCAGCGTCGTTCACATTGAACAGGACGTAAAATTCTGTGGTTGGGAACACACCCTATTTCATGCTCCATGGAAGGAAACCCAAGGTGCACTATTTTCGTACCTTTGGGGCGGAGGCTTGGGTATTGATTTCTAAACAGCAGTGCAGGAAAGGTGGCCCTAGATCGCGCAAAATGATTTTCTGTGGATACGAGCCAGGGTCAAAAGCCTGGAGGTTTACGTATCCAAGTGGAGATCACTCACGTGTGGTAATCAGCAGGAACGCTGAATTTTGTGAGCAGGCTGGTTGGGACAGGATTCACGGAAACCCCGAAGTGCTCACAGATTTGTTTAGAGGTCTTGGTTCAAGGGATCAACCAATTGCACCTCCTGGCAGAGCTGATGGCAATGCACCTGCTGGCGGTCCTGGCCAAACTGCTGACCACCACCAGGGTGCAGTGCCAGAGGGGGCAATTCCAAAGAGAGAGGTGAAGTCAGAACCCAGGAGTGTACCCTCATCTCCGCAGGCTTGGCCTAGTTGGCACAGGCACGGAAGGTCTCCCTTGTGTCCCACAGACAAGCGCAGTCCAGAATTGCAACGCAGGCACAGCAAGTCGCTTGGTGGTTCACCAGATGCCAGGGACTCACAGGCAGAGTCTAGCACGTCTGGGTCAGAGGGGGAGTCCGGCATGGGGCCAAGACGGTCTAAGAGGACCACGAAGGGTAAACCACCTGACCATTTCACAGTCACGAATGTGTGGGCTGGTTTTGCTTAGTGCGAACTAGAAAGCTTTGGTGAGGTTCAGAAGTTACCTCAGGCAGAATCCAGCAAGTGGCAGCAAGCCATGGAAAAGGAGCTTAGTGCCATGAAGTCTCTAGGAGTCTTCACGCTCACAACTGTCAGCTGACCAGCAGGCAGTGAGTTGTTGCTGGGTCTGCAGGTTGAAACCCACTGCAGGTGGAGAGCCACAATATAAAGCCAGATTGGTGGCAAGAGGTTTCAGCCAGCGACTGGGGCTGCACTATTCCCAGGTGTACGTGCCCACGGTCAGAAATGAGACCATGCTATTGCTTTTGGCGATAGCAGCACAAAGAGGTTCAGAGGTCGCTCATTTTGACACTGATTTTGCCTATTTAAACTCACCACTGCAGGAGGAGATCTACATGTTACCTCCACTAGGGTTTGAGGGCGACAAACCAGGTCTGGTATGGAGACTGCACCGTTCCATTTATGGCTTGAAGCAATCAGCCAGAAATTGGAATTTATGTCTCAACGAAGCTCTGGGGACGCTAGGGTTCCAGAAGACTCTGGCAGACAGCTGCCTGTACCTGAAGGGGACAGGCCAGCAGCAGGAACTGGTTCATATCTTTATTGATGACATTGTATTTGTTGCCAGGACAGGTAAACAGGTGCAGGAGTTTGCAAGGAAGCTGAAGCAGCACTTCAAACTCATGGAGTTGGGTCATGTGAGCTTATACCTTGGGGTGCAGATTCACAGAGACCAAGATGGCAGTTTTTTGCTAAACCAGAGAGCAAAGATAGAGCAATTACTGCAAAAGTTTAAGATGGCAGACTGCAAAGGTGTCAGAACACCAATGAAAACGTGTTTTCTGAAAGACAGCCAGTCTGAGGTAAAGCCAGAGTTTGAAAACTGGGAGGTGTTTCAATCTGCTCTGGGGAGTCTGCTATATATATCACAATGGAGCAGACCTGATATAGCCTTTGCTGTTAATCTCCTGAGCAGAGAGGCTGCAAAACCCAGTGTGATGGCCTGAAATGGCGTAAAAAGGGTCCTTAGGTATCTGCAAGAGACCAAGGAGTATAGCCTCATACTGTCAGCTCAGGGAGATGCACAGCTTCAGTGCTGGGCTGATGCAGATTGGGCCAACAATTCAGACAGGAAGTCTATCTCCGGAATGGTTGTAATGTACAGAGATTCTGTAATTGGCTGGAGGTCCAAGAAACAAAGCCTCATTGCTCTGTCATCGACTGAGGCAGAATTCAGCACTCTTTCAGGAGTATGTAGGGAGCTGGAATTCTACACGTCTGGTCCAGGAGATATATGGCGATTGTTGCCTACCCATAACAGTGTGGGAGGACAATCAAGCTTGCCTGAAATTGGCAGAATCAGGCCAATTTAACGCCCGGAGGTGTTAACTTTAACAGTTTTTAGCCATTGATAGTCTTGTTCTCCATGAATTTGTCTAATCCTCTTTTGAAGCCATCTGCATTGGGCCATCACAACTTGTGTAGTGCCACTGAAAGCACAACAAAGCATCCCAGTACCTAGTACAGTGGTACCACGGGTTACATATGCTTCAGGTTACATATGCTTCAGGTTACAGACTCCACTGACCCAGAAATAATACCTTGGGTTAAGAACTTTGCTTCAGGATGAGAACAGAAATCGCACTGCAGCAGCAGGAGGCCCCATTAGCTAAAGTGGTGCTTCAGGTTAAGAACAGTTTCAGGTTAAGAAGCTTGAGAGCGGACGGAGCTGTGGACGTGACGGGAAGCACCACCACCCTGCAATGTCTCTATGCCTCTACTGCAAAGCGGTAAATCTCCAAAATTAACAAACAGGTTTCTTGGTGTTCGGAGAGAGCGTTAATCTTAATACTTGAGAAAAAACATCAAGAGATCTTTGGATGTTAAAGGATTGACTTACAGAGTCCTTTCCTGTATCGGCGAAAAAGATGGCGCAGAGAAAGGAAGTAGCAAGGGAAAGCAAAGACGCTAACGATCCTGCTGAGTGAGTACGAAAGGAAAGCTTTTTGCAACTTTGTTTAAAGACTGAGGGCTAATTTGGACAAAGAGTTGCAAGAAGAGCGGAGTTGAAACTTTGTTTTATCTTTTTGGCTGTGAAAGAAAGGATTACGGAGGCTGCCCTTTCGTTGGAAGAAAGAACTACGGAGGCTACCCTTTCTCTGGAAGGGGTGAGGTTTAAAGATTTAAGTTTAAGCCTTCTAAAGGAAGCCTCGCTGCAAAAAGGCAATAGAAATAAGACCTGAGAAGCAACAACAGCAAAGATTCACGAACTGAGCTTTAAAAATAACAACAACGTTTTTGTGTTTAAAGAATTTCTAAATTACTATGGGATTATTAGACTATTAATGGCTGCAAATATATGGATAGTCCTCCCATTTTAAGTTTGTTAATTCTGTACACACTCTTGCTTCTTCAGGCTTTTCCGAGATAATGAAATCGAAACAGTGTGGGAGGTGGGTTTAAATTTTTCCTCTTTTTAGACTCCTTTCTTTTTTCTCTTTATAACAAATTGAATATTGGACTTATACTACAGCAAATTCACGTGCTCTACTGGTGAACTTCTGGAATTACAGTGACTTAGAAGTGGAGAGCCATTTTCTTGTTTTTCTCTTATGCTTTGCTGTTGCCTTTTCTCTGAACCCTGGATTACAATATCATAACTCTTTAATAAGAAGACAGAATAAAAGAGACCTCTTGGATTACAAATATTTATCTTTGGACTAATAAAAACTTTTAAATTGATCGGTTTCAATCTGGATTAGGCCTATAAATGGCTGAAGAGTGCGTAAACCAATTGGGATTAGGCCAGCAAGTGGCTGAAAATTGGAAACTGAGAATTGGAAGATGCATTTGTACTAATTAGACTGAATGTATTATTTGGACAGAAGGAGTATTAATGTGTATTAACTGGATTGATTGTACTAATTTGGACTGAACATTCTGAAACCAAGGTACTGGTCTCTTTGGAACAATTGATTATATGGTTTTTGGATATATGTTAACAAAAATGTTTTACTGATTATATTACATTTAAAATTAATAACTGGCCAATATGAGAACATAATATAAATAAGGAGCTTAAGGAGGAAGGGGTGTAAGATAAAATACAGAGAATTGGAGAAAGTGGCTGAAAAGGGACACTTAATGGTATATTTGGTAAGAGACAGCTTGTTGGTTGGAAACTAGAGAAATAGCATTGAAGCTCTCTGTATTTAGGAATTATCAGAGGTGGATTGTGGGCCCCCTAGGGGCAAAATTATATACTGCACCAGGAATTTTGGTAATTGCTTGAAAATACTGTAATATTCTAAGAAAGTGGGTTCAAAATGTCAGGGAAAAATGGTAAGAAAGTAGGTGGAACGCCAGCAGATAGGAGAGCATCATGACAAGAAGAAATTAAAGATCTGGACGCTCTGTGGTGGAAGATTAAAGAATTCAAGCAAAGTGATCAGCTCTTAGAAAAGAAGTTAGAAGAGGTGCAGGAAAGGTTAGATAAGAAAATAGAGGGGGCAGTTGGTGAACTTTCAACTAAAATAAAGGACCTGACAGTTAGATCAAAAACAATAGAAGAATCAACCAAGAGAATCCAAAAAGAAGTGAAAGAGAACAAAAGAGAGACAGACAAAATCAAAGAGGAATTAGGAGACTTGAGCAAAAGTCAAGACCAAGTTTGGGACAGTCTAGCCATGCTTGAAATGAGACAGAGGCAATTAAACCTGAAATTCAGAGGTGTAGGCGAGGAGGCAAATGAAAACATAAAGGTTAAAATGATTAAAGAGCTAGCTAAATGGCTTAATATGAAAGAAGAAGAGGTTGAATTCACTGTGGAAAATGTGTTCAGAATAAAAGTAACGTCGCTACAAGCTAAAACAAAGAGGCTACCGGGAGACTTTTTAGTGATATTCAACTCCTTAGAAATGAGGAATGCGATACTGAAGACAAGCTATCAAAAAAGTTGTTAATTGATGATAGACCGATCATCATATTTCAAGAAATACTTACCAGATTCTTACGAAAAAGAGAGGGTTATAAATAGTTGGTGACTGTCCTGAAAAGAAATGGTATACAGTATAGATGGGAGTTCCCAGAAGGGATCTCCTTCTATTACAAAAATAAAAGATTTAGGTTGACAGATATACAAGAAGTGAGGAAATTCTCTCTCTTTTTTTTTAATAAGATATTTATTGAAATTTTCAAAATATTACAAAAAGAAAAATAGAAAATAAAAATAGTTAAAAACAACTCAATCTTTCCATTACTTATTTTTCATTAGCTTATTTCCCGGACCTCCTCACGCCTCCCTTTTTTTGTATTCCAGTTCAGTTTGTTGGTTCAGCAAATCCTTCCCCTCTTTGTTTATCCAAGTCTTAAATCTTAAAATATTGTAACGTTAAATTTTTATCTGTTAGTAATCCATTTTTCATATTCCCTTATAGTATTACAGCTAGAAAACACTTACTTTCTATCCAACATCATTCTAACATTCATTAATTTTACAATATTTCTCTAAATAGGCTTTAAATTTCTTCCAATCTTCTTCCACCGACTCTTCTGCCTGGTCTCGGATTCTGCCAGTCATTTCCGCCAGTTCCATATATTCCGTCATCTTCATCTGCCATTCTTCCAGAGTGGGTAGATCTTGTGTCTTCCAATACTTTGCAATGAGTATTCTTGCTGCTGTTGTGGCATACATAAAAAAAGTTCTGTCCTTCTTTGGCACCAATTGGCCGACAATGCCCAGGAGAAAGGCCTCTGGTTTCTTCAGGAAGGTATATTTAAATACCTTTTTCATTTCGTTATAGATCATCTCCCAGAAAGCCTTAATCCTTGGGCACGTCCACCAAAGGTGAAAGAATGGACCTTCAGTTTCTTTGCATTTCCAACATTTATTATCGGGCAAATGATAAATTTTTGCAAGCTTGACTGGGGTCATGTACCACCTGTATATCATTTTCATAATATTCTCTCTCAAGGCATTGCATGCCGTAAACTTCATACCTGTGGTCCGGAAATTCTCAAGGAGATATGAGAAGGACCTCGGAAGGATGGAGGATAAAATTGGGGAAAGGGAGCCAGAAGTAGAGGAGAGGAAGAGGAGGAGGGACAGAGAGGAGGAGAAAGAAGGAGAGGAAAAGAAGAGGATGAGGAGGAAATAGAAGAAGAAGTAGAGGGAGAAGAAGAAGAGGAGGAGGAGGATTTAGAAGACAAGACTACTCGAATCTAATTTTAGTTCTTCTTAGTTTTAGCTTCTGTTGTTAGTTAACTCTGATTAGATAATAATGGCATTAAAATTAATAACATGGAATGTGAATGGTTTGAATGAAAAATCTAAGAGGAATAAAATCAAAAATGTATTGAAGAAAAAATATCTGGGTGTAATTTGCTTGCAAGAGACTCATATTGCTAAAAAACATAAGCATATTTTGAAAAATAAAAGACTAGAGGAGGAGTTTATCAGCTCCAATGTGCGTAAAAAAAGAGGGGTTGTTCTATATGTTAAAGAAAAATGGGAACCTAAATTAATCTGTAAAGATGAGGAGGGGAGGATATTGGGAGTACAAATTAATGTTCAAGGTGAAAAATTGAATGTGGTCTCTATCTATGCCCCTAATACTAATAAGGCGGAATTCTACAGTGTTGCGTTTGCAGAGGAAGGACTGGACCCTGATTAATAACAAGACATGAGGCTTTGACCAGAAAGGCTCTCGGAGAAAAGTGCGTAAACCACACCCCTCACCAGGCCATTTTATTAGCAAAAGAATCTTTTACACAGTGCTCGTAAGAACCAATCATATTTCCTCTGAGCATTTCATCAAACCCCACGTGGGGAAAAAGTTACACTACAACACTAATTAGCATGCATATATTTTGGAGTAAATATGTTGAGAATTACAAAGGGGTGGTAAATAAGTTGAGAACTACAAAGGGGTGCATCTGGCAACCCCAGAGGTGAGAAATAAACATGATAAGAAGGATGGCCAGAAAGACCAGATCACTACCACCTTCATGTGAGATCTGTTTCCTGGCTCCAAGATTAACATTTTAAGATTATATATAAGAAAACTACATCAAAGTAACTTGCCTACTATCTTTATGGCCCAGGAAGCCTGCCTGGCGAAGCAACTGCTGTGTACTGCTGTGTACGTGGCGTGAGGAGAGAGAAATGGGCAGTAGGGTCAAAAGGGCCAGAGATGCAGAGGTGTAGATTGATCAAAAATCATATCAAAATAGTTTAAACCCAGTCAACGCAATGCTTTCATTGCTGACACAAATGGCTTACTCTATATCTGTTATAATTCTTCATAGCAATCCCACCTGATCACTACATCTCTGGATATTTGCACTCCTACATACAGAAAATTAGAAGAGAGCCTGATTGAATTAGAAGGTCAAAAAACAATTGTACTAGGTGACTTTAATGGAGTGGTTAAAACTGAATTGGATAGGTCATCAAAGAAAAAGAAAGGTAACCAAGGGAAACTGCCAAAAACGTGGTTTAATCTGGTGGAGAATATGGACTTAATAGATGTGTGGAGAGAAAAAAATCCGGGTACAAAACAATTCTCCTTTTTTTTCGGAACCACATCAGAGCTGGGCAAGGATAGATCAGATTTGGGTCTCAAGATGTATAATACCAAGAATTTCAAAATGTGAAATACAGCCAAGAACTTTGTTGGATCACAACCCCATTGGCTTAGAAATAAAAGGTAAAGTACAGAGCGCTTACAGATGGAGGATGAATGACTACCTTTTTGAGATCCCCGAGATAACTGAAAAGGCAAAGGCCACCCTAGAAGACTACCTTAAATGGAATTTAAATAAAGATACCAACATTGACATAGTTTGGGACGCAAGCAAAGCTGTCATGAGGGGTCACCTAATACAGCAAAATAGCCTCAGAAGAAAATTAAGAGAGAAAAAGAAAGAAGACATTTTAAACCATATAAGAATATATGAGAAAAATTTAATGATAAAACCTAAAGATGAACAAAATAAACAAGCTATTAAGATGTTACAAACCCAATATTCAATACTGGTTAATCAAGAGGTAGAATGGAGAATAAAATCCATGAAGCAGAGATTTTTTGAATCAGCTAACAAAACAGGGAAACTCCTGGCATGGCAGTTGCAGAAAAGACAAAAACAAAGTGTAATAAACAAGATTAAAATAGAAGGACGACAAATAGAAAATCCGGAGGAAATTATGAGAACATTTCACAAATACTATGAAAACCTATATAAAAGAGAAAATGAAGACCCAAACAAAATAAGAAAGTACTTTGAAGATTACAAGGGAAAACACAAAGGTGAAGAAGGAAAAATACAGCTGAACAAACCAATTACGAAAGAAGAAGTAAAGGAGGCAATAAACAAGATGAGGTTGGGCAAAGCCCCAGGCCCAGATGGTTTGTCGGCCAAATATTACAAAACACTGGGGGATCAATTAACCCCGGTGCTATGTGAGGTGATGAATAGTATTTTGCAAGGAAGGAACCTACCAGATTCATGGAAAGATGCACATATAACCTTGATTCCCAAGCCAGATACGGACAGTTTGAACATAAAAAATTACAGACCTATCTCATTGCTGAATAACGATTATAAACTTTTTGTGGGAATATTGGCAGACAGACTTAAAAATTGTTTAAAAGATGTCATACATAAAGATCAAGCTGGATTCCTTCCAAACAGAAAGTTAAAGGATAGCGTCAGACATATTATAAATATTACTGAATATTTGGAAGTAAAAAATGAAATACTGGCGGCTTTATTGTTTATAGACGCTGAAAAAGCATTTGATAACGTCTCATGGCAGTTTTTGTTAAAGTCTATGGAGGAAATGGGGATAGAGGGCAACTTCATAAAAGGTATAAAGGCGATCTACTCTAACCAAACACCTAAATTAATTGTTAACAACAATTTGACAGACACATTCAACATTATGAAGGGAACAAGACAAGGTTGCCCTCTCTCTCCTTTACTATTCATAATGGTATTAGAGGTCATAGCAAACAAGGTGAGATCTATGCCAGAAATACGAGGAATTAAAGTTGGTACTAAGGAATATAAGCTAAAAGCTTATGCGGATGACCTAATGTTATCATTAGAAGAACCACAAACAAGCGTCGGCAAAGTTTTGAAACAATTAGATGAATTCGGCAAAGTATCAGGTTTCAAACTAAATAAAACAAAGACTAAAATGTTGGTGAAAAATATAGATAGGAATACAAAAGAGAACATAGAACAGGAATGTGGAATTAAAGTCACAAAAAAAGTCAAATATCTAGGTATCTGGTTAACCTCAAAAAAATATTAATTTAATTAGCGACAATTATACACCTATGTGGAAAGAGATTAAAAAAGATATGGCTATATGGAATAGGTTAAAACTTTCATGGTCCGGAAGGATGGCGGCAATCAAGATGAATATCCTCCCGAAAATGCTGTTCTTGTTTCAAACTATTCCGGTAGTTAGGGGATCCTCGATTTTTATTTTTTTATTTTTTTAAATGATATTTATTAAAAGTTTAAGAATTACAGAAGAAAGAGAAAAAGAAAACAACAAAAAATTTGACAAAACATACATTACAATACATAAAAAGAAAAGCATAAAAAACAATTCAACAATACAGCAAAAACAACAACAACAATAACATTAAAACACACATCCAATGTTCCATATCTTTATCTTTCATTTACTTGATTCATCGACCTCCTCACACCTCCCTTTTTGTATTCTAATTTAATTAATTGTTTCAGCAAATTCTTTCCATCTTTCTCAATTTTTGTTATATAATTTATCTTAATTTATTTAACCTTATCTTACCATAAAAAAAACCTTAAAACTTAAAACTTAATACTTATTTGTATATAACTCCTTATATCATTTCTACTAAAGCCAAATAGTTTCATTCCAACATTTTTCCTAATACTCGTTAATTTTACACTAATTCTCAAAATAAATTTTTAAAAACTTTCTTCCAATCTTCATCCAACGTCTCTTCTTCCTGGTCTCGGGTTTTGTCAGTCCTTCTTGTCCATTCCATCTAGTCCATCAACCAATCTTATGTCCGAGGCTCTTAAGTCTTTTCCATGTCCCTTCTGCAGATCTTCTTCTTGTTTATACCTGCCCTTTACTTTGTCTTTTGTTGATCTTTTTCTTAATTTCTTTCCTTTCTCATTGGGGGGTAGGTCTCAGGAGGACTCCAATCCAAAAATGTCTCCATCTCCCCTCAGCAGTTCAGCCCATTCCCCACAGTCCCATTCCCCACAGTCAACACTGTAATCCAGGAAGTATTTAAAAGCATGTTTCAAAGTCCTTCCGGAATTAAGAGCCCTCACAACTCCAGACCCCCCCCCCCGGTCCACTCCAGATTCAAACTTCAAGAACAGCGGCTTATGCTCCTGCAAGGCCTCGGATCTCTCCATTTGTGTTACTTGAGGTTCAACAGCAACCTCCTCCATTATCTTCTGCACTTGCGCTTGCCCTGTCAAAACAAGTTCCTGGGCTGGTTCCTGAATGGTTTCTATATGGGTATTCGCCGTTTGTCCAAAGTTTTTAACTGCAACAGTCATCAAATCCATCTTCTCATGCATCTGCTCCAGCAAAGCGCTCGTCTTGCAAAAAGTAAGCACCAAAACTTCTTCTAAACACATTTTTATTCAAGGTCAGAGTCTGGTCTCACGATCCTAATCTTACAGCTGTGAAATCCCCAGATCGACTCCGGCAACAAATTAACAAGCTCCCTCTAGAGGAGACAATTTCTATTTGTATCCATCTTTTGAAAGCAGGACCAACGAAAGAAAATTACTTTCATTTTTCAAATATTTTGTTTCTTTTGAATGCAAGAAGCAACACTGGAGTCAATTTGTTTCTCTTTTTTTACTATCTGTCAAAAGACGTTCCATTCACAGTCGATGAACTTCCCCATAAATTTCTGTCTCTGACATCCCGTTCCCAGGTTTGAGACGGTGGAAATTTATCTTTCTTTACTCTCTCTCCTGCAGGCTTAAACAGTCAAAAATCCCCCCCCCCTTTTCTCCTGCTTCCAAGAGGAGTTTGGGTGGTAATAACTGAAGGAAATTTAGACCTTTATATAAGACTTTCCAGACTTTAGCTTACAAAGTTTTTGCTTCAATCTATTTACAAAAACGGGAGGCGGACTTCCTGTTTAGAGCCTTCCCGCTTCAGTGCCAAATTAAAATGTTTCTTAATCCAATTTTCCGTTCTACTCACGGGTACTTGTTTAGAGTCCAATTGTCCACAGGAAAAAGTCAGCGCTCTCCGGCAACGGCTGTGCGGCTTCACTCCATAAAAGTAGCGGTTGATTCAAAACACCGCGCCACTCACCCCACGGAGGCGCTCCTGGTGTTAGCCGAATCCCACGTTCCCAGGCTTCCTCCACCTGGGAGGAAGGCAAGACCCGATTTTCACGGAGCAGGTTCCTCTCGGTCAGAGGAGCTCCGCCATTGCCGATGGCGCTAACCCGGAAGTCCGGATCCTCGATTTTTAAGGAATGGCAAAAAAGTCTTTCAAAATTTATATGGCAAGAAAGAGGCCGAGAATTAAGTTCCAAATATTAACAGATAGGAGAGAAAGAGGGGGCTTTGCTGTGCCAAACCTAAGACTATATTATGAGGCATCCAGCTTGTGTTGGCTTAAAGAATGGCTCACCCTGGAGAACTTGGATTTGTTAGATTTAGAAGGCTTTAACAATAGATAAGGTTGGCATGCTTACTTGTGGCTCAACAAAGGAAAGGTCCATAAAGGATTTTCCAATCATATTTTCAGAGGAGCATTGCTTGAAATTTGGGAAAAAGATAAGAAACTTTTAGAAAAAAATACTCCTTGGTGGTTATCTCCGACAGATATCCTAACAATAAAAAAAGTGAACATGGAAGCGAAAAGGTTAACACATGAAGACATACTGATTAAAGCGGAAAAAGGTTGGAAGATTGAATCATATGACGAACTGAAAGACAGATTGACAGGTTGGCTGCAATATCATCAGATAAATGCACTTTGGAATGAGGATAAAAAATTGGGGATGAATGAGAAAAAATCTAGATACCAGATAGAAGTGTTAGAAGGGAAAACTAAACTTTTAGCCAAGATGTATAACTTGTTGTTAGAATGGGACACAAAAGAGGAATTGGTAAAGGAGGTAATGATAAAATGGGCCATGGACATTGGACACAACATAGAGTATGACAAGTGGGAGAGCTTATGGAACAGAGGAATGAAATTTACAGTATGTGTCACGCTAAGAGAAAATTTGGAGAAAATGATGTATCGTTGGTACATCACACCGGTAAAATTGGATAAAATGTATAAAAGTGGAAATAAAGCGTGTTGGAGATGTAAGCAGAAGGAAGGGGATTTTTACCATATGTGGTGGGCGTGTGACAAAATAAAAAAAAATTGGGAGCTCATATATGATGAACTAAAAAAAATCTTTAGGTTGACCTTCTTAAAAAGACCAGAGGCATTCCTCTTAGGAATAATTGGGGATGAAATTAAAAGAGAAGACCAGAATTTATTTCAGTATGCGACAACGGCAGCCAGGATATTGATAGCTCAAAATTGGAAATCAGCGGAGACCCCCACGATTATGGATTGGCAAACAAAATTATTTGAATATGCAGAATTAGCAAGAATGACAAACAAAATTAGACATCAAAAAGAAACAAAGTTTATTGAAGAATGGAGTAAATTTGTGATGTACATTGAAAGTAACTGTAACAATTTAAAAACTACAGTAGGTCTAACATAAACCTTGTTATGCGTAAATCACAGATTTAGAAACTGCAGGAGAAGAAAAAATGTAAGAAAACCGTAACAGGATAGGAGGGAGGTCAGGACGTGTGTTAACGTTGTGTAAATAAGTGGATGATACTTAACATTGACTAATAAGAGTGTTATCTTTTTTATTTTTGTTTGTTAATTTTTTCTTTGTATGCTTTCTGTTTTTTGTGGAAATTTCAATAAAAAGCAATTAAAAAAAAAAAAGAACAGTTTCAGGTTAAGAACGGACCTCCGGAACGAATTAAGTACGTAACCAGAGGTACCACTGTATGGTATTTGAGTTGAAAGGTACATCTTACTGAACAGGTGCATCAATTCTTAAGGCAGGAGGGAAGCTTGCATAATGAAATGCTCCTGGGTGCAAAAATAAATCACTGCAATTAAAAACTAGCATGCCAGTGAAAGGAAGATGCTAGAACATTCTCCACAACAGGCCAGTTTTACTATGTGCAGAGTAAATCTTTTTGACATGGAAGCACATTTCATCATGTTCACTGCATGTCAAGGCCCCGCACCCCCTCCTTTGGTGAATAAAGACACGTGGACACCAGCATTTTAGGTTAATGGGCTAAGAAAGGCCACAACTTCATTGGTTGCAGAACGTGAGTGGTATTGGTTTTAGGCATTGGACCCAAAATGACTATATCAGACTCTTGCCCACCATGCAGAAAGTCTCTCAAGGGTTAACCACCAGTAGCGGGAGTCCTGTTGATGTACATAAACTCGGAGCTCCCCCAGGGTCACCGGAACAGTCGTGCCATGGCCCTAGTCACCACCTGGGCTTCGGGCAGGAACCACGACCCTCGGATTCCTTTAAAGGAATACCCTTAAAGGGGAGGGGTAGGTGGAGGCCACAACCTCCCCTCAGCAAAACCAAGCTTTCCCAATGCCTCAAGCAGCTCTGAAGCAGCAGCGGTGACTCCACGAATCTCAGGCAGCAGGAGGGCAACGAAGATCCGTGAAAAACAGGAGTGGAAGGGAGAGATTCCGGCCCCACAGCCACTTAAATGCGGCAAACCACATCCTCCCCAGCCAGCCTGAAATATACTCGGAGTCGAGTGTGGATTTCATGCTCTTTATTCAGCTCATAGTAGTGAGGAATGAAAGTTCCCCCAAAATATCTGCTTTATATACATTATTTACACAATGGGCCGCATGTGATTGGCTAATTCCTGGATTCTCCTGTAGGCCAATCAGGCTGCGGATTCACTTCCATCTGGAGCTGGATTGGGTGGCTCCTGCGGACCAATCATACTGCTGCATTGTTCTAGGACCAATCAGACTGCTGCATTCTGAATCCTATTGTTCTGGGACCAATCAGACAGCTGCATTTTGGATCCTATTGTTCTAGGACCAGTGAGACTGCTGCATTTGGATCCTATTCAACTCAGTACATAACACCCCTCCCCTCTTAGTTCCAGTCCTGCCCGGGAGGTTGCATTCGTAGTCCTCAAGGTACGCTGGCCGCCTCAACATGGAGTGGGAGGGAACAGCTGCAGTCACCTGCGGTTCCTGCGCAATGTTTGCCATCTTGCCAAAGGTTGCAGGCAGCTTTACCTGCAGCAATTGCATGTTGATTGCCCTCTTAGAAGACAAAGTCCAGCAACTGGAGGAACGTGTAGCTACGCTCCAAAGAATTAGAGAGCTGGAGCTCTTCTTGGAAGCAACAGAGCACATCGTCTCCACCAAGGAGGAGACAGGGGACTCCCCTGAGAAGGAGGCTAGTTCAACAACACAGGAGCCAGATATATGGAGAAACATGACTCAAAGAAGTAGGAGGCCCAGGGTTCGCTCTGATTGTTTAGAAATACACAATCGCTTTGAGGTCCTCTCCCCTAGCATGGAAGACGAAGAGCAGACTCCATTTGAGGATCTCTCCTCATTACAGTCGATCAGGTATATGAAGACGAGCAGCAAAGTCAGTCCTCAGGGAATGTGCAGGCGACCTTGGAACGGACAGCTCACGGAAGAACCCTGACCAAACCTAAGAGGAGGCGTGTAGTGGTGATAGGGGATTCCCTACTGAGGGGAACAGAAGCAGTGATCTGTGGGCCTGACAAGATGTCTCGGGAAGTGTGCTGTCTCCCGGGCTAAGATCCAAGATGTAACTGAACGACTGCAAGGAATCATAAAACCCACTGACAAATACTCCTCCTCTTGGTTCATGTGGAACCAATGACACTGCAAGCAATAGCTTCCAGAAGATCAAAAGAGACTACGAGGCTCTGGGCAGGAAATTGAAGCAATTAAATGCACAAATTGTCATCTCATCTGTCCTCCCAGTTGAACGACGTGGCCCAGGGAGAGAGGGAAAAATAGTGGAAGTGAACAGCTGGCTTCGCAAATGGTGTAAACAGGAACGGTTTGGATTTTTAGATCACGGACTGCAGTTTCTTGAAGATGGACTTCTGGCAAGCGATGGGCTGCACCTCACAACGG